ATCGTCTTCCGCAATTAGAGTGGTAGGCGTGAGAAGTACGGTCTGCTGGTGAAAGCTGCTGCTGCTGCTGCTGCCCCCCGCGAGTGCCTTCAGTCGCGCCACCTGGTCTGGTGGCAGGTGCAGCACCTCGCAGACCAGTGCGGCCCCCCGGGCGCCCCGCCAGCGCTGCTCTTCCGAGGCCAGGGAGCGCAGCAGGCGGTGGGAGGCGGACAGGCCGCCGCGCCAGCCGAGGGAGGGGTCCACCTGAGCAGGGGAGGGGAGGGGAAGGGGAGGGGAGGGGCGGACGCCGGCACAGACGGGAGGGACAAGGGATCAGGGAACAGGATGAATGAGGGTGGCGGGGTATGGGGGCGTATGGGTCTTGTTCGGGTGATACAGGGAGGGGTTATCGGTGGAGGAACACGTTACAAGGCGTGTCTGTCTTAGTTGCCAGGCGCAAACACGGCCGGGTTCCAGAAGGAAACTGATGTGCCCGCTGGGATCTCCAATGCGGTGCAGGTGCCGGGATTACTTTCCTCCCTTCATGCGGGCCAAGCTGGCGGCGACGACAATGTGAGGTGTCGTTGGCCGTAAGAAATACAACATAGCCCGTACGGCAATGCGTACTACGCATGGCGTGCTGCTGTTCTGCAGTCCCCCCCCCAGCACCTGTTGGACCTCCAGGCTGCTCAGAGGAACCGGTGGTGGCTGTGTGCTGCCGTCGCCCGCACCATCGCTGCCGCTGCTGCCCCCCGCTGCATCCTCCTTCCACCCTGACGGGAACAGCACCGAGCGGTCGAAGCAAAACGTCTGCGACTGCTGCGCCTGGGGCCGTGGCGCTGGTGGTGTAGCATCCTGATTGTTCGGTGAGGCAACTGCGGGTAGGTGCGCTGCTGCTGCGGGCGGCTCTGCAGCAGCCGCAGCCGGGGGAGCTACTGCGGTCTCCGTGTCCGTTGATGCTGCTGCTGCTACTGGTGATGCGACCACGGCAGCACCTGCTGTCAGTGTGACTGCCATTGCTGCCGCTTGGGAGGCGTCGACTCCAGCCTCAAGGGTGTCCGCCTCACGAGGCTCCACAGTCCTATAATTCTTCACTGCGGGTACGGCGGAAGCAGTAGCAGCAGCAGCAGCCGTTGTAGCTTCGGTATTGCTGCTGCTGGTAGTGCTGCGGCCTCCGCTGCTAGCGCCGCTGTTGCTACTGCTGCTTTGGTTGCTGTCGCAACAGCAGCTCTCGCCCGCGACTCCGCCGCCGCCACCCATGCTGCCGCCGCCTGAGGCCCCACCACTGGAGGCCTCCGGTGTTGCATACGGCGAATCTGCTGTTGGCTGGGAAGGCGTGCACGCGTCGTTACGGGAAGTGGTGCAGTCACCGTGACAGCAGGCGGGAGCCGCCTCCGCTGCTGCCCCCTCAGCGGCCGGCATCACCGCGCCACCTGATGAGGACGGCGCGCAGGACGTCTCCTCGGTAGCGCTCAGGGACGGCTCTGGCGGCGGCGGTGGTGGTGGTGGTGGCAGCGGCGAGGGTGTGGGTGAGGGTGATGGCCGTGGGGAAGCCGGTATGGTGTTGGGTGCCGCTGGCGCGACTAGCCTCGCAGGGCTAGCGGTGAGAGCACGGTAGTGCGTTGCGAGGCAGTGAAGGAACACGGAGGCGGAGCGGCCGTCTGCGGAGGGGGGGTAAGGGGGGGGCGCAGGGATGGAGACACAGACGTGAAGGGTGAGAAGAGAGAGAGGAACAAGCGACAAGCAGGGACCGAGGGAGCCCTGGATGGGTTGTTCCCTGCCACACACATGAGTGAGGTTTGAGTGAGGTGGTATATAACATCAGGCAGCAGGACCGCATAGTAACAGCAATGCATACCGGTTATAGCAACACATGCCCACATCGGGCTTGAGGCTGGCGGATGACGTGTGTACGGCACACTCACCCACTACCGCATGGTGTAGCGTGACTGCCAGGATGCAGCCGCCATCATGGGAGGGCTGGGGCCGGTGTGTCGTCGCCGACTGACCCATGGGTCGTTGCTGTTGCTGAAGGCTGGAGGTTGCGGCTGGCGGCGCCAGGTGTGTCAGACGTACCTTGAGCAGGGGCTCCTCGCCGCGCAGAGCAGCCTCCGTGTCTAGGGGCTGTCGTTGCAGGTAGCGACGGTATGGGAAAGGACGAGGGAGGGGTGCGGTGGGAAGGGAATAAGGAGGAGTTGGGGAATACGATGGCCTGGTAGCTGTGATTCAATGCTTGCACGGGTCTATAGTACCGCAATAGTACCGCAATAATAGGTCAGGGCTAGGGAGTGTCAATGCAGTTAACCTGAACCAAACATGTGGGTTTCAGGTCCCTTGTTAAGCTACCGGTAGGCGATCTACAGCTCCCAAGTCATGTCGTACGTACGCTACCTCATAGTACGGCGGCAGCTTCCCGCCCATGTGGCTGAAGCCCCGCCGGTTGAGCGCCGCGATCCGCGTGAAGGCCTGCAGCGGCACCCGGCGGCACATGCACACAGGTAAAACCCCTCGCGGTGCTTCTTAATTTCTCAATACCGGTATTAAGGAAGCCTGCATTGCTCTTCAAGACAGCCCACCTGCAGCGGCGCCGCCCCGCTGCTGGCCTCCCGAATCACAGCTCCCGAGTTGCACAGCCGCACGGAGACGGCGCAGGTGCGACGGGCCTGCAACCGCCGTATGCGGCCGCCGGGCGGAGCCTGGAATCTGGGGTCGGGACGAGCATGCGGAAAGCCCCAGATGTGATGAGTGAGGACATGTGACGATTCACGACTGCGAGATGCGTCTATTGAAGGACTGAGAGAGTTAGATAGTTTGCGCTCCAAAAGCAGTGTCCAACCGTTATTCGTTGTAAGGTTAAGCTGCAACGCTGCAAACCTCTTCCTGGTCTTCTTTCCACTAGGGGCCACCACCCACCAGCAACGCCCGCCCGCCTCACCTGCCAGCAAGCAGCGGGAACTCGCCCAGGGTCGCCTCCAGTGCGATGCACAGTGTACGGAAATCCAGATCGTACGGCAACCAAAGCGCCTGAACAAGCAACGACAGCAAGCGGGGCAACCCTGATGGACGGTCATGTTGCACGGATGAGCGAGAGTGGACTACCGGTACGAACATCTTTCATGACCGCGTTTGCTGCTCCTGTGCTCTGTTGCTAGTGTTAAGAAGACTGGCTGCTGTTTGAACCTGTCGTGTGCGTACCTTGGGGTTGAGGCAGGAGAGCATCATGCCGTGGTCCAACGGACTCAGCTGCAGGATGCGGGATGAGCGGATGAAGCATGCAAAAGGAGGTGGGAGAAGGGTAGGAGGAAAGGAGTGAGAATGGTGACGGAAAGGTAGACATAAGCCAGCTCATGCAGGAAAGCAGTTATAGTTACGGTCTGCACGTGTGCACAGTGTGTCCGTATAGAAGCCAGGGGGGCCAAGGACACTATGAAAGCAAGTAGCGGGCGTGTATAGCAAGGTACTGTCAGTGCCGGCGTTCTCAAATCGCATGTCCTTTCCGACACACACCATGATACGGCAGCCTACCCGAATGGACGCAGCAGGCGAACCAGGTGATGACCCGCGGGTCACAGCAGCGGCAGGACTCGGCACGGCCCGAACCGTTACGGGCGGGCCCAGCCAGTCGGGGCTGCCGGGGACAGCGGAGGCGCGGCGGCGCGTTGGAGGGATCTGCGGAGGAGTGTCAGCAACAACATAACGTTAAGGGCCCGTCATGTCCTTGCCAACCGACCAAATCGCAATACCGCCGATATACCGGTATCCTAGGATGCGACTGTCAGTATGCCGGCACTTAACACACGCTCTTACCGCTCGCAGTCCGGCGGCGACAGCAGCAGTTGACCCAGTAGCAGCACCTGCTGCGGTTGCGGCTGTGGCTGCTGCTGTGTCTCGCCTGACTACCTCAGGGCTCTCCAGCCGCATCACCGCAGCGCTGCCCGGCGCCCCCGCGTGCGATGCATTCGCTACCAGGTGGATTGCAGTGGAGGGCGATTTCGCGGCCGGAGCTGCTGCACCAGCAGCACCGCCAACAGCAGCAGCCGTTGTTGCAGCTGTGTCGGCAGCCGCCTTGCCCGGGTCGTCATTGCGGCCTATCGGCAGGCAGGATTGCAGTAGCCGCATCGGGAGGACGATGTGTTGTGTGCACACAGCTTCACCCCTAACCGGCCTGCTGTCTTAATCGGGAAGAGTTGCGCGACTCCCAGGGTCTCTACTCTCCGGGGCTAGGGCTAATTCGTGTTGTGGTTGCTGTTTTGGACCATGAGGGCCCGTCTGAGGTAACAGGTGTATACGGTTCTTCGGGTAGTGTAGAGTGCCGGTACTAAGGTGGAGCAACGGGTCAGACTCCTTGAAAGGCGGCAGATACTTGCAGCGGGTAGACTCAACCAGGAAGGAACTGGGTATTGGTTGGTTCAATGGCTCTTGGCATGCAGTATGGGTGAAAGGTTTGGAAAGGCAGAGTGGCGAGGAATGTAAAGCGCTAGCGCGCGGTGTACTTGGAGGGTCCGAACCGAGAGCTGTTGAGGCCCGTACGTACTGGCCGCTGTTGACTGATGGCACGGAATCGGCCGGTCCTAGGCGGTGGATACGCCAACGCATTCCCGGCTAACGACTATCCTGCAAAAGGGTGTTGCACAACTCCATCAGCCAGTCGCATAGCATCACTATTTGCGTGATGTGTCACACAGGCTTTGACATTCGGATGCGACCACATATGCTGGTGCGGTGCGCTAGCAAGAGTACATGGATGGACGTCATAACGGCAAAGAGCCCCAGGCAAAGCCAGCGGAGGCCCAATTATTCTATGCATGGCCAGCAGTCGATTTTTGTCCCAAAGATCCCTTCCCTTGATTGATCGCCTCTGTGCTCTGTCGGTGTCACGTCAACCGACCAGGTTACGTACGTCGCCTTCCCAAACAACTTACTTAACCTGGTTGGTTGACAGTACTTTAGACAACAGAGGACTTGCGAATAAGGAAACGCTATTAAGTGCAGCGTCTCCAAAGGGCGACCATAACGTACGGCATTTCGTTTGAATGTTGACTGTCATTCCTTGCGCCCTATCGCCTACACAGCTAGGACGGCAGCGCATGCGCTTCACGTTTGCACATAACTGACATTCCTCACCATATCTGCCGTCTGCGGATGCACTTAAAATGCCCCCAGCACACGACGCTGCGAGTTTTGTTGCCGTTAGCAATACAACAGCAAAGATCTGTGCTTTAGATTCAACAGGAAAGCCAACCTATACTTGGCAGGAGAGCGGACAGCAATCGCAGGGCAGCGTCAACTGGCTTCGAAATGGCAAAGCGTTTCTCACGACGCAAGGAGGAAACGTTGTTATTCACTTGCTTGAGAAACTAAAGGAAAAGGCCACCGTCGTTCTTTCCTTGCCGGCGGGACCGCTTTTGGCCCGTGTAAGCGGCGATGGGAAGTGCCTAGTCCTTGTCCAAAGCGGCGTCCCCGGATCCGTCCATGTCTATGACATCCCAGCGCTTTTGGTAAGCATCGAGATATCGTGGCTTACTGAGGTTTCATGCCATACCACTTGCTCTGTCGCTGCCCCAGCACCCCTCGTTGCACTGCAGCTCAGTACACAAACTAGCCGGGGAAAGCGCAAAACGTGGCTTCCCTCGTGGCTCGCAAGAGCCAAGCCGGCTCTGCCCTGCTGCCCCCCTCGCCTCCTCCCATCAACCTACACCCATCCAACCTTCCCTTGCCCGCAGGGTACCGGGTCAGCTGCAACCAATCTGCCGGTCACACTTCAGGACCATGATAAGGCCATTCTGGCACTTGCGGCGTCTCCCGGGACTACGCATGTAGCATCTTCCAAGTACGTTGCGCAGCATGCCGGCATTCCGCTATTCCCCCGGCCCCTTGCCGTTATAAAGCTTCCCAGCGACCCTCTATTGCATGAACAGAGTGGCCCTATTACACCTGTCATGCGTATTGCACACATAACAATCGCGGGTGCTGACTCCTCGCCTTGCCACCTGCTCCCCCTGTTCCGCTCCTGCCGCAGCGCCGCCGGCTCCGTCTACCTCCACGAGGCGGGGTCGGGAGTGCGCCGCACCCTGGCGGCACTGCCCTGCGGCAACACCACCCTAATGACGCCCAAGCGCTGCCTGGCCTTCTCCCAATCATATAAGCCCCTTAGGTAAGAATACCGTACGAATAGTAGTATCGTACCAATCTGCTGGTTCCCGGGTCAAGCGCAGTGACACACCTAAGTGGCCGCCAATGCGGCGTACAGTCGCACTGCATGCAAAACTCATGAAGATGGGCCACCAACTGGCGCTTTAACAAGTACTGCATTGCAGGCTGGCAGCAGGCGCTGATGACGGACAGGTGCTGGTGTGGCAGGTGGCGCCAGCGCTGCAAGGAGGTACGTCGGGTGGACTGAGCCTGTGGAGGAGGTTGTCATGTTGGCTCTTTTGCGTGCGTCCTGTGAGGTATCGGCTGAGCACAGCGTGTCTCACCACCGGGGTTGAGCGGCAGCCTCCGCATTGGAGGATTGTAATCACGGATATGCCCGTTTTCCCCATTGTCACAGGCCCAGTAGCCGTCCCGAGCAAGTTGCGAGGGCGCGTGATGGGTGTGGGCTTTGCAGCATTCAACAAGGTGAGTTACCCCTTGTCCGTCCTGCGACTTCTAGGGCCGTTGTCGCAGCCACATGTGGCCGAGCTGCCACCAGCAAATGGGTGCCACTGTTGGGGCCGAACGCCGAGTTCCCCTTGAAATTTTCAGTTTACGCTTGGCAGCATGCGGGTTACCTAACATGTCCTATTGCTTTAGGTGCCTCCCCTACTCTGGAAGCGCTGCCCAGGACCTCCCTCACGAGCCCTCTGCAACCCACGCGCGCGCCTCGCTGGATCACCCTGGAGCACGAACCTAGTACAAACCTGGCATCACCCTGCCTGCTTTGCCCTCCCCCCGCCCCCGACATGCTGACCGCAGACGCCCTCCGCGGTGCTGCTGAGCTGCTCGGAGAATGGCCAGCTCTCGGCAGTTGACTTGCGCCCTTTCCCCAACCTCCAGGTGGGGGCTGTAGCGGTTGGTGGGTACAAGCCCTGTGCATGGACATGCGGAACAGCGTTTTTGCCCGCAAGGGCAGCTAAACACGGATAGTTGCTGAGGGCATTGCGTTGCACAAGGAGAGGGATGGCTGGGAAAGAGCAGCAGGGAGCTTACAGCTACTTGTATGCATCCCCTCTGCAATAACCGCCTTGCCCGGTGCAGGCCGGGATCTCGGTGGAGCTCAGCGTGTCGGTGTCCTGCATGGCGGTGCGGGAGGATGGGCAGGTGGTGGCGGTGGGGACGAAAGGTAAGGGCGCCCGTAACGGAGCCGCGGTCACGCCGCTTTGCCGCGAGCCTAGCTGAAGGTGCTAACGGCGGCTGATTGTGCCTTTACAGATGGGCGGATCGGCTGCTTCAGGACGGAGGAACTGATTACCAATCGACAGGTACGACAGCTGCTGACGGAGCCGGGGTTGGCCGGGGTGCTGGGGTTGGTCGGGCCGTCCTGGGCCGACATTGCCATTATGCTAAAGAAGCTTATCATAACGAGCACATGCCTGGTATTCCCTGGTCGTTGCATGCGTTTGACAACATGTCATACTCCACTGTGATATAGTGCCCATGGGTCGGCGCAGAACATGACCAAGCTGGGCCTCATCAAGGTGTTTGACCTGTGCACGCACCTGGACGTGGTGGACATTGCCTTCCAGCGAGTCAGGTGGGCGGGCAGGTGCAGGAGGGCCCAAACGGGTTGCCTAATAAGCAAGGTCTTGTAACATGGTATCCATGCTGCTTGGACTCACCGTACCGCCCTTCGGCCTTTGGAAGTCACAGCTGTAGGCTTGTTCTGCCCTTGTGTTAGGCTTGTCTTGTGTTGCATAGAAGTGTTTAGTTACCTAGCCGTACTTAACGGCGCTGCATGGCCCTGTACACAGCCACAAGGAGGCTCGGGACGTCGCACCCTCCACCCCGCCCTCATCCGCTCCGGCGGCCGAGTCGGCTGCTGCACAGCCCGCAGCAGCTGCAGACCGGTCACAGCAATCCACACAGGAGGCGAGACAGCACAGCGCCGGGTCTGCCTCCGTGGCGCCGGCTGCTAACGGGGGAGCAGCAGCCGTAGCCGCAACCGGTTCAAGCACGGGCACGCACGGGGCCTCTGCTCCCGAGGCGGCTCCGCCCCTAAAGGAGGCGACCAACAACTACTCGGCGCCTGCGGGCCTCCAGCGGCAACCGGGGGTTGCTGGCGGGGCTGGAGGAGGGGGGGGCGGAGGGCAGAGCCTACTAGACAACCATGATGCTAAAGCGACGGCAAGAGCAGGGACCACCGCCGGCTCCGCTGCTCCCTCTGGGACGGCAGCGACAGCGGCTGGCCAGCGGCACCAGCCAGCGGCTTCCACGGTTGCCGTCACGGGTTTGGCGCCTGGCGGCGGTGTCACGGCGAATGCCTCCCGGCTCCACAACTCCAGTCAATCCGCAGCATCCACAGGCCCTGCAGGAACCTCAGGGCAACCTCCTCCACCCGCTTCAGTGCCGACGCCTGCAGCAGCCGTTGTCGTCCCACCACCGCCTTCATCATCCTCGTCCCAGCAACCACCGCAGCAGCAAGCTACCTCTGTACGGCCGGTGGTGGTCACACCGCTGACGGTACCAGGCTCCTCCACCCAAGCAGTCATGCCTGGGCAGCGGCGGCCGTCGGAGGCAGGCGTCGGCCCCGGGGGCACCAGCGGGATAGCTGCGTCCACATCGGGTAACGTGGATGAGCCAGCGGCGGCGTCACCGGTGGCGGCTCGCGCGATGGTAGCTTCGGGCGTGTCGCCGGTCGCATCGCCATCTAGGTACGTGGACCCGGGTGCATGCAACGATTGCTCGCTTTATCGGGTTAGGACCAGATTGCTACAAGGTTGCGTGCCTTGATCTTCCTTTCGCCTTGTTTGTAACTCTTGTGTCTGCAAACTGCAATGCTCAGAAGCGAAAGTCCCAGCCTTCCTAATTCACCTCTCCCCCAGGGTGCACAGCCCGCGCACCGCCTCCCTGGGCGGTGCCGCTGCCGGCGGCCCCAGCGGCATCCCGCCTGCCCGGCTGCCCTTCGTAAGCACCGCTGGAGGCGGGGGTGGCGGTGAGGTCATGTCTGCAGCCGGCATGCGTGCCTACTTGGACGACTTCCGCCAGGAGGTGCGAGACCTGGTGCACGGCATGCAGGCGGACATGGTACGACAGACGGTGGCGCTGGAGGTATCACTGGAGGTGAGGGGGCTGGAGAAGAGATGGGATGAGGGTGCGTGGATGGAGGTGAGGGTAGGTGTAGGCCGGTAGTTGTATATCAGCATATAGTTGCATATCAGCATATGGCACGAGCTTCACCACTAAGCCATGAATCCCATGTTCAGACGGCAACCCCGCTAATACTGAACCGCTGCACGCCCCTCGTCTCTTGCCTCGCAGACGCAGACGGCGACTCAGTTGGCGGCGATGCAGCAGGAGAACCGGCAGCTGCGGGAGGACGTGGCGCGACTGACGCAGCTGGTGGAGACCTGCCTGCGCTTCGGACTACTGGGGCAGCAGCGAGGGCCCTGGTGACGCAGCGGGATGGGGAGCTGGCGGGGACGCGGGAGCCGCACTCGCAGGGCCACATCATGCAGGGCCACATGGCGTCCATTTGTCTGGCCCTTGTTTTCCCATGGTTACCGTTGGTTGGTATAAGTGACGTCGTGCCAAGTAGCGCATAGGGGCGTATGCTGCATGAATGGGCCGATTCTCACCTTGACCGCTCAGGAGTTCTGCCGGCAATGGAGCTCTGCCTGCATTGAGCCATGCATTGACGCCATGACATCAAGCCCCAGTTCTATATACAAAGACTTCCATTTGCACGGACCAACTGTCCACATGTGGTGTGCGTTAAGGTTAAATGTGGTGTGTGTGCTCATAACATAAATTCGAAGGTTACGTCCTGACGCGGTCGGGGCCCAATTTGACATGCAAACAGAGTCTTGTGGGACGTGCGGGGTAACGGCATGTATTGCCTAATTTCCAGCACAATTACCATGGCCATGTGAGCTTCAACAATATGTTTTGTGTACTGTCCTATCACTCCTTGGGAAGGCGTGGGGACCTGGCGTTATGCTCTATAGCGCGCGTTCCTGGAAAGGGAATGCAGCTTCCACGAGACGCACAAATGCGATAGCCCTTGCACGGCGTGCTGGGGCCATGACAGCCCCCAAGTCGGGGGCCCTACCGGCGCAATCCCGTCTACCCCAGTTGTCGTACAGCGTCAACCTTCATCGACAGCGCGGTGACGAGAGAGCTTTAAGCGACACCTGGCAACACATTCGTGCGTGCTGAGACCTGGCATTATTAGCATATTCCTAAGCTTCTTATCGTGCCTTTGCATTCCGCCAAACGTCTCATCGTCGTACTGTCTTACGAATATGGCACGGCTTACACTCTTTTACTCCGTTAACAACTATCGTGTTCGCCATACAACTTGTAGTTTAAGCTACAATTATAGTATACACCACCGTTTCCTACCGTCCGTTTGCGCTTAAGCTTAGTCGTCAATTTGTTAGGTAATTGCCTTGACATTATATGCAGTAGGTTGGCATATATAGCTGTAGGTCAATGGCGTTGCTGTTGGTTGGTCTTCGGTAATCGGCGCGCAACATTTTGCGGCCGGTCATCGTCGCTATCGGCCGTCTGGCTAAAATCTTGCAAACGAAGGATTCTATACTAGAATGAAGATGTAAGCAGTCCGAAAACCGCGTTGTCGCAACCGTTACAGCAAACTGCACCCAAGGGGGAATGCTGTGTTTTACCCAACGGCTTCGTGTGCTGACCCCTCGTAGATTACAGCCTAACGCCGCAACAATCTGCAATTCTGAGCTCCTACATGTGAGTCAAGCTCCGTAATGCCGGGCTATTGCTCCATCGCTGGAGGATTCGTTTTACATGGCAAGCAAGCTGCACCGCCCGCAAGATACATCTTTCCCTCGCTTCTCAGCCCGCACGTAACCCTACTCCCGCGTCCTCCTTAGGTTTCAGTCAAGGCACCCATCCCTCGTAGACCCAAAACAACCATTGACCTGTTGCCCCCCCTCCCATTCCGCTCCATCCTCTTTCACCTTCCCCACCTCAGGTGCTGGCGGAGCGGGGCGCTGATGGCAGCGGCAAGGCCCTCCCCGTGGAGCGCATGGTGGGCTGGGGCCGGCTGGGGTGCGGCGGCGCCATGAGCCGCCGGGCAATGGGGCTGCATGGGGGGTCTTGGGGTTGGTCCTCCGTGCCCATGTGGCGTGTGGGGCATCCCATCTCCCACCCACTGCCACCTCGCCTCCTGCCCGATTCCCCTCCTGTCTCCTCACACACACCTCCCCCTCCTTTCCTCCTCCCTCTCATACTCCTTGCCCCCTCTCCCTCTCCTCTCTCTCCTCCTGCTCCTCCTCCGCAGGCCTACCAGTACCTCTCCTCCCAGCCCGTGCAGCCGCTCACGGGGGCGCAGCTGAAGGACTTCTTCGCAGCGCTGCAGGTGGGAAGGAGGGGGGTGGGGCAAGGGTGATGGGTGACAGTGGGCCGAGCAGACCGGCTTGGGGTTTGCAGTGTAGAACGAAGTGGGCTCCCCCCTTCTACCGCGGGTCGGGTCCGGCGGCTTCTGCGTGCTCCACTCCGTGTAGGACCCGAACAGCACCCTCGCACCCGGGCCATGCTGACAGCCTCAACCCCGTTCCGCTCCCCGCAGCACCGCCCTCCCTTGCTTTACCCTCCTCCCCTTCTTCATCCCGCCCCTCCTCCCCTTCCCTGCCGCCCGCCCAGCCGTACAACCTGAGTCGCGGCGAGCTGCTTCAGCTGGCCAACCTGGCTCCCACCAGCCCCGTGGAGGTGCACCTGGTGGTGGCGGAGTGCGAGAGCAGGCTGGGGGACGGCGGGGTGGAGGCGGTGCTGGAGGCGGTGGGGGCCAGGCTGGCGAGGGAGGGAGGCGGGGAGCAGGGGGCGGCGGGCGGGGGTGTGGTGGGGGCGGAGGGAGGGCAGGGAGGGGAGATGGGTGATGGCATGGAGGGGTGAGAGAGAAGTGGAGGGGTTACCGGTAAGGGGGGAAGAAGAAACCTGGGTTTCCAATGCTCGAAGCCTAATCCGGCGCCACCAGGTTGGCGCGAGGGGGGAAGAGGGGGAGGGGAGGGGCGTGCTAGGTGATGTGCTGAGGAGAGGAGAGGAGGGGAGGACGAGAGGGACAGGACAGGGAATGGGTGCAAGCAGTGTGCGGAAGAGGAGATACTGTACGGGCGTCCCAACAACAAGCAGCAGCAGTGGTGTAGCAGATGGGGTGGGGCTGTCGGTGCTTCAGCCTTTGCTGGAAGCGGAGGGGGGCGCCACTGCTTACACAGTTCCGGACTTTCTTCATCTTACGGTTGTGTGCAGCTGGGGCCTAGGGGTTATGATGCTGCCTGGAAATATGCAGTCCCGGAGTCAATAGGTGGGTGGGGTGACTGCCCTGATTGGTTAGGTCGTACAGATAACGACCTGTCTTCGGAACACAAGCGTAGCGAGGAGGGGCGAGGCAAGGTTGGCTGGCAGGACTCGTCTTGATGAGATAAAGGGTATACGGGAATTCCCCAAATGAGGAGCAGTGACACTACTGGAGAGGGAGGCTTCGCTTCGCGGGTGCGCGTCCTCTTTCGCTGGGAGCAACCCGTTTCGCACCTTGGGGTATGTTTTTATGTATGGTGGATGATGTGAGGATGCCCGCTTGCCCAAATAGGCAGATTAGGAGCACCCGCCAAAAGTGCCTTTGTGAAAAGCACACAACGTGTGCCGTGCATTGTGCAGGCAGGGCTTTGTGGTTTTGTGGGGGGAGAGATGGGAACGTGAGGGTTTTCCTCCGATGTGGTTTGGCAGGCGAGGAGGCTTGTGAGGGGCACGTCGCATCCGTTGACGCCAGCAAGGAAGGTATCTAGACCGTCATTTTCTGGTGGGTGTTGCGCCTGTGTGCAGATTACGGTGTATGAATAGGCGCGGCTTGGAGAGTACCGACAAGGCAGATGCCTCCACGGCAAAGGTAGATACACGGATTCCTGTTGCAGGCTAGAGGCTAGCTGGATTACTCGGTTTGCGGGTGTCACCGTCGCTTATCATTGGGGTCATGGCATGGTCGCTTTGCTGTACGTGATAGCACCCGAGGCATCTTTCAAAGTCTCGGTTTCTTGGAGATAACCAAGCATGCTGTAATGGCGTTGGAAGCAACCCTTTTTACGGAGAGCGTTGGAGTGTCTACGTGTTTGCGGTGGTATGGACGAGCGTTAGCCCAAGGCGGAGCCTGCGGATACGTTGGAGGCCTGGATATGTAGTAGCTTCCAACTTTCTTTACAATTATTGCGACACAGTCCGACGCGACTAGGTATGCGACGGAGGGTATGTACGACGAAACGATGGGAGCGAATGAAGCCCAACATCCATGGCTGACGGAGAAAAAGGGTACTAGGAGACTGTCTCACTCTTGGTAGAGGAAACGTACAATTCACTTGCAGCATTTCTGCTCCGCGCCGGTACAACGAAGATACTTTGGTCCAATGGGGTTACGCAGAATATTGTAGCAACCTGCGTCTGCATAGCGTCTAAATGCAATGTTGCCGAGGTGAATTACGCGCAAACCCTAACTCGGAAGTCTACCGCCATACTATAATCGGCATGTGAGCACAGCTGAGCAGTTTGCGGAGAAGGAGCTGCGCTCGGACACAAGGGCCATTGCCGCTTGGAATCCCTGCGTTGGAGTGCTGAAAGGACAAAACGCACAGCTGTTTGTTCGGCCGTGGGTAGACGAATGGGGTGCAGCTCAAGCAAAGGGTACGATGCTCATCATGGCTTGGAACAAGTGAGCCATGAACTCGTTAAGAAATCTGCAGCGCTAAAGGCCGAGGCGCTGCGGGTAGCGGATGAAATGATGGCACAGACCAAGGGCAGGTAAGCCTTATTGGGTGAAACGACACTCCAAACGGTATTCTAGCAGTTACCTATAACCCTGTGGTTACCTGCAGGCGGTTTCACGAGTTTTACACCCGATTGACACTGACGAGCTACGGGGCGAGTTGTAAAGTGCTAACAGCGTATCATCGCACCACAAGCAAAAAAGTCGCAGTCAAGACCATACCTAAGGTGCCTGCTGTATGGGTGCCCTCATCAACGTGCGCGCTTTAACCGAGGGCATTGTGTTTTCCTACAGAGTCGCAAACAACAGGAGCGTCAGCGTCAAAGGGTTAAGCAGGAGATTGGAACTTTCCGCATGGTCGAGGATCACCCAAATGCTGTGCGGGTTTTGGAGATTTTTGAGGGTGCTGAGTGTTACTACATTGTCATGGAGTGCTGCGAAGGCAAGAACAGAGCAAGGAGCGGGTTTCAGTGTGGGGATGAAACATGGAAGGTCCTAGCAGATGGCGCCTCACAACTGCATGCGCATTAGGAACCATCGTTTGCCGGGTTGGGGGAGGGTCAGAGGCCTGACCCAACCTGCCGTAGGCTCCCTCCGCCGGCTGTCGTGCCCTCCGCACCTCCCCATCAGTCCACACACCCTCCCCACCCCCGGGCCCCTCCCACAATGCCTCCCGATCTCCCCAGGCGGCGAGTTATTTGACCACATCAGCAAGAAGCAGGTGTGGGTGGATGCCTCAGAAACCCCTAAGCGGATCCTAGGCCCTAGCAGCACCTGGGACCTTGTCCGTGCTTGTCTTACCGAAAGCATATGCCCTGCACACCGCCCTGGCAGCCCGTCCTGACAGCGCCCGCCGTTGCTTCCCGCTGCTGCTCCGACCTGCTGTGCCCCCTGCCGGGAGCCCCCTGCCCGGCCCCTTACGACCGCGGAGCCTGCTGCCCTGCCTGGCATGGCGCACGCTACCACCCCTGCCCCCTTTCCCACCTCCCTCCCACCTCCCTCTCCTCCTCACCCCCTCCCCTCGCTCCTCACCCCAGGGCTGCTTCACTGAGCGGCAGGCGGCCCAGCTGCTGCGGAGTCTGATGCTCTTCCTGGCGCACATGCACGCCAAGGGGATAGCGCACCTGGTGAGGGTGGGGGGGAGAGGGAGGGAGGGAGGGCGCGGGAAAAAGTAAGAAAACTGAGGGAGGGAGGGTAGAGGGATAGATGAGGGGGGGGGTGGAGAGGGAGGGAGGGAGAGGAGAAAGGGAGGCAGGTGACAAGAGGGAGAGGGGAGAGGGAGGGGTGGGAACTGCCCTGGTTTGGAGGGAGATGTGGCCGCTGAGGAGGGGCTCTTGCAAAGGCGGGCTGGTGACATGGCGGGAGGCGGAGGCAGGGCTGAAGCCGGGTGTTGGGGAGGGAAGGAGCGGAGGGCACTAAGGCAGGTAGGGTCCATAATCGGCAGCAATGGCATAGAATGAGACAAGCGGGCTAGAGTGCAGACGAGCGACATGGACATGCATGTCCGCCCCTTCCCGCTCCCTACCGCCTCCCCTCCACTCCCTCCCACCCTGCTCCCCCCCTCCCCCCGCTCCTCAGGACATCAAGCCCGAGAACCTGATGTTCGACAGCGAGGGGGCGGCGGGGGTGCTCAAGGTGCTGGACTTTGGATCCTCCGTGTTCGTGCAGCCCAATGAAACGGTAGGGGAGGGGGAGGGGTGGGGGGCCGGGGGTGTGTGGTCGGGGGCGGGGACACGGTGTGTGCACAGGGAAGGGGTGCGGGGGCAAGGAGAGCAGCAGGGGGGGATACAGTCCTCCCATCCCGCACTGCTGTCTCAGCGCTGCTCCCCATTCACCTCACTCCCATCCCTTCCCCCGCCCCCCTCCGCCCCCCCCCCCATCCACCCAGGTCCGCAACGCCTTCGGCACGGTGCGCTACGCCTCCCCCGAGATGGCCAACGACGTGTGCGGGCAGAAGGCGGACGTGTGGTCGGCGGGTGTGGTGATGTACATCCTGCTGTGCGGCCGCGCGCCCTTCCTGCGCAGCAACGACACGGAGACGCTCAACCTGATCAAGAGCGGCCCGAGGGTGCGGTTCAGCGGGGAGAGGTGGACGGCCATATCCAGTGTGAGTGGGAGTGGGGGGGTGGGAGTGGGGATGGGGGTGGGAGTGGGGGGTGGGAGTGGGTGTGGGGGGGATGCAGGAGCATGGGGCTGCGGGGGTATGAAGAGCCGGGATTTCGGCACGGGGCTACTCAGGTGATGAACTGCATCTGAGCCTCCCTACCTCCACCTGCCCCACTGTAGTTTCGCCCTCCCTTATCCCCCTACCCTCCCGCCCTCCCCCCTACCCCCCCAGGCCGCCAAGGAGTGCATCCGCGCCATGCTGGACCCCGACCCGCGCTCCCGCCCCACCGCGGTGGAGGTGCTGGCCATGCCCTGGCTCAAACAGCAGGTGCGGCGGGGGGGGGGGGCAGAAGACCCAGTGTGTTGTGAGGGGCTGGGGGGGGAGGGGAGCAGGAGGAGGAGGGGGATTTCGAGAGGCAGGAGGACGAACCAGCAGCCTGTGATGGCTCAGCAGCAGCAGATGGAGAGCCGCCCCTTGTGTACGACAATCGCCCCTCCCTCCATTTACAAATACCTCTCCCAGCCACCCGCCTTGCCCTCATCCCATCCGCCTCCCCCTCCTCCCCTCCCTCCCCCCTCCCTCCCTCCCCCCCAGGTCCCCGAGACCATCATCCTTCCCGACACGCTGCAGCACCTGCGCACCTTCGCCAACCAGAGCCGCATCCGTCGGCTGCTGCTGGGTCTGATGGCTGACCAGCTGGTGGGCAGTGGGGCCAACCAGCTGCTGGGGCAGTTCTACAGCATGGACAAGGACTTCAGCGGCACGCTGGAGGTGGCGGAGCTGGTCAAGGCGGCGCAGGAGGTATGGGGGGAGGCCGGGAGGGAGGGAGGGAGGGAGCGAGAGAAGAGTGACCATGCGTTAAATGATAGAAGCATGCTACCGGTAGGTGACATGCTCCTGAGAGGGCGGGAGGGCGGGAGGAGAGGTGGAGTTCAAGGTGGGAGAGGGGAAATTATAGATAAGTGCAACAACACAGTCCCAATCCCGAATCCCGACTCATGCAGTGAGCGCAGTCGGAAAGGCACTCTTCGGCACTCTTCTAGAAACACGCAACTCAGAGACTTACCGATTGCCTGCTTACCAGAAACCAGAGATGACTTGAGGAAGAAGCCGCGTTGCATAGGAACACTAGTAAGGCATGTGCCGCGCCGCCGGCCACTAGTCCTAATAAGGCAACAGGGCTGTTGGGCATACACGCGGTGCGGGGCGGTAACTAGGGACCGCAGAGCCTTGCATGCGTACTGCTGGTGTGGCTGTACGGGTGTGCCTGGTTGGTTGGCTGTCGCAACCCCCATCCGCTTGCATGCGCATCCAGACGGCACTCGTACCCACCCCCCCCCGCCCCCTGCAGGCCATCCCCGAGCTGACGGAGGAGGAGATCAACCGCATGTTTGAGGCGCTGGACGTGGACCGCACGGGTACGGTGGACGTGAAGGAGTTCTTCGCGGGGCTGATCCAGACCATTGACGAGGAGAAGCAGACGCTGGTGGCGCAGAAGAGCTTCACCATACTGGACAAGTGAGGGGCGGGGGGGGGTAGAGGGGAAAGGAGGGGAGGAGAGAGGAAAGGAGGGGAGGAGAGAGGAAAGGAGGGGAGGAGAGAGGAAAGGAGGGGAGGAGAGAGGAAAGGAGGGGAGGAGAGAGGAAAGGAGGGGAGGAGAGAGGAAAGGAGGGGAGGAGAGAGGAAAGGAGGGGAGGAGAGAGGAAAGGAGGGGAGGAGAGAGGAAAGGAGGGGAGGAGAGAGGAGAGGAGGGGAGGAGAGAGGGAGAGGGGGGGAGGAGAGAGGAAAGGAGGGGAGGAGAGAGGAAAGGAGGGGAGGAGAGAGGAGAGGAGGGGAGGAGAGAGGGAGAGGGGGGGAGGAGAGAGGAAAGGAGGGGAGGAGAGAGGAAAGGAGGGGAGGAGAGAGGAAAGGAGGGGAGGAGAGAGGGAGAGGGGGGAGGAGAGGAGGGAGGGGGAGGGAGAGAGGGAAGGAGAAGGAGGGAGGGGGTGTTGGGGTGTTGCCGGTAGGTTGTGTGTTGGTGCGAGCTACACGTCATGCTGCTGCTCCGGCAACAGAGGAGGGATGTGCGGCTGCCGGGGGGAGGGGGGAGGGGGGAGGGAGGGGTCCGGTGGGGTCCGGTGGGGTCAGGGTCGCAGCGCGTCCTGTGCGCCCATGTGCGACCAACATCGACGCGGCATCCAACCTCTGCCTCCCCCCCCCCCCCCCCCCCCCCCCCCCCCCCCCCCCCCCCGCCTCCCCCCCCAGACGCGGCTCCGGCTACGTGACCAAGGAGGTGTTCATGGAGGTGCTGCTGGAGCGGGTGCAGCAGGGGGCGCTGCGCACACTGGAGCAGCAGCAGGGGGGAGGGGCATCACCGCCGGCACCTCTGCCAAACCAGCAGCAGCAGCAGCAGCAGTACCCTCCCCTCGCCGCCGCCAAGCAACCCGCGACGCAGCAGCAGCAGCAGCAGGGGCAGCAGCAACCCTCCTGGGGCCACCCAGGGGGGCAGCAGGGGCAGGGGCAGCATGTCGGGGGGCAACCCCCACCCCACCCGGGGCTGCAGGACCCCCACCCCCTCCCCCCCAACCCCTTCCACACCTCCCAAGGCGGCTGGAAGCAGCAGCAGCAGCCCCAGCCCCAACAACAACAACAGCAACCCCCGGCCGGTGTTGGTGGCGACCCCCCGCCCCAGCCCCCTCCCCCCCCTGAGCCCCAGCCCCCCAGCAGTCGTCGTCGTTCCTCCGCTGAGGGCGGCGAGGGGCCGCTACTGCTGGACCCCGCGCTGGTGGCGGAGCTGGAGGCGGAGTTTGCGCAGCTGGACGCCAACGGGGACGGAGTGCTGAGCTTCGAGGAGTTCAAGGCCATCCTGGGGATACAGTCGACACCGGAGGGGCTGCAGCTGGCCCAGTGGGTGATGGGGCGGGGGCGGGGGCGGGGGCGGGGCGGGAGGATGGAAGGAACATGCGGGTAAGAGCGGGGGAGGGGCATGGGGAGGTGGGAGGGCGGTAAGATGCATAGAGAGCCCTACACGGGCGTGAAGGGGAACGGGCATGGCACTGCTAGCCTGTCTGTCGTGGGGACGTCTAAGTGCCCTGTTCCCCTATAGCCTGGTCGTTCTACAGGCTGGTCCTCTCCTGATCACCCTGTCCCGCTTCCCGTTCCCCTCTCTCTCCCCCCCCCACACCTCCTCACCCACAGGCCTCAACTGGCAGCGGTGCCCTCCCTGCAGGAGGGCATGGAGAATCTGGCCCACACCCTGCGCACCCGCACCCGCACCGCCTCCGCAGACGACCATGTGCACTACATCACCGCAGCGGCCGGAGGTGGAGGTGGCGGCAATGACAGCGGCAATGGGGCCGGTGGTGGTGGTGGCGGTATTGGCGGCGGGCGGGCTGGCTCCACCATGGGCTGCCGGGCGCAGTCGCTGAGCAGCGGCGGAGGCCTGTTCAGAGCGCGCAGCGGGCAGCACCCGCGAGGGGGGGAGTACAGCGGGCCGCTGGCGTTTGTCGGGGGGAGCGGGGCGGGAGCAGGCGGAGGAGGGGGTGGCAGTGTGACGGGGGTGCAGCAGCTGGGGCGGGGCAGCACGGGCGGCAGTCGTGCGGCGTCGGTGGGTGTGGTGGACCGGGCGGCGCTGGATCTGGAGCTGCCGTACGACCTGGGGACGAGGGACCTGCTGCAGCTGCTGGCGCCGGCGAAGCGGTCGCCGAGGTGAGGCAGGCGGAGGAGGGGAGGTGTGGGGTGTGGTTGGGATTGGGTGGGGATGTGACGCAGGCTGGGGATTGTGAGCGGCTGCGCGGAAGGGGCGATGGACGGAGCTTGCTCAATGGGTGGGATGATGGCCGGTGAATGGGGAAGAGGATTGGTACTGGTGGTCGATGTGCCCTCCCAGGGTTTGAGCGCGGGAGTAGTAAGTGCGCCCGCCCCTCGCATGCACACCGGCCGCCCCTCGCCTGTGTGAACCTCCTTCTCCTCCTCCCGCTGCTGGCCCTACCTCGCCGCCACCCCTCTGCCGCCCGCCCCGCACCCCTGCTCTTCTCTCCTCTCCTCTCCGCAGCATGAGGGGCACGCTGGGCAGCAGCACCCCGCAGCCAGCACCCCGCAGATGACGTGCGTGCCCCGCATCACTAGTGCCCGCTAGGGGGGCGCACACCGCCGGGGGGTTCCAGCCAGCCCCCGAGCTTGGGTGACGTGCGCGGGGTTGCCCCTGCCATCATAGGTGCATGCTGTTGAGGCAGCTGTTAGGGGCGCCGGACTGTGGGAGGACATCATACATACCCATCCCGGCAGCAGCAGCACCACCACCTCTTGATGCCGGTACCTTGCCCCGTTGCATGAGTATATTAGAGCCCCGTGGCCTCTGTCACTACGTTCGTCGCCGCGTGGCCTTCTACAAAACCTGTCCCACTCACCTGTCCCCCACCCCTCCTGTGCTCCACACCCGCTCCGCATCCCCTCTCCCTCCCCCCCCCCCCCCCCCCCCCGCAGCATGATGATCCCCCGCTCCCAGTCCCAACAGCCCTTCAGCCACTCGGGCGCCCTCTACCGGAGCAGCGCCGGAGCAGCCCCCGGCGGGGGAGGAGGCGGAGGACTGGTCTGCACCAGCGTAGCCGGCTTCCGCCTGCCCTCCAAACGCCACCCGGGCGGCAGCAACGCGCGCGACGCCGCCGCCCCTGCTGCCCCCGTCATCCAGCGCGCCGCCTCGGTGGGCCTCTCCCGCACCGGCTCCTCCTCCGGCCGCACCACCTCCATCCCCACGCTGCTGCTGCTGGAGAAGGTCCCCTCCATGCGCGCACCCTCGCTGCCGCCGCTACTGGCGGCTCGCAGCGCACGCGGCGCCGGGGGGCTCAAGGCGGTGGATGCGTGGGACGGACCGCTGCCGCCGCCGGTGCAGCCGCTGCAGCATGCGCCCTCGCATAAGGGGGTGGCGTTTCGGACGGGGAGTAGTGAGGACGCCGGGGAGGGGGAGAGCAAGGGGCCTGGTGCGTCAGGGGCCGGGGCGGAGGCGGCGGAGGCGGCGGTGCTGCCTGGCGTGCTGCCTCCGCCGGCCCCAGGGTCGGAGGCCTGCTCGAGGAGTAGCGTGGAGCTGCTGTCGGCGTCCAACCGCTGGCGGCAGTCGTGTTGCGGGGAGAGCAGCCTCCACCTGGCAGAGCCCTCGGCGGTTGCGGCGGGGAAGGGGTCGGGCGCCACTGCCCTCACGTCGCCCAGACCGCTGCAGCCCCAGCAGCCGCCGCCGCAGCGCACATCCAGCTTACGGCTAGGGTTTCCGGCCTCACCCCTGGTTGCCGCGGGGGCTGCTGTTTCACCCGGGGGCGGCGGTAAGGCCACGCCGGTGGTGGCAGCGGCGGTTGCGGAGGGCCAGGGTCATGGTCAACATGCGGAGCTATCGCCCCTGGTGGCGGGCATACCCGGCAGCTCGGATTTGAGCAGGCGGCTGCTGCTGGCTGACTGCGGGGCGTAGGGGTGAAAGGAGGTGGGGGTGAGGGTGGGGGTGCGGTTGAGTAGCGGTGTTCTTGTGTGCTGCTGCCGTAGGTTGAGGTGCGGGTTTGTGCTGTCTTCATGGTGTTACCTGTCATGTTACATTACAGTCTGGGAGAAGCGGGCCGTTCGGCCACCATGCATGCTCTCGCTCGGCACAGGGTTGGTGGTGGTGTTCTTGGAGCAGTCGCCTGCCTGGCTGGCTGGCTGGCTGGCTGGCTGGCTGGAACACCTTGCATGCTGACACTTCGTATGACGGTTACTATTATGCGCTCCCCTGCCATGTTCCCAAGTTGCTGGTCAAGTTACTACAGCTACTAAAGAAGAAAGGTCAGGTTGACACTCGCGGTTGAGCCCTCGCGGCGAGCCAAAGGCTGCCGCCTCCTTTCTTATGTCGTACGCAGCTAGGTGCAACACACCTGTTGTCGGGGGCGGCTGTTGCGCCGCTCGGTTGCTGTTGTGGTAGAATGCAATGCGGAGAGGCGCGGTGACGGATGTGGACCTTACCGCCCCTCGCCTCTAGGTTATTTCAATGTGAGCTGTTGAATAGAGGCGCGGGAAGTCGGCTTACGTATCTGGCGTCTTGCGGAAAGGGGAGGTGTGAAGGTTTCTTGGGCAGGGTTTTGAGGGCACAAAGGAGGAATTAGGGCGTGGCAGCAGTTGGCCCGCCGTTCCGTTGCACCTTTCGACACAGTAGCAGGATTGGAGCAGCTGAATCCGCGTTGCGGCATGTTGGACATATGGTTTCTTTCTTCTCGGTCAACAGTAATCGCATGTGTACATACACAGTTAATTTTGTTGGGGCGCGAAGCCGCAAGAGGTATCGTACGGGGTTTTTTGAAATGGCGTTGCCTCGGGTCCCGCTGGTCTCGCGCATATGTTTGGTACTTGCAGCATCATAAGTGATTGTGCGTTCCCTTGCGTTGGTCGGTTAATTTATACAATCGGTGTCGTTATGCCCGGTTTGTGTAATATGCTATTCTCTAACCGCTTGTACTGTGGAGGTGGTGTGGAAAGTGTTGTACATGTTGAAGAGGGCCTGGTCATTGACCGGTGGTCCCAACATCGGTAGTTGGGTTTATCAAGTGCTGCTGACGTTCAAGTTGCCGTCGCGTGGCGTGCGTGAAGTGGATTGGGCTGCGCTGGTGTGTGGTTTAGCGGCATCTAGGACAGAACGAATGCCCCTTTGGTACCATGGGGATATGACGCGGATTCGTTGCCCCGGGGTTTGCCCGGTGCGTTTACAGGGACGGGGTGTAGGCTCTGAATGCTGACTGTGTATTGACATCAGAACCCTGTCAGAACTGTATTTAAACAGCAGCCCCGCGGCTCCCTAGCAGCGGGCGCTGGGCAGTAGTGATGCGGGGCCCGCGGTGTGTTGGGAATTTGGCAAGGCCGTTTGTTGGTTGCTGCCGGTTCGCCGTCGTTTGGAGGCTCCCCGTTCATATTGCTGACCTCGTCCTTATGTCGGATTGCAGGATTGCATGGCGGAAAGCATGGCTTCGTACTGTCGTGCCGCATTCGGGGTATGGTACACATCTGCAATTCTGCACACACAGCATATGATGAGGTGAACCGCAATTGTGTTCGTTTTTTGGCCTTTGCAACAAACAAGTTGTCCTTAACGGATAGGCCGTTTTTATGCAAGGTTTGCTCAGTACTGCGAACCTGGTCCCTGTACGGCAACAAACTATGATGCGTTTCGTGATATAAAACGTGACTCCGCAGCATCTGGCTAGGTCAGACTCCCGAACATGCCTGCATGCGCAGCAGAGCCGGGTGCGGCGGGAGGCCATTCGACCTAACATCCCGACAAATAAAATAACTTATGCAGCGCAGCACACACCAATCGGATCACACCCCCCAACCTCCTTTGCTGACTGCTGCATATGCCACTTGGCTCAGCGCTCTCCTGCCTTGCTGGTGCCGGGCGGCGGCGCTTGGCAGCGGCAGCAGGTGCAAGATAACCTGCCAGAAATCCAGCCATCCTTCGGGAAATCGGGACATTCCTTCTGCAGTGAGGGCAGGGAGAGCTGTCACCCCCGCAGCGGGAGTTTGCCTTCTATCCTCCTATGCACCACCCCATCCCACCAGCACTTGGTGGGGATTGCCATTTTGCCAGGCAACAAAGATCACTCTACCCTTCGAAGTAACGCCTCTCCCAAAGACATGCCAACGACACACTAACATATAGCTATCGTTTCCAGGCGTCCCACCAAAAGCCGCAGCCAGCAGGCCCTCCCCGCACCCGCCCCGCAGCCAGCACAACCCATGCACTGGAACGCAGTTGCCTCCACCATCCCGCCCCGCCCCTGCCAAGATGCGCACTACCGCCTGCCTACATACACCGCCTTGCAGTGGGCGGGGTGGGCGCAGCCGGCGATACGGAACAGCGACACCGGTGGCGCATCGGAGCAGCAGCACCTGTGAATGATACACATCTTGCGCCCATCCATGCAAGGCTATGCGTGGCTGTGAGTCAAGGGCGCTCATACGGCAGGGACAGGAACAGCCCCTCTTAAGTGAACCGCAATGCACCTTTAATTGCACGCACATACAAATACGCAATAGCCAATCACATTCCACGCATTCTTCAGCACCGCCCACAGCATTCCCGTCACCATTGCTAAGCGAGGGAGCAACAAAGCACGTTCAAGCCCTGTCAGCACTTCAGCTTTCAATACACGCAGTGCACATGCAACAGCGAAAGGAAATTTTGAGCAGAGACCACCGTTCTATCTAGCAGAACCCCTTCTCCCTAACACAGTCCCTACTCAGGACTCAGCAGCGGTCTTCATGCCACCCTGAAAGCGGAAAGCTAAGGATGCGCTCCAAGAGTGCAACCCCGCCAAGCCCTCCTCGCCGCCGCTCGAGTGCACTGCTGCAAGCACACCTCTCGAGGACACCCGCAGCTCACCCACACCTCAAGCAAAGCCGTGTTTCAAGACTTCCACCCCAACCTCGTTCCGCGCGCCCTGCACAACCTGCCCACATCCTGCAAGCCACCTTCCCCGAGCCGGCCAAGCCGCAAGTCCGCAATACCGCCATACCCCCATGCCGCCCCTCCCAAAGCCCAACCCCAACACACAGCGCAACCACGTGTCGCCCCTAAAGCCCTCAAGCTGCTGCGATCAACACCATGACGCCGCCGGCTCTCCGCTCCCCGTCATGGGGTCATGAGGGCCGACTGGGTCGGTACCGCATCACCGCCGCTGCCGCCGCTCGCGCGCCCGTCAGCACCCGCTGCTGCTGCTGCCCCGGGCCGCCCCCACCGGAGGGCGCCCCGGGGGCGGAGCGCTTGCCGGAGGGGTGCGAGGCGGCGGCGGCAGCCAGCCGAGCCAGCTCCGCCTCGTATCGCCGCCTGGGGTGGGGGATGCACCGAATCGGAGTGGGACCGGGAATGGTCAGAATGGAAGCCTGGCCCAGGGCCCAGGGGAAGCGAACCCGGGAGCAGGGGCACTGCTTGCCTGCATCGTGGCAGAGGCACCTGCACATGAGAGGACGGCAAACACCGCCCCCGGTGGACGCCTGACGGCAACCCCACCATGCACCCCGCCCCCACCCCCGCTCCCACCTGGACTCCCGCTCTTCCTTGACTTCCGCCTCCAGCTGCGCCATCCGCTCCAGCCACTGCGCCGCCTCCGAGGGGCTCACCTCCTCGCCCTCGCAGCCCTCGCAGCGGTACCGGTCAGTCACCTGCAGGCGGCCGGAGGGGGCGAAGAGGATACAACTAACGAAACGTGAGATAAGGCGTCATCATGGTTTGCAACATGTGAGCCACCCCGATTCGCCCAGGGGGTGGGGCGCCGGGGCGGGCAGGGCAGTTGGGCGCAACGGAGGGGTGAGGGAAAAACACAACAAGCAAGCCGTGACTCCCGTTCTACTTCCCTTTCCACCAAATCCGCATTACATGCCTAAGCTCGGCATCAGTCCCTCCGTACAGAGCTCCCCACCCCCACCCCACCCACCGCTGTCAAGGGGTAGCTCGCCTCCGAGTCGCCCGCGCTCTGCCACCAGGACGCATGCGTACCGCCGTCCGAAGAGCGCCGCTCGCGCCCGCCCGCACCCCGCGCCTCGCTGCCGCCGCCGAAGCGCTGCCGCTGATCTGGGTCGCCGCCGCCGCCTCCTGTGTCGCCTGCAAGCACCACGGCTCGAGCATGCGGCAGCTGTGACGGCGGCACGTCGCGCAGCCCCACCACCCGCGGGGTGCCCCATCGGACGCCCCCGCCCGCGGCGCTGTGCGGCCGCAGACCCCCCGCTGCTGAGTGCGGCCGGAAGGCGGGCTGGGGCTGCTGGGGAGGCAGCGGTGGGTGTTCTAGGGGTTGCTGCTGCGGCTGCTGCTGTAGCGGTGGTGATGGCGGTGGCGGAGGGTGCGCATGCTGCTGCTGCTGCTGCTGTTGTAGCTGCTGTTGTAGCTGCGACGCCTGCTGCTGCAACGAGGCGTGCAGATGCTGCTGGGGATGGCTAGAGTGTTGCTGCTGCTGCTGATGCGCTGGGTGTTGGTTGTGTTGGTAGGGGTCCTGAGCTGCCTCCCCGGGGCCCCGCTGCCCCCCCGGTCGTGGTGGGCTGTGGGCCGGCGAGGGCGAGGCGGCAGCCGCCCTGCCCCCGGGGCGCTGCGGACTGCCCACTCGCGGGCTGCCCGGCGCGTGGCCAGGAGGGAGCGGTGGCGGCGGGGAGGGGCCCGGCGGCGGGGGCTGCCAGCCCGGCCCCGCCATGCGACTGGGGCTTGTCCTGGGGTCCTGCGCGTGCGGCTGGTGTTGCTGCGGAGGGTGAGGAGGTGCGTGTGGGGAGTGAGGGGAATGCGGAGAGTGAGGGGAGTGGGGCTGCTGCTGCTGCCGCTGCTGGTGGTGTTGGTGGTGGTGGGAGGCGGGAGGCGCAATGTCCGAGGGCAGGGACACGCGGGGGCGGGATGGGTAGTCTGCGGCGCGGGGGCCAAAGGCGCGTTCAGGCGGGGGGGCGCCCGGGGGCGACGTGGGGCCTACCGAGTTGGCTTGGGGCTGCGGTGGCTGCTGCAGCAGCGGCGGCTGCTGCGGGAAGGTGCCCAGCCGCTGCAGCAGGACGCGGGCTGAGAGGGGCCGCCGGGCGGAGGAAGGCCGCGGCGGCGCCACGGCCGAGGGGACCATGCCGGGAGGTGAGATGCCGGGCGTTGTGAGGGCCAGGCGGACCCCCAAAGGAGCGGGATGGGGTGGAAGACAGGCGGTGGAGGCGGCGTGCCCCAGAATGGAGCTACCGCCTTGTGCCTGGTGCAGCTGCGGGGAAGGGACCAGGCCTGCAGTCGCCGCATTCGTCAGTTTCCGCAGGATGGTGCTGCCTGCAGTGCTCTTTGGGCCCGGCCGCGGGGGCGCCGTGAGTTTTGCGTGGGCTATGGCGTACTGGTGAAGCCGCTCAGAGGTCAGGCGTGGCTCGCCGCTTGGGTCCTCGCCCGTGTGCGTCTGTCCGCGTCGCTCCTTCAGGACACGGTCATACCTCCCGTGCTTGGAACCATGCTTGTTGCTAGAAGGAACTATATCACTAGCAACTCGACGATTGTAAGCTCTGCAGGAACGTGAATTGGAAAAGCCATGCATCGGCATGGGCGGGCATGCGGAAGGCTCTCAGGTCCGAAAGCCCAGCAAGCAAGCCAGTTAAACCCGAAGCCTTTGCGGTGCTGGCCCACCTTTCCTCAACGCGACGGGGGCCAGCAGCTGTACGCGGCTCGCGTAGATTCCCAGTAGTGGCTCCTGCCGTGCTAGGCGCCACCGATGCTTTTAAGAAATCATCTACGCTCCGAACGGATTCTGCAACTGCAGCTGACCTACTCGCTAAGTGTTGCTCCTGCATTCCTACTGTATGCACTTATAAGTCACAGGCGTCTACCATGACGACCATCGATGACGCAGTGAAGGAATTATGAGTATATGGTTACAAGTCTACGTCCCTTTTCCGAAGCAGCTGGAAAGGGTGTACGGCGTAACATGCTGAAAGTTTTGCCGAACTTCCATGGACGAGCTGTTTGCTTACGTTTATCCTACTTCATAGACGCACCTGCAACAATGGATGTGGGCGCTATGGACCTGTCAATCGGCATCCCTGGGTCAGTACCTGAGCTGAGGCTAAGGGCAACTTACTGGAAGCCTGTACGTTAGGTTCTATTTACCTTACGTACGCCATAAAGCACTTACATGCACTGCAGCCTTTACGGTTGCTTTCTTGTGCCACCCTTGGTAGGGTTGATACGTCCCAAGGGTTTTATAGATAGCAAGGTTATTGCAAGTCAGATGTCACAGACCATTTCATCCTACATGAAGGAATGAAATTATATTAAGAAACATATGCTAAGGAAAAGGACACCTGAGTACGATGTTATGTTCGGCCAGATAGGAACCCGAGCAGTCCCACAGTGGAAGCCAGACAGACAGGCGCGCCTGCGCCCATCCCAGAGCTTAACTGCACGAGAAAACGACATCTCTGGGCACAATGCTCAAGCTTAACTCCGAACACAAGCCATCAGGCCTAGAGCAAAGGAGGTCCGGATCTCCGAAGAGCTTCTAAACAGCGCTGTGGCTGCGAACCCCACAGCGCACCTGGTCCTGTTGCCAATCACATCCTGCTTGTCGCTCACAGCACCATTCGCCACACCCCCGTGGTCATTTCGAGGCTTCCCAGCCCTCCAACGCCTTCATGCACCTCCGCCAGGCCCTGCCCCCACCTACAGCGTTCGCCCAACCTGGTCCAACCCCCACTTCTTGCGGCTCCGCGGCACGTCTGCCTCCCATCCTTGCAGCTCCATGAACCCCGCTGAACCCACCCACCACAGCCCCTCCGGAAGGAATACGCCCCTGCCCGCCCGGAAGCGGCACTAACGGTCCGAATCAACACATGCCGTGCCTTTTGTGCTCTCATTCATTGCGTATCATTGCCAATGTTCCCTACCGGCACTTCCGGCTCTGCAACACCTCAATGTCCCCAGCCACACAGACCGACCCTGGAAGACACCTCACCCTTCCCCGCCCACTCTTCCCTTCCCTTCACCCTTCGCCCACTGCAGCTGCTTCCCTATACCGGTATGCCCCCCACCCCATCCCTCTCCCACATCAGATCTGGTACGGCTCCCTGTCCCCCCCGCCACAGCATCCCCTCTCCCTCCTTCTTCGGTTGTTAGCTGGCCTGGACTGCCTGCTTTGGACCCCAGTACACACCCGCAATCGCTACCCCCCCTGCCCCCCCTCACACGTTGAACCTGAACAGCATCACGTCCCCCTCCTGCACCACGTACTCCTTGCCCTCCAGCCGCAGCGCCCCCGCCTCCTTGGCGCCGCCGTAGCCGCCGTGCTTCACGTAGTCGGAGTAGGAGATGGTCTCGGCGCGGATGAAACCCTGGGGGGGGGGAAGGGGGCGGGAGGGAGGGAAAGAGGGGTTGTTGGAGAGGGAGGGGGCGGGAGCAGGAGGTGGGCGGGGAGAGGCATGCAGGCGGAGGAGACAGGTACCGGCAGCAGCTCCTACTCCCTCACTCCCGCCTCCTGCTGCGTCCAAAGAGCTCGGGTTTTGCTTGGCTCTCGTCAGCGCCTCTGTTGCATCCTCCTTGCCCTCCACTCGCGGCAAGAGCGGCTAGAGCGTGTGCCCTGCTCTCCGCCCCCCCCTCCCACCTTTTCAAAGTCCGAGTGGATGACCCCCGCTGCCTGCGGCGCCGTCATGCCCTTGCGGATGGTCCACGCGCGCGTCTCCTTCTCCCCCGTGGTGAAGTAGGTCTGCAGCCCCAGCGTGGAGTAGGTGGCGCGCACCAGCGAGGACAGCCCGCCGTCCGTCACACCCAGGCTCTCAAGCCACTCACGAGCCTGCAGGAGGGGGGGGTGGGGGTGGTGAGAGAGGAGATGAGGGAGGGGGTGGGGCGGAAGGGCGGGGAGAGGGCGGGAGACGAGAGGCAGCGGCCCAGGTGTACGCGACATGAAGCATTGTGGAGGAGGAGGTTGCAATCCGGGTTGCAAGGTGAGGAACCCCCCTCCCTCCTCCCCTTTCCTCTCTCCCTCCCTCCTAAGGTCAGTTAGCTTCTCCCTCCCCCTCCCTCCCCCCCTACTCCGCCCCCCACCTCCTCCTTGGGCAGCTCGTTCAGCTCCGCCTCCACCTTGGCGCTCACCACCACCACCTCCACGCCCTCCTCCGCCGCCCGGCTCCGCAGCGCCTTCACGTGCGGGTTTTCCGCCCCCCCGCTCGCCAGGTCCTCCTCCGTCACGTTGGCTGCGTACACCAGCGGCTTCAGAGTCAGCAGACCCAGCCCGCGCACCGCAGCCGCCTCGTCGCGGGAGAGGGTCGCGGTGCGGGCGCCGCGACCCGCCTCGATGGCCGCCTGGATCTTGGCCAGCGCGCCCAACTCCACCTCGTCCCGCTCCGCCTGGTCTGAGGACTTCTTGCCTGGGGGTGGGGGAGGAGAGGGAGGAGGGAAGGAAGAGGGAGGGTTGTAGCCGTTTGCCGTACGGAACTCCGTCCCCACCTCTCCGCACCCATCCCTTGTGTTGCCCGACCTCACCCTCCCCGTCGTACAGCTCGCCAGTTTCCTCTTGTTACCCCCCCCCTCCCCTCCTCCCTTCCTCCCTCCCCCACCCTTCTTCAGCTTCTCCACCCGCTTCTCCAGCACCGTCAGATCCGCCAGCGCCAGCTCCAGATTGATGACGTCGATGTCGTCCAGAGGGTCAACCTGGAGCAGGGGGGAAGGGGAGGGGGGTAGGGGAGGGGGGCCGCAGGAGAGAGAGGCGCAAGGGTGTGGGGCCTGCCAGCGAAACGGAAGCGGTGCACCGCCGCTCGCCTGCTCTTCAGCAGCTGCCTCTGCTGACACGCCTCCCAGCAGCCGCATCTGCTATCCGCATTCGCACCGCTGTCACATCATTCCACTCCTTTCCCCCTCCACCCTTTCATGGTCACAGTCAGCACTTGATTCAATCGCGGCGCAAGGAAAATGTTTTCGGTGGCGTTGGCGTACGCTTCATAAGACTCGTCCAGCGTCGCCTTCACGGCTGACATTTCCGTCTTGAGCTCCGCCTTCAACGACTCAGGAACTCGGACGTGGCGCTCAGCTGCTCAGACGGAAATGTCAGCCGTGAAGACGGAGTTGAAGGCGGCTACCCGCCCTCCTGCCCCGCTCCCCACACCTTGCCTCCCCCCACCCCGCTCCCCACACCTTGCCTCCCCCCACCCCGCTCCCCACACCTTGCCCGCCACGTGAATGATGTCGTCGTCCTCGAAGCAGCGCACCACCTGGCAGATGGCGTCCGTGTTGCGGATGTTGGTCAGGAACTGGTTGCCCATGCCCTCGCCCCGGCTGGCACCCTTCACCAGACCCGCGATGTCAACGAACTCAACGGTGGCGGGGAGCTGGGGGCGGGGGGGGAGGGAGGGGAAAAAAGATATTCCAAAGGGGGGGGCGTTAGGATGCTGTACGGCGTGTAACAAACAGGGGCTATAACATGGCAGTGTGGGCGGGAGGGAGGGAGGGAGGGAGTAACGGTTCCAATTATTGATGGAACCTGGCAGCCGGCCCCCGCAGCTTCCCCCGCACACCCCTCCTCCCCTAAGTCCCCGCTCCACTCACCAGGTCCTTGGACCCCGAGATGGAGCTGAGCACCTTGAGCCGCGGGTCCTCAACCTTGGGGGTCAAAAGGTGACACCAAACTTAAGGAAGCCACAGGTTAGGGCAAAACAATGGGGATAGGAGGCTCCAGGCAGGGATGTTAGGCAGCAGCAGCGGGAGCCCTTCCGCTCGCAGGACAGGAGCGGAGGAGGGGAAGCGGGAGGTAGGCCGCAGCAGGTGGCCCATGCGCTGCTTCGCTCTCAGAGCCGCGGGAGGGGACGGGGACTACCCCAGTCCCCCTACTGCCGTATAATAGATGTGCGGCGCCTGCTGCTGAGCTGGCGCCTGCCTCATCCCTGCCTGGGGCCGCGTCCTGCCACCTCCGCAGCCCTGGCTTTGCTTGCTTGTTCGCGCCATCGCGCAGGACCTTGCCAACTTCCTAGTTCCTCTCCCTCCCTCCGGTCTTCACTTATCCTCCTTCCCCCCCCTCTCCCCCTCCTCCTTCGCTTCTTATGCAACCTCCCCTCCTCTCCCCCTCCCCACCTGCACGGCATACAATTCGTCAGTTTCCTTACTTTACCCCACCTGCACAATGCCCACATTGGGCTCGATGGTGCAGAAGGGGAAGTTGGCGGCCTGAGCCTTGCCGTTCTCCACAAGCGCGTTGAACAGGGTGGACTGGGGAGGGGCGAGGCGGGCAGGGGGGCAGCGAAATGTGAAGCAGCGGCGGGGGGCGGGAGGGCCTCAGCCTCCCAGAGGCCACATCCGGCCTGCATGATTGGAAGGCCTCCCAGCGCTGCATACCGGTAATGCAAGTAGGGCTTAACTGTGTCTTCTCTGTCATGTCCTTATGGTAGGTTGCATTAAGGCGGGTGTGCAAGCTGCTGCACGTCACAACCTTGCTGCTCATCCTCATGGACTTGCAATGCCACACGTCACGGACCGCCAGGCGATCAGAACCCCACCTTGCCAACATTGGGCAGCCCCACGATACCGGCTTGGAGGTTGCAGACGGTGGTGGTCCTGTGGTAAGGTAGGGAATGCGGCCAGGTAGGAAGTTCCAAATTCTGGCAACCGCCATTGAAACCAGAGCTCGGAGCATCAAAGCCCAGACGGATGAAGTGACAGCGCAATTAAGGCTGTCAAAGCTTGCGGCATTCTATGTAACACTAACCGCGAATGAACTGCTTTGGACGGCGCTGAACATGCATACTTCGTCAGGATAAGGGTATCCTTGTTTTGTCTTCCTTTTCAGTACTCGCGTCAAAATCCCAACTGAAGTATTGAAATGCAGCCTCCCCAGGGCTTTTGCACCGCAAACGTATTCCAGCGTACTAGCGAATGACATTTAGCCGCCAGCAGCATGCATTTAATGTACCTGAAAGCACGTGAGGTCTGCCCAGGACGTGAAACGGGAGCTGTGCTGGTCACCACTCGGTGCAACAAGCCGCGACTGGCAGCAAGCGGTGCGCCAGCAAACGCGCGACAAAGACGAGTCGCCATCTAGACAACAGTAATTATGCGCTTTGTTTAGGTAGTAGTAAGTCACAGTCAATTGGTCGACTGGAAGCTGGGGGGGAGCACTACTAGGTGGTCGTTGAGGTAATCACTGTATGCAGATAATATAGGAAGAGGTGAAACTATATTGTGCACCGACGCTATACGCTTCTATGTAAAACATTGTCGCTTGCTAAACTGGTGGCTACCCAGTGTTTCGCTCCGAAGCCCGCTTCCAATTCCCCTTTAAGCAACATACTCGCACGCGGAGGACCTGTTATCGCAAGGGATGTAAACGTTAGCCGCGAATGCCTCCTTTGCAGCCCTAAAACCGGAGCTGACAGGAGATCGACTACAGCCGAACAACGGCAACCAGACGGCATAGTCGCGGGGACAAAATAATCACCGAGCCAAATATCTGTTCACGTTCAACATGGACGACTGTAATATTGCGGGTTCCTTGCAGCGTTGCAAAGCACGGCGGTCGAGCTGCGTTGTGACAGCTGCAACCGGCGACGATGAACCTGGACATTAGTGGGGAGCACGCATTATGCACAAGATTACGCAGAAGTGCCCGTCTGCTATTGGCTACAACTTGCGCTGTGTATGATTCCTGGGAGTCCAGCTTTTTGCGACCTTTGCTGGCAAAAGATTCTGTAGACGCGGGTTGGTGTTCACCTCGTACCTCATATACTGTTAATGCATCATCTTAGGCCCGGGCTGCCCTTGCGGCGAGTTGACCCGGTCCAAGCAACCGCAGCTAGAAGCTTTGAAAACCCGCATGTGTAGACCGTGCCGCAAACCAGGAGGACAGGGAACCCCATATAACAGTGTGATCCCCGCGCTAAAGTATGCAAGGCGAAAATCGCTGGAGGAGGGGCATGGGCACTGGGGTAGTGTTAGGTAGGGTGTAGGCTCTGGACCTATTATTGCAGTCTTTTGCTCTTACTGTACAACACACGACACGGCTGTCGTCTCCTTGGGCCATGCCTCATGAACGCTGAGCAGTGGCAGCCCAGCAGATGTGCAACGATATGCGTACGACGGGTCGGCTGACGCGGTATTAAGAGGCCAGCATGTGCGCGTTACAAGTTGCGCGTTACGGGGTTTGCGTCATCCCACAGGGCCCCCAGCACAGGCGTGGGCGCAGTGTGATCCCTGGGCACGAGGGGAACCGGGGGCGGCAGTGAAGTGGTAAGCCCTGTAGACCGCTGCAACCAGCCATCTGCGCGCACGAGCTAACGGTACTCGACCATGATCCACCAGGCTCCCTGACCCTCCACAGCCGCAAGCGCAAGCCCCTCGTACGTTAGCGAGAGACGCAAGAGGGGTTGGTGTCCTTTGAGCGCCCTTGAGGCACATCATGTCCCTGCAAGGTGTGGGAAAGGAAGGAAAGAAAGGTAAAGGAATGTATGAAGGCCGCAGACAAAGAGTGTCTGATACCCTGCGTGCTGCGTCCTACCGCCGCATGCAACTCCGACCCAGGAAACGGGCGAACACAGTTGCCCTGCACTTCCCTCCCCTACAAAGCGCTGTAACGCAGACCCTCTCTATCCCGCTCTCAGCGGCTCCAGCCAGCTATTGCCACCGCTTCCACTACTGCTGCTCCTAAGCTACCTCCCAGCCCCAAACCCCGGCGCTCTCCGCATCGGCACTCGCCTGGCGGCTTGGCTGCTACTGCCGCCTGCTGCTGTTGCTGCTGGTGGCTCACCAGTTGCGCTCGCAGCGCCGCTGCCTGCTGCGCCGCGGCGTTGAGCTGCGCGGCGGTGAAGGGCGCAGCAGGTGCAGCCGCTGCTGCTGCTTGTGCTGCTGCTGCGGGTGTTGTTGTGGTCGTCGCCCCTGCGGGTGCTGCCGCTGCTGTCCCCCCTCCCCCGGAAGGAGGCGGTTGCTGTAGCTGTTGTGTAGCAGCAGCCAGGGCCGCCAGGGGATGCTGCAGCACCGCTCCGAAGGGATTGTCCACTACGGCAAAGGACCGGGGATGCGAAGGAAGGGCAGGAAGGGAGAGGCGTTGAGGACAACCGACAGTGCAAGCGGAACGATGAAGACAGTACACGCTAATCTAGCACCTCTGGGTGACCTTCCTGCCTGATTCCTGCCCCTGACGCCTGCCCCTGAGTGTACAACATTAATCGCGACTTAACCCTTCGCACCCTAACCTACGAGGATTGAACAAGCCAGGACGTATCACCGCCGCGGCCCCGGGTACTGGAACCTGTGGTGGAGGGGAGAGGGCCTTGAAGAACGTATGCGGACATGCGCTGCTCTGTGCGCGGAAGAGGCATTTGGATACACCATTCCACATTCAGTTGCTAAGTAAGCACGTCCACCGCTGATGGTGAGCACGGACCAAGGTACCCGAAATCCGATCCGACAGCCATCTCCCCGCACTTCTGCCGTCGCGGCATGGCCCGCATGCCCCTCGGCATGCCTAAAACCGCCCCTGCATCGGCCCCGCCCCCACTTGTGCTGGCCACGACGCCGTCGCTGCGGCAGCCGCAGCAGCCGCCGCCATGGCTGCCGCCCCTTGTTGCTGCTGCTGCTGCAGGTGCAGCTGTAGCTGCTGCTGTAGCCGCTTCTGCACCTCTGCCGGCATCGCCTGTGGAGCAGTCTGCGCAGTCAGGGTTGGCGAATTCTGCTGCGGCGGGCTTTGCGACTGTTGTTTTCGCTGCGCTGCGGCTGCGGCCTGCATCGTCGCCATCATTTGAGCCGCGGCGGCAACGGCAGCAGCCGCTTGTTGCTGCTGCTGCTGCCCTGTCGCCGCCGCGGAAGGTGATTTAGGCCGCCCGACTGCCGCCGCTGCTGCTGCTAGGGCCGCTGCTCTCGTGTGCTGGTTCTCCTGCTCAGCGGAGGCGGTTCGCGCGAGCATGGCACACATCTTCACGCGGCTTAGCAGCAACCGCATTTGCTCCAGGGCTTGCTTCTCAGCCGCTTCGTCGTCCCCTTCAATTACCTACAACCGCAGGCGATTCGGGGTTGGGATTGTGGCGTCAGGGTGATAAGGCTAACATTAGGAGCGAGGATCGGTTGGAAGGGTTCTGCCAAGCAACGGCAGCAGCAGCTGCGTGGACTCTCCGGCAGTTCCAGTTCTAGAAGTAGGGTACCGCTGATGCAAGCATACCGGGCTTCGTATCTAGGTTTTGGTAAGCACGCCCAGCTAAGGTGGTTGCCAGGCACAGGCAGCGCGCATTACAAGTGACGTACAACAGGCTCCAGACCCAGCAAACCAACCGTTTGAATGTGTGTTCTTAGTGTCTCCACATCCAATTCCGTTTGCTGCCATAGCGCAGATAGGCTGTCCGCCGGGCGTGACATCGCCACGCCGAGTGCACGGTCGATGGCGCAGCCACAAACGAGGAAAGAAGCAAGGATAACGACAGTACTCTACTGGTAAACGTGAAGTATTAAGTAGCTACAACAGGGAATTGAGCAGCAATAAACGCCGGACCTTCCAACGAAAGTTGTATACCCAAACTCTACGTCCTCAAGCTTATACGCAAAGTTGCGAACACCTTATAATCAGGCAACGTTGTGTGAATATTTACCTCGGCTAGAAGCGTTCTGTGGATTACTCTCCTCTGTCGTACAAAGCCGTACGCTGCCACCATCAGGTCCGCTAGGGTTCAGGAGCACACTGCTCGGGTTCGTTGCATACCGTATCCAGCTGTATTGTCATGCTTGCGGCAATTTGTGAATGGCATGCAGCCTAACCTGCTTAACCAGACTGTATGACACCCAGGGTTATTCCTGCCCTGCTGCAGAGGAGGCCCTGGACAACGGTTTCCTTCAACCGTTTTTTCAACCATGCTATAGGAACCGGCTCCCTATCTGCTGCCTTCATAAACAGCTGCTGGTATGCTTCAAAGCCGTTAGGAACACGTCCCTTCACTTGCTTGCCGTGATGGAGACACGCCGCACCAGATACACGCGTGCCGTCCGGCCCCACCTGGGTTTCCAGGAACCTCCGCAGCAGCAGATAACAACAAGCAGCGCCATCCGTAACGCCTACCTGGCGTGAATCCCCGAACGGCAGGGGGGTTGCACAGCCATCATACAAGCCTTCGGTGCAAGACGCGACCGGCATAGTTAGTTTGGTCCGTGTATCCGAGCGCGTTGACCCTCCAACTTCCCTACCACAGAAGTGCCAAGCCAAGGTCAACCATAGCCCCTACCACCGTAGGTAGCTGTTAAGTCGCCCACTCGCCTTTATCGTGTCACCACCTACACACCGTCTACCTACGCCGTCAGTTGAGCCGGAACGTGACATCATAGCCACATCACCGCAGCAAACAGCTTACCCCCACGCAAGCTACACGTGAGACGTGGCACATGCGGGGTGTGTAGCTGGCTCCCATCCGTCCCAGCCTTTTCATAACACCCTACCTGTACTCTTGTGTGTGCCCGCCAAGGGGCACAAAAGGATTGCAACCCTCCCTTGCAATGCTACACAAAGTAGCAAAGGACGAAGGTATCACCCCCTGGCATCACGGCCAGGAACAGATCGCGCAATTGGTGCTAATCCCATGTAAAACGCCCCCACACACGCTCACGTCTTAGACGCTGCAGTCATATACCGGTATGTAAAATAGCTCCTATGTAAAGCCGTTTTGTCCTTGCATGTATTGCATGTATAGTGAACACGCATCCATACCGCAGTCCCAAACAAACGCCTCCATTTCCATCCGCTACCACTTGTTACCGTGCCACCCGACCCCCACCACCCTGCCCCCAGCGCTCCCACAACATGCGAACACGCAACCCCCACCCCTCGCCCGACAAGCCGACACGACACCCCACAGCTAGCTCGCTGCAGCCCCCGGCGCAGCTGCACTCCCCTGCTGCTCCCAGGCTGCGGCCAGCCACCAGTGCGGGTGCGGGGGAGGGGGGCGGGTGCAAGGCGGCAGCAGGCGCATGCCAGCCACCCGCACCTCACTGTCCGTAGTACTTGTCGCGCAGGGAGGCGGTCCAGCTCTGGTTGTACGGCAGCTTGTGTACGGCGGTCTTGGGCTTGCCGGTCACATGGCGGAAGTCCTTGCCTGGGGAGCCATCGGGGGGGGGGGGTAGGGGGCGGGAGCGGTGGGAGGCGGGAGAAGCGGTTAGCACTGCTGCTAAGACATGTGAGGGCAGCTCTTGCGGCGTTGCGAGGGAGTTCATCCGGTCGTCGTCGTCGTCGTAAGGCGGATTGGCCGGTGCCTCCGGCCGCTGGGCACTTCCCTTGTTTCACTTATGAAACACTTTCCACCCTTCGCCGCACCCAGAATGCCCTCACACGTTCTCCCTCTTCACGTCCCACCACCCTCCCGCCCTCCCGCCCCCTCCCACTCACTTGGGCTCATCAGCTTGCTCTTGTCCTCCCGCGGCCCTCCTCCGCCCCGCTCCCCCGCCGGCCCCGCCACCCCCACCCGGGTGCGCGGGTCCACCCAGGGGTAGTCCAGGTCGGAGTTGAGCGGCGGGGCGGGCGCGTGGGACACCTTGAGGCCGCGCTTGGTGGGATCGTCCTGGGGGGGAAGAGGGGGTATTGAGTGTCGGGAGGGAGGGGTGATGAGGGTGTGTTGGGGTGGGGGGGATTGTGGGGGGGGGAGGGAAGCCGAGAAGCCGAAAAGAGGGATGAGGCCAAGGTTTAACTCATGGACCCAAGCATGTGTTCGAGAGAAGAAGAGCCGGCTGGGTTTCCCTAGCTTGGCATAGCTCCCCTTTTGCCGACGCCTGTCCAGCTCCTCCCCACCTCCCCTCCCCTCCCGTCCCCCTCCCCCTCCCTACATGCAGCAGCGGGGTGAACCTGTCCGCCTGCGCGGGCCGCGGCGGGCGCTGCGGCAGTGTGGTGCGCATGACGGGGTCGGCCACCACCAGCCGCCGCCGCCACTCCTCCGCAGCGGCAACCTGGGCGGCGCGCAGCTCGGCCTGGTGGAAGGGGGGGAGGCGGCGGGGGAGGCGGTGAGGATTACAAGGCGTCAAACATACACCAAACGACAAGTGAGAGCAAGACATAGGGGATGGGAGATAGGATGAGTGGAGATGGGAGAAGAAGCCGGTGGGAGGACAATGGAAGGGGGCAAGATGCATGGAGGAGGGAGCCAACAGCGTGGCAGTCTGGTTGCAGGGGAGGGGCTGGTTTGGTGCTAGTACGGTGGTGCATGTGGTTGCTGCGTGCCGCTGTCACCGGATGCGGGCCGCACTCGCACAGGGCTAGCAGCGGCCAACCCCGCATGTGCACGCGCGCAGTGTTGTCACAATCTGCACGCTGCACGCAGTCGCCCCGCCCCGCCCCGCACCCACCTCGCGTTCGCCGTGTATGGTGAGCCAATAGGAGCGGTCCTGGGGGGCAGGGGAGCAGGTAGGGGAGGGAGGGAGGGGTGGAGGGGGATGGCGGGAGAGGCGTGGAAGGTGAGGAGTGCGTCTCATACGGTACTACACTGGTGGAGGCCTCATGCTATGAGCGGAATTCAGGCAGAAGTGAGCAGCAAGCGAGCCCCGCGCCCTCCGCACTCGTCTTCCTCTTCAGGTCTCCCACTGCACCGCTCGTCAGCGCACTCCCACTACCCGGCGCCATGGCGCTCTCCTTGCTCCTCTGTTGCCACCCCCGCCCGCCACACCCGCCGCCCCTTCCCTACCCCCCCCCTACTCCCCCCTCACCGCGCCAAACAGTCCGTTCTCCTCCCCTCGCACCACCGTTCGGAACTCCCCCCGCCCGCGCCCCTCCTCCCAGGCGGGATCCGACAGCTCCCCGCCGCCCCCGCCGCCGTACGCCCCTGCAGCGGAGGCGGTGGGCTTGAATGCCGAACTGGGGTCCTCCCAGGGCTCTGACAGCTGCTCCACTCTGAGGGGGGTAGGGTGGAGGGGTGGGTGGAGGGGTAGGGTGGAGGGGTGGGTGGAGGGGTGGGGGTTAGTCGCAATGGGCTGGAATCCTGACCTGCCGTAGTAGAGGAGGAGGGTGGGACAGAGCGGCATATCATGGGGGACTTGCAAAGGGGTCAGCCGACTGCAGGGCGGTGCTATGAGTGAGAGAGAGAGGGGGGGAACAGGGGTCTCGCCCGCAGAAAGACATGTGCGGCAATCCCCCCACACCTCCCCCGCCCCCATGCAGGTGGGTGCACCCACCTGAATCCGCTGGGCTTGTTGGGCAGGTCGCGGAACTCCGCCGGGGCTCGCGGGGCGGGCCACTTGAAGGGGGTGGGGTGCGGGTACCAGCCGCGACACACGGCGTCCTGGGGGGAGGGGAGGGGGGAAGGGGTGAGGGGGTGAGGGGTGAGGGGGTGAGGGGAGCGAGGTGGCAGGGGTGGAGGCGCACGCACAGGGGAGCGTGAGGGAGCGGCATGGTAGGGGAGTGGAGGCAGGGTAGGAGCCAGGGAAGGGGGGAAGTGTGCATATAAGTGAGAAAAGAGGGATTGGCATGATGGTGGGAAGGATGATGTTAGGGCTGCCGCCGTGCTGCTGCTCCTCCCGCCCCCTTCACCCCCCCACTACGGTACGCTATCCACCTGGCGTCCCAGGGTGCCCGGAATGGGCTGCAGGTTGGGCCGCCGGGCGGACATGGAGGCGATCTCCTGGGGGGAAGGGGGAAAGGGGGGGCGGCGGGTGGGGATTGGGGGGCAGGGGAGCCGGGACGGTGCGCCGGGAGGGAAGGGGGTGCGCGCGGCGAGAGGGGTGAGATGAGGGAGGGATGTCGGGAAGGGGCTGTGACAACACGGGGGCAGCGGCCAAGGTGTCCTAGGGCGCTGTTATGTCAGGTAGGCGCGGCAGCCTTGTTGGTACGGTACCACTCAGCGCCTCAGCTTTCCATAGGACAACACCAACACAGCGACCAACCGCTGCTCCTCACCCCACAGCGCACCTCCATCAGCCCCACACGCCCCTTTCCCTCCCTCCCTTCCAGCCCCGTCCCCGCCTGCTCCCCTGGTTCCACTCCCCCCTACCCTCCCTACTACCCCCCCCACCTCCGCCGTGAGTGTGCCCGCCCGCATGGCCGCCACCAGCTCCTCGTGCGCCGCCCGCTGGGGGTTCCACTCGCGCCAGGACTCCTGGGGGGGAAAGAAGAAGAACGGTTCCCAGGCGGTGAATGACAGTGGCAAACTAGGCGACACGTTGTTGATGGAAGGAAGGGAATGCGCCGAACAGAATGTGCGATGCTTAAACATGCTTGGGGGGAAGGGGAGGGGCTGTGCGCAATTTTGAGTGGGGGATATACCGTGATGGGGTGAGGGATCGAGCGCTGGGGAACAGGGCGCCGAGGTAGGATGCCAAAGGCTCCATACCCTGGGAATACGTCATGTCCCTTCCAAACCCCTCTGACTGAAGCCCTCTCCTTCCGGCCCCACCCCTGCCAACTCCTACCCCCATTGCTTTGCCCTAACTTGTGGTCTCCTATGGTTTGGTACGGTCTTTGACCCCCCCTGGCACACCCACCTTGATGTGCCCCATCTTGGCCTCCAGCGCCCGCAGCGAGTCGCGGTTCAGTGTAACCCAGTCCTGCCAGCGGGCAGCAGCGCAGGAGCGCAGGAGCACATGAGGACATGGGAACATGAGCACATGTACCGGTATGTTCCGACTCGCGGCCAGTTCTGTTGTTAATACACATGCGCAAACGGGGGCACAGGCGCGCAAGAGGTGCCGCGCGCTGAACCGGCTGCAGAGGACCTCTGCCTGACCGGAGGCGCTGCACAAGTAGTGCCCGGAGAACCCAACACACGCACGCACGGGTGTCGTCGTCGCGTAAGCGCCCATGACGCCAAAAGCCACCCCCACTCTCCCACTCCCGCTGATCGCCGCAATTCCGCGAATACCCACACTCCCACCCCCGCCAGCAGCCCCTCCATCCCATCACACACACACCCATCCTCGTCCTCCCTCCCAGACTTTAGTTGTCTGCATTTCTTATATAATTTTCCCACCCACCCACCCTCTGCAGCCGCGCCGCCCGCATCTTCCTCCGCATGCGCAAGTAGTCCTCATTGCGCGCATCCAGCGTGCGCCGAGTCACGCTGCCCTCCTCCTCGCCGCCGCCATTACCCGCGGAACTGCCCCGCGGGCCCCGCCGCCCGCCCTTGTTACCCTTGCTGCCCTTACCGCCCTTGCCGCCGCGGCTGCCCTTGCTGCCTTTGCTGCCCTTGCCGCTCTTCCCACTCTTGCCGCTGCGGCAGCTGCGCAAGCTCTTCATGGAACGGCGCGAGCGTGAGGAGCGGCGGGAGCGGTTGGAGCGGTTGGAGGACTTTTGGGAGCGGGAGTCCTCTAGCAAGGCACCCAGGGCGGGGCCGCCGTCCTCATCGTCACTGTCTGGCTCGTCCTCCTGTGGGGTTTGGGGTTGGGGTTGGAGTGGGTTCGTGGGGTTAATGGGTGGAGCTAGTAGGAGGAGCGAGTGTGGAGTGTGATGATTGATAGGAAAGCATTGCGTACGACATGGAACAGCAGGGTTAGCATGGCATTCCCCCATTTCCCGCCCCTCTCCCTCCCCCCGCCCGCACCCACCACCTCCACCCCCAGCACATCCGCCGCCATCAGCTCCCCCCCGAACTTCTTGTCCACCAGCTGCAGCTGCTGCGGACTGGGCCACAGCGACAGGTCGTACATCTGACGCGACCAGCAGGCCACGGAGCGCAGCGCACCCAGCCGCCGGAGACCCTGTGGGAGGCGGTGGGGGAGGAAACGAGGTGGCATGTGACCCATGGGTCATGCACTCAGGAGGCGTAGGTACAGACCTACAGAGGCATGCCGACCCTAAACACGTCAGCCATGCAAACCATGCCTTCCTCCCAAACCCCCGCCCGCCCCACCTGCACGCAGTCCGGTCGCACCCTGCCCGTCGCGAAGCTGCCCGGCTCGCCCAGCAGCTTGGGCAGGGGGGCGCGCAGCTTGACGATCCACAGGTCCACCCCAAGTGGCGCGTACAGGCGGCTGGCGGTGCGCAGCGCGGGGGAGGCGCTGAACAGCACCGCGCGGCGGCGCCAGCCCTCCTCGGGCTTGGGGGTCTCCAGGGCCCACTCCGCGATACCCTGTGTGCGGCAGGCGGGGTAAGGAAGAGGCCAGGGGAGGGGCGGTGTTGGTAGGACAATGCAAAGTCGTGCAGGGCGAGACGTTGACTTCCAGCCACACCCTCTCGCCATGCAACGCACCTCTTGCTCCATCGCGCCCTCCTGTCCCCCCCCCCCCTGCCCCCCCCCTGCCCCCTCCCCACCTTAACAATCCTCATCGCCCCCTCCGCCAGCCCCTCCACCAGTATGATCCGCTCCCGCCCGTCCACCAGGTGCCACCCCGTCAGCAGGTCCAGCTGCCGGTCGCCCGCCTGCTGCCCCGACAGCTGCGTGGTGGACAGCGCCTGCAGCTCCCGCATCTCCAGCTGCACGCGGTCAATGTCCACACACAGCGCGTCCAGAGCCAGCTCGGCGGCGGTGGGCGGCTCGTCGGGCTCGTCGTCCGCCTCGCTGTCACCTGGGGGTGAGGGGGAGGGGGTAAAAATAAGGAAAACTGACGAACTGAGCGCGAGGGGGGGGGGTAGGGGTGAGGTTGGGGAGGGGAGGAGGAGAGGGGAGGGAGGACGGGGAAGGAGGGGCTCTGCGCGCGCATGTGTGTATCAGGCGGTCGCAGGCGGCGGTCTTTATACCGTGAGTATAAAGAATAATCACAAGCGTTCAAGTCATGCCGGTATACCGCTTAGCCGGCAGCCTCATGGGCAACCGCATGCATGTACACCCGGCGCACCCCCCTGGCTTGTTCCCCTGCCCATGCGGCTCCTCTTCCCCCCTCCTCCTGGGAACTCACTGTCGAACAGCACATGCCGCTTGCTGTCATTGTTGTCCAGCCGGCTCGCTAGCCCCGCAGGCGAGGCGCTGTCACGGCGCGGCGGCTGCGGCGAGGGAGACGCCGCCGACCACCCCCTCACCGCTCCCCCCGTGCCGCCCCCGCCCCCTCCGCCGCCCTTCACCGCCATGTCCTGCAGGCTGTAGGCGGAGGAGGAGCGCCGCGGCGCCTGCTGCGCGCTGCCGGCGCTGCTGAGGCTGCTGCGGTGCCCGCGCGGCTTGTCATCGTCGTAGGAGGGGTCGTGAGAGGGCGCACCGCTGCTGCCGCCGCTGCCTGTGACGGCCGCGGCTGCGGCGGCCGCCTCCAGCGCTCGTCGCTTGGCTTTGAGCTCAGGCGGCAGCTGGTCGGGCGGGAGCTTGTCAGCGGGCTGCTTGAAACCCAGCTTCCAGGCGTTGTTCTTGCGCACCACGTCCTGCATGCGTGGTGGTGGGGGGGGTTGCGCGCGTGTTGGGAGCATGTTGCCAGGCGGCTGCACCGGGCTGCTGCGCTACCCTCCCTGCACGGTGGGCTAGAGCCCTGCCCATGTCTTGTGGCACCCGGCCGCCTCCTATCCCCTTTGCCCTGCCCTCACTATTTGTTGTTTGGTGCTTCTCCGCTCCCCCCCCCACACCCACGCACGGTCAGTTACGTGTTTCCTCTTCACCTCCCCCCCCCCACCTCCAGCGTGTGGAAGAGGTCGGAGTCACGGTAGTCCATGATGAACAGCGCGCGTGCGAACACCCGCAGCGAGGGGTCGCAGCCGCGGGTGGCGGACAGCGGCGCGGCGCACCGCACCTCGCCCTTCAGCAGCGAGCCGGCCTGCGCGGGGGGGGAGGATTGGGAGGGAGGAGAGGGGGAATGTGCGTATGAGGGACTAGTCCTGAAGGAAGATGAACAGAATGGGACGGGAAAGAGGAACTGGGCTGCATCCCTTTTGTCATATCCACACCCTCCCCCCCTCCTCCCCCGCATGGCTAGACTCTCTCTCTCACCCTCCCCCCCCTCCCCCGCACCTCCGCATAGTTGCCCGGCCGCTTGGTCCAGTCCAGCGAGGCGGCTCCGCGCACCGTGGTGTGCGGCGCGATGTTAGCGTGGAAGCTGAAGCGGGTGTAGCCTGAAGGGGGGGCGGGGAGGGGAGGGGCGTCAGTAGCTAGTAGCAGTGACCGGTTTGTCGACTGCGTCAAGTGGGGAGTGCATGCAGCAGCATACCGAGAGATGCGACAACCGCAGCACACACCCACACACCGCCGCGAACCCCCTCCTCCCCACCCGGACGCCCCACACCCTTCTCCTCACCTCGCGCCAGGTCCAGCAGCGACACCCGTGCCACCCCGCACACGTAGCCCTCGCTATCCGGCAGCGTGCCCTTGCCTCTCCCCCCTGCCGCTGCTGCCCCCGCCCCTGCCGCTCCTCCCGCGGCCCCTGCTGCTGCCGGCGGTCCCTCCGCCCCCTCCGCTCCCTCCCCCTCGCCCTCCCCGTCGTCCTCCACCAGCGGGAACTCCGGCGGCTCGGGTATGGCGGTGCGGTCGTGCACCTCCACCAGCAGCGGCGACTCGCGGCACAGCGCCAGCGCCTCCTCGCCGCCACCCGGCAGGTCGCCTGCCAGGAACACCTCGGGCTGCCCGAACAGGATGAAGCGGGAGCCGGCGGAGGGCGGCACGCGAGACATGGCGGCGCCCGCCGGACCCGCCAGCACCACCGGGGGAAGCTGCAGCTGGGAGGAGGAGGGAGGCGGAGCAGGGGGGGCGCTGGCGGCGGCGGCGTCTCCGCCGCCGCCGCTGCCGCCGGAGGCGGCAGCGGCTGCAGCCGCAGCATTAGCCGCCGCTGCGGCCGCTGCCGCTGCCGCAATGCCGCCTGGGTTGGGGTTGTCTGGCAGGAGCCAGGGCGACGCGAGGCCGGGTTGCTCCCGCGGGGTTGCCCCGGGCGGCCAGCGCATGAAGAGGGCGGGCGGGGCGCAGTGGGAGTCCAGCTGGGCGCGAGTGGCGGGCGCGGCGGGGAGGCTCTTGGCCTGGGGGCGGGCATGACATGCAGGTGTGCGGGTGCGGAGGGGAGGGGGGTGAGCGGTGTACGAGGTATGTCACCGTGTGGCTGTGGAATGTTACCTGGCCATGGATTCCGGCGTGCCAAGCCCCCCTGCGGCACCATTACGAAGCAGCACACGACCCACATGCCCCACACGACCCTTTCTCCCATCCGCCATGACCATCCCCGCCCCCGACTTCTGCCCCCATGACCTGCCTTCCGCACGGTGACCACGATGGGGTTCAGCAGCGGAATGAGCTCCGGGTGCAGCAGCCCCAGCGGGCTGCCGGGAATGTCCTTCAGGTCGGGCTCCGGCGGGGGCGGCGGCGGCTCGTCCTTCTTCTTGGCGTCGGCGCGCCGACCCGGCTTGGGCGGAGAGGGCGGGGGCGGCGGCGCCGGCGGCCGCTTGGGGATACTCAGCAGCTGGATGTCAGCCTGTAATGAGGGGGATTGAATACCGGCACCCCACGTCGGCAATAAATGACAGTGTCAATCCAGCCTCACGTCACGTCCTTCAGCAGCACATGTGATACCTACCCGTACAAAACGCCACCACCACCCCCATCCGCACCCCACCACGTCCTCTCACCTCTATCCCCTCCGCCACCTCCTCCAGCGACCGCGGCATGCCCTTGGCCTTGTCCGGCCACACCGCCCGCGCGGTCGTGTCGCCCACCAGCATCCCGCTGCAGTCCAGCATTAGCACCGCGGAGTAGCAGCGCATGGGGGTGGGCGGCGGTGGCACCTCCATCGCAGCCTTGCTCTTGCTGGCCAGAGCGCGCTTGGGCGGCGGAGGCGGCTCCTCCGGCGCCGGCGTCGCCAGCGTCAGCGACAGCGCCACGAGGCCGTGCGCCGCCGCCAGGTTGCGTACAGCAGCCTCGTCGACTACGATTCGTACATGGTGCTCGACGTCAACGGTGGCGTACGGCATGTTGGCTGCGGCGACGGCGGCGACGGAGGTGGAGGTCGCGGCGGCGGGGGCGGGGGTGGAGGTAGCGGGTGCGACGGCGGATACGGGGCGTACCGGTGAGGGTGTGCGAGCACCTGCGGCGGCTTTGCCGTGTGCTGCAGCAGCAGCAGGAGCAGCAGCAGCAGGAGCGGCCCCAGCCGCCGCTGTGGGAGCGTCCCCAGGGGTCGGGGTCGCTGCTGACGGGACTTCGGATTTGACTGGTTTGATGGGACCCACACTCTGCTCCAAACCAGCGAGTGGGGTGTACTTGAGGGTTAGCACAAGCGTTGCGGGGTCAACGGGCTTGGCGAGGGCTGCTGCGGCTGCTGCTGCAGCGGCCTCCGCAGCAGCGGCGGCAGCAGCCGCTGCTGCGGCCTTCTTCGCCGACAAGGGAGTGGGGGGCTTTTTGGAGGCCGCTTTTGACGGGGCTTTGCCGCCGGGTTTGGCTGGGGCGGGTTCTGGAGGCGGCGGTGAGGGGGGTGGCGGTGCGGGCGGCGGATCCTGCGGGCAGCGGCGTGCACCCCGTGAAGCAGGGGAGGGGGCATATCCCTTACGAGTTGCTACCCGCGTTGTCTCAGGGCCACTGCAGGTTTTTAACCTCTCAAGACCCCACCCTGCCAGCCCGCAGGAACCGAGACATTACTGGTACAGCCCTCTGCGCACTAGGGTCTCCCCTAGCCCCTAGGCCTCAGCGTCCTGCATGCAGCAGCCCGTAGGGCCCCTTCCAGGGGAGCACCGGTGCGGGAGGACTGCCCACATATGCGCTCCTCAGCCTACATGTCGTGTATGCATACCCGATGGACGTGCTTGGGTTGCACCCTGCGGTACCTAAGCCCTACCTTGGGTGGAGGCTCGGGCGCCGGGGGCTTGAGCCGCATCCGGACCTTGAGGCTGGGGGTAAGGGAGACGGATTAGGTGAGGGTAGGGACGGAGAGGGGCGGGGTCCCACCGTTGGGCGGTGAGGCCAACCCAGCAACCATGACAACACTTACACGACATGCAGCTCTTGCGCAGGGCCCACCGGGGGCGGTGGCTCCAGCGGCTCCGGAGGGGGCGGAGGAGGAGCTGCCTTGGCCCTGTAGAGGTGCCCATATAGGTTGGGTAAGCCGTGAGCCACTTGCCGGACATGCGCAATGAGTCGATACGTACTTAGGCGCCATATTACTGCAATCAGCTCAGCCTCCTCTTCGCAATGCTTTAGTCGTTATATACCAGGCATTATAGAATCCCTAGGTGTGAACTTCATAAGGCATTACTGCGGCGCGTGTTTCTCTGTGCTCCTTAGAAACGTCAGCAAACAGCCATCCTGCAATATATGAGCTTATTATGCATTGTAGTCAGTCTTAATAGGCAAATACTGGCCGCAGATTAAGGAAGGCGTAGCATATGGAAACGTTCGTGCAATACCGTATACGGTTAGAATGGGTGAACACAGTGGCCCTTTATCCCTAGAGTTGTGCGCCTTACTATGTGCACATCACCATCAGGGTTCATCTTTTATTGAAGGAAAGCAAAACTGAAACGCGTATTCGTCGGCCAATGTCTGTTACAAGCTCGCTGCCTTTAGTCTCTACCACTCTTACATTAAGCCCGGATAAGGCAGTGAAGTCGGTTGCTTGGCGAAAATGTAGGGGCCCCGGGAGAGCAATCGAGGTCCTCATTTTCACTCCTGTTGGGGTGTTTCCTTTGCTTGGTGACCTAACGTCGTCTGGCCCAGTGAGCGTGGGTCAAGCACTGGACATCCACCTCAGCGAATCGGGTCCACATACACCCAATCCTGGTCAACCGCCTTGGCAGGAGGCAGTCTGCGCTGTAAACGATGGCAGCAGCGTGGTTTATTTCGCGACGCCATCATCGATTTGGTCTCTTGACGAATCAAACGTTCTTCACTTTGTGGCGGGAGTGAGCGGCGAAGGTCAAAAAGATGGCGACGGCACTACGGCATCCTTCCAGTCCATCATGGCTATCGCGCTCGGACGCGGTGGACGGCTGTATGTGGTTGACGGAAATGACCTGCTCGTGGTGCAGCTGCAGCCGGCAGGCACTGTGGCGCAGACGGTGTCAACCATAACCTTAGACTTGCAGACCGACGAAGGGGAAGAGCTTCGGCCTACTGCCCTGTCATACGACCGGATTAGCGGCTCCCTTTATATTTCATGCTCGGTTGAGTACGCCGCCTATGTATATAAGGCAGCTGAGCCAATTCCGAGTGCCGGTTTTTTGCGGACATACCTGGTTGAACCCCTCGAGGGTGGCGATGGGCAGAACCGACAGCGGCACAACGTACCAGCCTTCTCGTACGTCGACTCCATGGCAGCTTCGGACACGGGCGACGTCGTTGTGCTGGACACCCCTTCGACCTTTGATCCCCACGGCATCCCAGACAGCATATGGGTCCTGAAAGCGGACGGCAGGATAGAAACCCCAGCCCCGCCTCACCACACATGCACGGCAGTTACCTTACTACCTCAAGGCTGCCTCGTCCTCTACAAGGGCCCCCAGCTGAATACCCTGGAACTCCGGCCGTGCTCGCTTAAACCCTTCTGCAGCTCAACCAGCAGCCGCGCCGTCCCAGCTGCCTACGTCAACAAACAGCGGCTCGGGGCCGACTACGGCGCCCTGCTCGGCAGCAACCCGCCCTACCCGCCCGACGTGACGGTGGTGGCCGGCGGCAGTGAGTTCCCCGCACACCGCTTGGTGCTGGCGTGCAGGTCCGAGTACTTCGCACGGCTGTTCGCTGATGGGAATCAGGACAGCGGGGAACCCAGCGTGGCGCTGAAGGACGCGGACGCAGGGGCATTTGAGCAGCTGTTGGGCTACATGTACACCGGGGAGCTCGAATGCACGCAGCAGCTGCTGCGACCACTGATCGAGCTGGCAGACCGGCTTCTCCTGCTTGACCTGAGCAAGCAGATGCAGCAGCTGATGCTGGCGGGCAGCAGTCCGACTAGCGTGGTGGCAGACATGCTGTGGGCTGCGGAGAAAGGCCTGGACGGGATTCTTGCGGCGCTCAAGGAGCACTACCTGAGCATTGCGGACCAGGTTTCGGAGCAGGCGCCCGACAGCCTGGAGCAGCTGGTGGCGCTGCAGCCCAAGCTGCACCTGGAGCTGCATGCCCGGCTGGCCAAGCGAGCCAGGATGCAGTAGCGGCGACGAATGAGGGTGTTTTCGGATGCGGCAGGGCTTAAAGCGGTTGGGTCTAGGGAGCCCAATGGTTCAGAGGTACCGGTAGTTAGGGCTAGTTACAGAAAGTAGGTACCAGGTGTGCAGGCTGACAGGCTGGCAAAGCATGGCTCTGTTGGACACGGCCTCTGGTTGCTTGCGACGGGTGCATAGAGAATGCAACTGTAACATGTTAATTCCTTGTACTGTGTATTGGATGATTGAACCCGTGTGCGTAACAGGGTTTGCATACGATTGTGTGCTATGCTCATGTTTTACGGCTGCAGGATGCTATGCGCTGGCTTTTGTTGAGTGAGTGTGCACTGCCCGGCATGCGGTCAGTTTGCGAGGAAGCCCTCCTCCTACGGTGCTCGATTGGGCTTCCGGGGCTTGCAGCCGCACGCTAATGTTGGCTTTACTACTGGGCTATGGTTGACTTGCCAATCTTACCGGTACCATCATCGTAGTTTACCGCGTGCTCGTGGCGTTAAATGTTCAGTTATATAGTTTGTTGGCATCAAGATGGTGCGGATATACCGGTAGTGACACTGGACCTCTACCCACGCGACTTGTTACTGAGGTATATGTTTACTGGAGTTTGAGTACACGAGCAAACATTGACTTTGGACGGTACCTGTCGCATACCGCATCCGTGAGCACTGAGCAGCCGCAACAGCTACAGGTACTGCTGACACGCTGGGAATCTTCGAAGACCGTCACGAATAGGATTTATGTCCAGCTGCGGTGAAAGAGCTCGTGAATACATGATAAAGAAGTAAAGGGGCCGTGAATACAGTGAGCAGAACGTCATCCTACGCGTGGTGTACGAACGAGCCCAAATTGGTGAAATTGCCAGGGAAGGTAGCAAATCCAGGCTAGCCGCAAGTACAAGAATTATCCTGAGAACTATGGTTTAATGGTATATTGCCGTCTGATAGAGTTAACCAACAATCAATACCCGTAGGTTGCATTGGGCGTTGCTGAACGTTTGTAAAACGTTTCAAGTAGAATGTCTAAGGATGTACAACGGTTGCATGCCTTCGAGTTGGGTTTCCCAACCCTTGCTGTCGCATGGCGTCTGGAAAAGCAAACCGACGCCGTGTTTCTCTTTACACCTAGAGGACTGTTGCCCATATACGGTTTAGATTTCAGGGCAATTCCTGTGGGTCCGCCGCTCAACATCCAATTCGTCCCACCAAAACGGCTTGGCGAGGTGACATGGCTCGACCGGACCCCGTGGCTAAGGGCTACCTCCGCCGCCAGCGGTGGCTGCGGTGAAATATTCTTTACTACAAAGTCTTCCGTCTGGATGCTTGATTCGGATAACAACGTGCACTTGGTTGCTGGTGCGGGGACGGCCATGGACGAGGAGCAGCAGGAGCAAGGGCAGCAGGCTGTTCCCAGAGCCCACGATGGGCCGGGCGCAGATGCTACCTTCAAAAACATCCAAGCAGTCGCACGGGGAGAGGAGAACGTCCTGTATGTCGTGGATGACGGCAGGCTGCGCACGGTCAAACAAGTCCAGCCGGCTCCCTCAACGCGGACTCTCCAGCCCCAGTCGCCATCCTGGGCCCACGTGACAGTGGCAACGCCACGTCTTGTGCTCCAGTCCCAAATCGCTGGGCTGGCCTGCAACCGCCACCGGCGTCTATTATACCTCGCAACAGATGAGGCTGTGTACAAGGTTGCGGAGTCGCAGGTTGCTACTGTGGCGGCACGGCAAGTACGGCCAACGCGGTTGAAGCTCGGAGTAGGCTACCCAGACATTGAAAAGGTTGGGGATATCGCGGTGACGGACCAGGGCCACGTGCTTATGATTATTTGGAACTATGAGGCCACGGTCATCACGGTTTCCCAGGACCGCCACCCGGACTGCCAGCTGATTGGACAGCCCCTGGCCACCTGTGCATACAAGCCACATGTGGAAATCCTGCCCGGCGGAGGCTTGGCGCTTTACAACCGCGACGACAATGGCCTGACCTTAATGATGCTGGACGTGAGGCCCTTCCGGGTCCCCAGCCACAGCCCGGCTCTGCCTTGCACCCTGGCGGACAAGGAAGGGCTCTGCACCGACTACGGCGCCCTGCTCGGCAGCAACCCGCCCTACCCGCCCGACGTGACGGTGGCGGCTGGCGGCCGTGAGTTCCCCGCACACCGCTTGGTGCTGGCGTGCAGGTCCGAGTACTTCGCACGGCTGTTCGCGGGCGGTTTCCAGGACAGCAGTGATCGCGTGGTGGTGCTGAAGGACGCGGACGCAGGGGCGTTTGAGCAGCTGCTCGGCTACATGTACACCGGGGAGGTGAAGCCCACGCCGCAGCTGCTGCGACCGCTGATCGAGCTGGCAGACCGGCTTCTCCTGCTCGACCTCAGCAAGCACATGCAGCAGCTGATGCTGGCGGGCAGCAGTCCGACTAGCGTGGTGGCAGATATAATGTGGGCTGCGGAGCGCGGGCTGGGCGACGTCCTGGCGTCGCTGAAGGGGTACTATGTGGAGGTGGCGGACCAGGTTTCGGAGCAGGCGCCCGACAGCCTGGAGCAGCTGGTGGCGCTGCAGCCCAAGCTGCACCTGGAGCTGCATGCCCGGCTGGCCAAGCGAGCCAGGATGCAGTAGAACAGAGTACCATGAAGGGCGTGAGGGTGGGAGGGTTAGACGAAGGGTATCGGTAACTTGACTGCAGTGGTGCCCGCAAGCGGCCGCAGCAATGGGGCACGGTGGTTTCTACGGCTGCATGAAGGTACGCGTTAGCAGTTGAGATTCTGGGCACTAGGGTGCATCAATCAGCAGGGCGCGACAGACTTCAAGGTGTGGCCGGGCATGGCCGGTGCTCGAGGAAGTAACTAGGTGGAAAGCGGGATTTGCATCTTAGGCCGTCAGCTCCTGTCCTGCGGGTATGGTTTTGTTAAGCAAGTAGAGGCAGGCAGCATGGCTGAGTTGCATCGGAGTAGAGTGTACTAGTGCTGCAGGTGGCATTGCATAGACCGTCTGTCGTCGCATGTCGTTGCTGGTAATTGAATTGGAGACGAGAACGAGACAATTTGTTGTAGTTGTCCATGCTGCATGGTATGGGGGTATCGGCATTGGGGGCAGCTTTGCATTCGCATTGGGATTTCGGCTCATTTCGCTCAGGCATCCGAGGCATGAGCAGCCCCATGAGCGCCTGACTGACCGGTTGTTACCCGTACTGGGTACTACGTTGCAACACTGTGTGTACTGTACCTGCTGCACATTGGCATGGCATGTAGGTGTGGGGAGTAGCGCGCGTGTCCAAGCTTGGATTATGGCCTGGGGTTCCGCTTACAACTGCATGGTGTACGAGCATATGTACTTTTGGCGTGTGCTGCATTCAAGCCCGATATTGTGCCGGCGGTTTAGCCTTTGGACAATGCATGCAAACCGTTGGCAGGACACTGATATTGTTTGTCGCAGTTGGATATGAGTCCTAGCACTTTGGAACATATCCTCGCTGCTGATACTTGTGACAGGGAAAATGCATGTGGCTGTGCGCCAGGAGTTTTCTGGTGTGTATGGTATCGTCACGTGAGCGTCGTACCTCTCGCAGGATGAGGCGGCAGTTCATCCTTTTGCATGCCCCTCCCCCAAGCACTGTCCTTTGGTGACCCACGTGGGGGGCTAGGAACCGAGGTCGAAGGTAGACAAGTAAGGTGACGCTTTGGATAGCGGTAAACTGTAAAATGCCATGTCATGGACGGCACGAGTAAATTTGAGATTCATAAACCAGAATGCATTCGTGCCAAGGCTCCCCGTACGGCAATCCTGGGGACGCGAGCGGGCGCCAGCCTTACTCTGCACCTTTTGGCATGTGTGATAGGAATGCTGTCATACAGTTACATTTTAGAGTCTGCGGATGTGCATATGGTTCCGGGGAATGGCTAGCGTGGAGATGGAGGATGCAAGCTAATCAACCAGTACACGCATCGCCACGATCTCACCAGTTGAGATTAAGCTTATTACTTGTGTTAGCTTTATACATAATTGCATTCCAGCATTATATGCATGCGTGGGTTGAGGTAGCTTGACAATACGAAACTTCCGGCTGGCGTTTACTAGGGGTACATCCCATGTGATACTGTAGACTGTACTTTGCTGAGATCACCCTTTAGGATAACTATACGTTAAGGGAGGCATATCTATGACATTCCCGCCGTAGGTTTACCATAAGGAAAGGATGTCGGCGGCCTCAACGGGAATTGCCGCAAGCACTGGCCTGGCGCACGGAAGGTGCTGTAACGGAACAGCACAGGCAGCTCCTTTCTGTGGAAGGCACGCGACGACGCAGCTATGGCACTCCGGCCCGTCATCTTCTCAGCTGCTTGGAATACCATCCCGCTGCCTAGTAGTATCGCATGCACGACGTAAGGTTTACGCCGTTGTCGAGCCAGCGGCTGCACGGGGCGTTTACAGGATTTGGTCCCAAGTGCGGGAACTGGTGGAAGGAGTTAGCAATGCTCTCCACAAAGGCTTTGCGAGCGAAGCCGCAGCGTTCAGATGGATAGAGGAGCAAGTCAACTTAGAGATGAAGAGGGTGAGGTTCCAGTTGGAGCCCCTTCGGGTTCCCAACCGTCCGCATGTCAACCCTAAACCTTGTGACTTTTGAAATACTGGCTTCACCTATGGTGGCATGTCTTACCCCGCCACTCTCGGACTGCCAGGGCTTGTTGGACTTGTTGGGACACTTCTCACCGCGCCTCCTCACATCCCTCGAACCGCATGGCTTTCCGCAGGACGCCGAACTCGATGACCTCCGCGAGCAGCTACAAAATATTATCTCACCTTCACCAGAGACGCCATCGTCGGCAGCCTCCGCTACCCAATCGGAAGCTGCAGCTGCAGCCGAGGTCACGGACGCGGGTCCACGGCCCTATGAGGCGTCTGCAACTGTGCTCGAGGTTCCCTCCCAGCCTTCACGCACCTACTACCGCAAGTGGTGAGACCGAGGAATAGCCCCACATGCGTGATGCAGCACTGCATGGTTATCCGCGCTTGCGCGCGGCTAGGTGCGGGCTCGGGCTGTGGCTACCGTGGTATCGGTAATGGAGGCATCCTGTGCCAGTCGTGTCGACCAGGGCATACCGGTATCGCATAACCGGCATATGCCGACTCTGCTCCACCTGTCAATCTTCACGGCACGATGTCGCGCCATGTTGCGCGTGTCGAACCAGCACAACTGTACTGCAGAGGGGCAGCCGGATAGCAGTCTAGGCGCCTTGTGACTCACATGTCTATCCCCGATGACGACGTTGCCCTCGGCTGTCTGTCGCAGGTACGCCGTACGGTTCGTGGATGGAGGCTACCCTGGCGTGTACGGCAACTGGGAGGTACGTGCCGTACCATGCGTGTGGTACGGGGGCTGCGGGCTTGTGCCGAGGTGCAAGTTAGTTTTTCATTGATAAATGTTTGGCAAGTCGCCGGTCCTTGTCCTCGTCCGGTCTGGTGTGTTGTTTTGTTACCCGTCTTTCCTCTTCTTTTAGGGCAGACTTGATGGCGGTTTGGTTCCTACCAAGGGTTTCTCGTCCCGCTGGTGATTAGTCTTCCCATCCCTGTCTCTGTAACAGTCCTCGCCCTAGAAAAGAGGATTGTAGACGGCGTACGTGTATGGCCCCACAGCGATTCCCATTCTCCAGCAAGCCGCGGACGCTAGCCCCTGCTGCCGGTTCCCTTCCCATCCGCACCTCCCCTGCCCACCCTGCCTGCCCTGCCCACCTCCCTCCTGCCTTCCCGCTCCCCCAGGAGGCCCAGGCGGCCATCCGGGGGCGCTACGCCGAGCACCGCTCCTTCGAGTGAGGCCCGGACGGGGAGCTGGGGAGGGACAGCGGAGGGACAGAGGGGCGATGAGGGTGATGTTGTGCATGGCTGCTTGACACCGCCTTCCTGCCTTACCCAGGGTTACCCTGTACTACCGGTGTGACGTCATGATGTCATAACCGCCACTTGTCCGCCGTCCCCCTGTGCTCCGCAGCACCTACGCGAAGGCCGTGACGTACGCCTTTGGCCAGGAGTATGCCGAGCAGATGTGCGGCCAGGCTGTGCAACAGCAGCAGCAGCAAACCCCACAACAGCAGTACGAGCAGCAGCACCTTCCGCAGCAGCAACTAGCGCACCAACAGCCGACGGACCTCAGTCCCGGCGCCGCCACCACTGACATCCATGACGCCTACGCCATGCCTGCTGCCGCCCAACCCCACCACTCTGCTGTCGAGCAGCATCACGGCCAGCACCACCCGGAACCCCAGTACGGCAACAACACGTACGACAGCAACACGTACGACATACACAACCACCACCATCACACCACGCAGTACGGTCACCAGCAGCAGCAGCACACCTACCGCGCTCCTGAGCAGTACCCTGAAAGCAGCGGCAGCGAAGGCAGCAGCAGCTGGGCCGTCGGCACCACCGTCAGCCCCAGCACTCACCACTCCCAGCAGGCCGAGAGCCTGGAGCCCTCCGCACCCTCCTTCTGGCCCACCATGCTGCTTCCCTGGCAGCAGCAGCACCACCCCCCGCCTGCCGCACCGCAGTTCGCCCTGGCGGCGGGGGCGGTGGCGCCGGTAGACCTGCAGCAAGTCTGGAACCCCGGCTGGAATGCTGGTGCCCGCAGCAGCAGCAACAGCGGCGGCGGTAGAGGCAGGAGCGGAGTCACCAGCCGGCCTCCGCTGCTGCCGGCGGCGCCGCTGATGACGGCTCCCATGCCACCCAGCGCCCAGCCGGCCTCCCCGCCCGCCCGCGTTAGGCCGGGCTCAGGACATGCCTGGTCCGCAGGAGTGAGCGGGCAGCAGCAGCAGCAGCCGGCGTTGCATCTGGACGCCTCCTCGCCCCACGACCCGCAACAAGCGTCACATGAGAGCTGCCATCAGCCAACTCGTGGGCACCAACCTCAGCAGCAGCAGCAGCAGCAGCAGGGCCAGTCCTGCAGCGTCCCCTCCGACAACGGGGCTGCAGCTCTCCCGCCTGATGCCCCCGTTGGCCCCTCGGCGGCGTCTGCTGCTCCCTCGGGCCCCTCGCCGCCTCCAGCTCGACGTCCGAGGGGGCGGCCACGCAAGCAGCCTGCCCCGGCCCCCTCGGAACCTCCTGGCCTTCCCGACTCCTCCTCAGCTGCCGCGGCGACGTCTGCATCGGCGCCTGTGGCTGCAGCTGCAGGGGCGGCGGTGGCTCTTGCGCCGGCGGCTGTTGCAGCGTCCACTCGCGCGGCGGACCCTGTGTCACCGGCCAAGCGGCGACGGGGCCGCCCGCGGAAAAGCGACGTCCAGGCAGCCGCTGCCACTGTTGCTGCCGCCGCCACGACGGAGAGCGCTCCGGCGGTGACGTCATTGCCCCCGGCTGTGCAAGTGCCGTACAGCCTGGAGTCGCCCCATCCCGGAAGTCGAGCCGACCCTGACCTTCCGTCCACTCGGGTACGGGCGGTGGAGCAGCAGGCGGAGGCGCGGAGGCGGCGGCGGCAGGCGACTCGGGCGGAGCAGCAGGCGGCGGAGGAGCGGCAGCATCTGCAGGAGCCGCTACAACTGCAGGAGCTGGAGAGCTCACAGCAGCAGCAGGCGGATGCCGGCGTAGGGTGCGGCACCGGTGAGGGCCGTGCAGCGCCCCCTGTTGCATCCTCCGGCTCGGACAGCAGCAACACCACTCCGGCAGTGGCAGTCCCCGCAGCAGCAGCAACAGTGACAGCAGGATCAGCGCTGGCGTGCGGCGGGGCTCAGGTGGCTAGGGCGAAGTCTGCAGCCGCTAGGAAGCGTGTCTTGGCGCGTGCTGCACCCGTGCGGGCACCCTCGCCGAAGACCGCATGCGCTCCCTCAGCTGCTGCTGCCGCGCCTAGCTCGGCGGCCGCTAGCCAGGGCAGTAGCAAGGGCGGCGGTCGCAGGAGTAAGGGCACGGGTGCGGGTGCTGTGAGCGCCAATAACACTGGCAAGCCCAAGGTCAGCGGACCTCCCACTGCCCCAACGGGTTCTGCCGTTCCCCTAAGCGCCCTTGACCCTCGTAGCCTTGTTCGCGAGCTCATGGCGCGGCGACTTTGCCGGCGGCAACCGGAGCAACCACAGCAGCAGCAGGACGAGCAGGGGCAGCAAGGGCGGCGGCCACAGGTAGAGCGTGACGAGCGGCAGGAGCAGCCAAGGCGGCGGCAGCAGCAGCAGCAGTAATAATAGGGCGCTGACGGCAGCAGCCCGGCCGCGGGGAAGGTAGAGCAGCCCTTTAGGGCGTTAAGATGCCGTGCGGGAGTACGGCAGATGCTCATGAGTGAACTGCGTTGCGTACCGTAAGAGGGTGCGTGGGGGGGCAACCGAGTTTATTTGAGCGGCTGAGAGCTAGGTGCCGGTATTACCGGTAACAGGATCGGAGATGTCAATGAGCGCAAAGATGGCGTCACATAAGAGACCCGATGTGTCGGGAGGCTTGGCGCGAACGTAAGTAGAAGTGATGTGGGAACAGGGTATTCCATTATAGGGTAAAGCGTGGAATCACGGGTGGTTGCTTTATGTAGAAAGTACGCAGGGAATTTTGTAGGATGTGTACCCAGTAGGAGGAAGCCTTGGCAGTGTCGATTCGTTTCCAGTTGTGAGCTAGGCATATGTAATGAGGCAGCTTTCTGCAGTCCAGTTAGGTCACTGTTGCTTAGTTTAGGGACCGTTGAGGAGGGCTGTGAGGTGATGTGAGGGCCGCATCGCCACCTTACCTGGCTATCGGGTGCAAGGAGAGGAGTATGCAAGGTGGACGGGCTGCTGTAATAGGGCGCATATAAACCCGCACTGGCACAAGCACCATGCATGTGGAGGTCTCTGGGTTGTCTTGGGGTTTGGACTCGGTAATGTGGCCCGTACTGAACAGTCATGCACAGGCGCCTTCCCGTAGCTCTGGTGTGGAGACGCTTATATACAGTTGCTTGGCGTCGGGTAGGGCACTTTCAATGTTACGATGATGTCCAGTGTAGACGTGGTCAAGCTTGGAGAGGCAGCCTGGCTAGGTCTAAACGGTATCTAGACATGCTGCTTTGGCAAATAGCCTCGGTGCAGAGTAGGGCCCGCTTACGTTCTCGGGGTCCTGCGACAGATCACTGCTCACAACCAATGGCTCCCAATAGCGTTAGCTCCCACAATCCCGACCTTCCTTCGCTCGCCCGCACTCCTGCCAGTCCCCCAAAGGCATCAGACCTCGTCATGCGAACCTATCCCAACTGCTTGCTCTTGTCCTACTCAGCTACACATGCCCTCCCGTGTAACAAAACCCCGGGCCCACACATCTTCACCCGCCCGTAAACCCGCCCTCATGCATACATCACAAACCCCCGCTAGAAGGCATAGCCCTGCCGGAAAGCAGGCAAGGCGCACAATGAAAGAAACACTCCGCATGCCGCCTCCCAATCCCCTGCTGCAGAACCCACCCGCATGTCGCCCCTTCATGGGTCTTCAACCCCAGCGGAAACCACCCCAAGAATTACATCCTGCGACCTGATACGCTGCATGTTCCCTCACATCCCACTCCCGGAACAAGCCCCTTCCCATCCGCCCCCGCGGCGCTACGACTCCCACTCTCACCCCTGCAACCCCTATCGACCACTACTCCACAACCTCTCGCTCTCCTTCTCCCTCTCCTCCCGCTGCCCCTCCCGCCCTCATTTCCCCGCCTCCTTCTGCGGCTTGCTCCGCAGCTCCGCCGCGTACGCCATCATGCCCGCCAGCGCCGCCTGGGTGCCGGCGTCGCATGCGGACAGCAGCTGCTGGTACCTGAGGAGGGGGAGGGGGAGGGGGAGGCGGGGGCGGGGTGAGATGGCGATGGGGGTTGGAGTATGGGAAGGTGACAGAAGCGCAGTCCGCAGCTGCCGCGACTCATAGCGGCATGCGGCTTGGTTGCAACGGAGCTCACCCCATCCATGCAAAGAGGCACTTCCCAGTGGGACACACGCGTCCCGCTTCTGCCTCTCTCTTCCCGCTCCTCACCCCTCTTCGCACCTGGCGGGCATGTGCTGCTGCAGGCCGCTGAGTGCATCCGCGAAGAAGACGTAGGGGTCCACCGGGTCAATGGGCGTGTGCACCTCCTCGTCGTCCGTGAACTCGTCGTCCGAATCCTCCCCCTCGCTGTCTCCATCGCCCAGCAGGTCCCGAGCGCCTCGCCGAGCAGCCCGGATTACCTCGTCATCGTCATGAGGGGGAGCCGGATAAACCAGTGGCTTCGACTTGGCCTGTTGGCTGTCGGGGAATCATCCTAAGGGTTACCCTTCTATGCACGTATGCAGGCGTCAGCCATCGCTGGCTGTCGCTTGGACAATAGGATTATAGAAGATTACCAACCATACACCATAGGTATCCTGACTCTTCAATTAGCCGCCAGGAACCAAAGCACGTCGACACGAGGGCGTTCATACAGGCACGGTATTGGCCCCCCTGGATTTGAATCCAATGCCGGGCCCGCGGGACATTGCAAAGCCTCTGTGCTCTGGCCTTCGTCTTTAGTTACTTCTGAACAAAACTGACTTGACAGTATTTTACTATTTGTCTTGCAAAGATGTCGGACGCTGCCGAGGCCCCTGCTGCTGCACCTAGTGCTGCTGCTGATAAGTCAAAGGCTGACAAGCCCAAGAAGCAACGGACACCGCCTACCCACCCGCCCTACCTGACCATGATTACCGAGGCCATCTCAGAGTTGAAGGAGCGGTCGGGGTCTTCCATTCCGGCGGTCACCAAGAAAATAGAGGAGCTTCATGGCAAGGTGAGGATTTGTTCCACGTTTCAAGGTTGCTTGGAAACACAGGGCATCTAGCAAAGCCTGAAGTACAATGGCGACGGTTCCCTTGCTTCGCGTCAAATCCATCCCAGGACATCCACGACCCTAACTTCAAAAAGAAGCTCTCCTACTACCTCAAGACGTTCGCTGAGCAAGGCAAGCTGGTGAAGGTTAAGTCTTCGTACAAACTCAGCGAAGAGCTCAAGGCCAGCTTGAAGAAGTCGAAGCCGAAGGTGGGTTGCACAACCAGACCAAGGTGGCATAGCGCCCAAGCCCCGGGGCGATATGATTTGCCGCGACGTAAGGAGTAGAGATCGTCCGAGGCCTTTCCGATATGCTCGACATGTGCTTGCAACCTCGGATGTTCTGTCACATAGCCATCCCTTAGGCGCCTTCGTGCCGCACGTGGTCAAGCCCTAACATATCCTCTGCCTTGCGCATAGGCTCCTAAGGAGGCCGCTGAGAAGGAGGAGAAGAAGCCCAAGGTGCGCTGCCTGCCGTTATACTCGCCAGCGTAGCTTTGACCTGCGCAGGCGTTGGGCGCTATGCCGCTATCCAGCGCGACAGCCTCATCGGGGGCTAGGTGCCATACCATCGTTGTTGGGCAAATCAGAGTTGCGTCGCAGCCGTGGCGCTAGTAGGGTTGGTGTCTCCAAGCCCCGCGCACGCTTCGCGCCGGCTGTGGCTACATCATCGCCACGCCCCAGAATTGCAAACTCTTATCACAGTGCCGTGTTATTGTCTTATGGCTTCCTTGCAGGCCGAGAAGCCCAAGGAGAAGAAGGAAGCGGCCAAGCCGAAGGAGGCCGCTAAGCCGAAGAAGGAGGCAGCTAAGCCGAAGAAGGAGGCAGCTAAGCCCAAGAAGGAGGCTGCCAAGCCGAAGAAGGAGGCTGCCAAGCCGAAGAAGGAGGCTGCCAAGCCGAAGGAGGAGGCTGCTAAGCCGAAGAAGGAGGCAGCTAAGCCCAAGAAGGAGGCGGCCAAACCCAAAGAGGCAGCCAAGCCCAAGGAGGCAGAGAAGCCGGCGAAGGAAGCGACGAAGCCAAAGGAGGCAGAGAAGCCCAAGAAGGTAAGTGAAACTTGGCGGGCCCCTGTTGCCACTTTGCCTGTTTCGGGTCTGGCCCCTTTCCATATCCACCTAACCTTGACGTTTCTTCCCTTCCCTCCCAAACCCTTAAGGAGGCGGCAAAGCCCAAGCCTGCGGCCAAGGAGGCACCGAAGAAGGTGAAACTGCCTAGCGCCTGATTACTGCAGTGTCCAACCCGGGTGTTAGTCCTCATGCAGTACTTGCCTTGTGTCGCCTCCCCTCTGGTGCCATCCTGTTCCCCCCCTCCGCAACTGCGCTGCAGGAGCCCAAGGCCAAGGCCGCCCCGGCTGCCAAGGCATCCCCCAAGAAGGGGAAGAAGTGAATGCCGCAGCGCCGTAGTCCGTACCAGGCGCTGCTTGGATGAATGCATCTTGAGTTGACGTGCCGTCGGCGGGGCAATGAGTTACTGGGACCATGACTGTCACTGACTCCCACCTATTGATTAATTAATTAGATGTAGCACCCATCAAACCTGTACACAAGTGCTTACGTGCGTTTGACGCGTGTATGTCAACGCTACATAATGTACGACACTGCTCGATGTGATGAAGCGGTGCTGCCGGAGGACGGGCTGCTATGCGCGCCTCAGCATTGCGATTTGGACAGGTGGGGGTGACGTTTGGTTCCGTGTGTGTTTTGGAAGCCAACGTTGGAATGGCTTTACAGTAGCCAGCAATCAGCATTGTTCGAATGTGTCGCAAGCGTGTACATAGCTCTGACAAACCCTAACAAGCATACCCTGCATCTAATGCCATAATGTGTATACAACGTTGACCCTGACCACGTTTGTTGGTCGCTCCTGCTGCAACAAGCGGTTCTTTTTCTTGTCGATGTACCCCTTGCTTGTACCCTTGAGATGAGGGTCCTGTGTAACATGAAGCCGAGGCTTATCCTATTGAACTGCTGGTAATTCTAGTGTGTCGCTCGTGTCTCTGCATCCTATGTCATGGATGGCTTAGTACAGACGGTATGCTTTGTTGCCGTACCGTAGACCTCTCACGCCGTATACTTGCAGGAATACCATTGTCTTCAGCCAGTGTGGGGCTTGGGATACTCCACCTTGAGCCACACTACACAACCATCCACTCCTTAGGTAACCGGTTATTATGGCAGCCCTTACTTAGTCAAGCCAGCCCCGCGCCGCAGCCGCCAACGCAATAAGGGCACGGTTAAAATGCATCACGTCTCGGCCCGCCAGCGACCCACGGGTCGCCAGCAAAGGCGCACACTCGGTCACTTCAATATTTGAGGCAACCCTTTGACCCAACTGGTCCGCATCTGCCACAGAGGCGCCCGGCGACGGTGCGATGTAGGTGGTGGTGGTGAGGGTGCATGTGGAGCGGGGAGATGCGGCGGCGGCTGCGAGGGCGTCCCGAGCAGCCTGCAGCGCTGGCTCTCCTACGGCCTAGCGTGGGGGGTGCGAGTCGAGTGGAGCGGGCGGGGGGTGGGAAGTGCAGTAAGCATGGCAGAGACTGCACGGGGAGCAATAGCAGCAAAACCAAGGCATGGTCGCTGTTGCGGGAGGGGCCGTCCAACAGTTTGCTTCACCCTTCACAGCAGGCAGCCTGCCTTCCTCCTCGCTTTCCCTCACCCTCGCCCTCACCCCAGCCCCACCTTCAGGATGTCCTGCCGCTGCTGGCTGTCCGCCTGCCCCCGCTGCTGCACCTCCGCCAGCGCCTGCTCCGCGTCCATGGCCAGGTTGGACAGCCGGTCCGCCACCGCGTTGAGGGACCTGGCAACAGGGAGGAGGCGGGGGGCGGAAGGGGAAGCAGGGAGGTGGCGCGAGGGTGTAACAGGCACGGAAGGAACGCCCTGCTCGCTACAGGCCCCCAGCCGCATTAGCAACCCCGACCTGCCCAGCCACCAGCGCTCGTGGGAATCCGTAGGGAAGGGGCGGTGTGGAGGTGACGTGCCGCTGCACGTCCCAGCCATCAGTTGCTACATGACGCGCCGCCGCCGCCGCCGCCTTCTTCTACCTCCTGGCATGCGCACCCTTCCCCGCGCGCACCAGCCACCATACCCACACGTGCTCCACGCCCCACGTATGTTCCTACTCGCTCCAATTTTTTCACAGATTTCCCGAAACTCCAGTGCGTTCCCCCTCGCGGCCAGTTTCCTCAACACCCAGCCACCCACGCGCCTGGGCACATGCTCCACGGCGAAGGACTCCAACCGCCCCCTCAGCGCCGCCACCCGGGCTGCCAGCGGGCGCAGCGAGGGCGTGTTCACACCGTAGCGGCCCTCCACCTGCGGACACGAGGGTGGCGGAGCGGGGGGGGCGGGGGGAAGAGGAAACAACTAACTGGGTGGCGGGGAAAAGCGATCCGGAGAGGTTGCGTGCGATACCGAGGTGAGGGAACATGCTGGGACAGGGGCGGCTGCTTGCAAAGACGTGGGCCGGCGGGCAGCAGCCCTGACCGCCTCCCCTGCCCCCGCTCACTCAAACCCCTGCCGCTACCCCCACCTCTCCAGCCCCCCCCAGCCCCCACCTGGCGGCACACCAGCTCCGAGTCGCCCCGCGCCACCAGGTGCCGTACACCCAGCTCCAATGCCACCTGACCGGGGGTGGGTTGGGTGGGGTGGGAGGCAGGGTGGTGAGGGCGAGGTAGGCCAGGTAAGGGTCAGGACGGGTTCAAAAGGACCGGAAGCTGAGCAGTCGTCTTGAGCCCATGGTTCAGGTTACCGAGGCCACGCTACGAACACGCCCCCCTCCTCCCCATACCCTAACACCCCCCCGTCCCCTCCCATGCTCCTCCCCCCCCCCCCCCGCCCCCACCTGCAGCCCCGCCGCTAGCGCGCTCCACTCCGCCACGTTGTTGGTGGTGCCGCTCAGCGGCCCCGCCACGTACTCCACGTGCCGCCCGCTGCCGCACTCCACAAGCACCGCGCCGAAACCAGCTCGACCCGGGTTGCCGCGCGAGCCGCCGTCAAACTCCTGAGGAGGGAGGCAGGGCACACGCGGGGTGCAGGAGGGGGGCGAGGTGTACGGCACATGGCTGGGGTGGCGGCGGGTTACGGCAGCGGGGTATGATCGCCCACTAGGTTTCCAGAGTATACACGCGAACTACTCAGCTGGAGCGTGCGTCGTGCGTAAGCGCGACCCTGCTGGACATTGCTGAACAGCAACCTACACTACGGCCCCTGCAACCTGACAGACAAGGACTCTGTCAGTTGTGCGGCTGTGCAAGGTTTGCCCCAGGAGCAACCCTCTGATGCCCCACAAGCGGCCTACATCCCCCCCAGCGAGCCTTGCCATGGGCTAGTTGCCGTAGTTCCTCCCTTTTCACCACCCACCCACCCACCCGCCTGCCTGCCTCACCAGGCGGTACACCATATCCGGCTGAATGGCGCCCCCCAGGGACCCGAAGCACAGCAGCTGGGAGGCCTCGCCCCGCTGAGTAGCCTTCTTAGGCGCCTTGTCCGGGGACGTCTTGGCCTGCTTGGGTTGCTGCTTGGGCTTCCTGCCTTTCTTGCCCTCCTGCTCCTCCGCTTGCTGCTGCTGCTGCTGCTGCTGCGCTGCCACCTCGAGAGGTGATGCAGCCGCTGCAGGCTGCTGTTCCTGTCCTCCCCGCCGTGCTCTCTTTCCTGGTGGTGCGTCTGCTGCTGCCCTCTTAGCCGCCCCAGCGGACTCGCCCTTGGCGGCCTCGCCCTTGCGCGCCCTCGCCGTCGTGGCGGCCACCGCAGTCGCAGTTCTTCTGCTGGGAGACTCCTCCGCTGCGGCTACGGCTCCCGCAGGGACGGCTACCCCACCTCCAGGGGCAGCAGCACCACCAGGAGCACCACCACCACCACCACCAGCAGCAGGAGTAGTACTGGGAGCGGAGGTGGCGCCCCGCCCCGGTGCCCCGCCCGCAGCCGCCCCCGCCAGCCGCACTCCGTGCTCTAGCAGGAAGCGCTCAGCCTCCCCGCGGCTGCTGAAGCGCCTGGGGGCAGCAGGGGGGAGGCGGGGAGGCGGGGGACAGAGGAGGTGGCGGAGAGAGAGGGCGGGTGCATGTGCGAACAGAGGAGAAGGTATGTTCAGGCGCCAGATTGCTGCTTCCTTTGCTACCCCCGCCCCGCACGCCCCACCCGCTCCCCACCCACTTGTAGATGCTGCCCGACACTCCATCCACAACGGCCTGCGTCTCCTCCCAGCTGCGCAGAATGCCAACCTGGGGGGCGGGCGGGGCGGGGCGGGGCGGGAAGGAGGGGGGCAGGAGGGGCAGAAGGGCTCAGGGAGGCCGGTGGCAGCGGAATGGTGGCCAACATGTCACCATGACAGCATGTAGCCCGCGCAGGAATGGAACCCGGGCAGCCGCTGCGTGCGCCTTGCATCCTCGAGTAGCTGATGAGACAGCTGAGATGGATGCGCCCACGTCCCCAGCGACCCATGGGTCCGCACCTGCTGCCCCTTTGCGACCGCATAGTACGGCCGCTTATCAATGCCCCCTCCTGCTCCTCCGCCTCCGCCTGCCAGCCCTCCCAGGGCCCTGCTGGGCTGCTGCTGCTGCTGCTGCCCCGGCTGCCCCTCCTCGGCCACGTACTGCCGCGCCTCCCGCTCCGTGTGGAATTTCCTTAGGGGGGAGGAGGAAGAGGTGGAGGAGAAGAGGAGGAGGAGGTGGAGGAGGAGGAGGAGGAAGAGGACGAGAGGGGCATCACAGCAAGAAGCGCTAAATACACACCGGCCACGCAGCTCATCTTCCGGGGCCTACCCTATGGGCCACAGCATGCACGCACCAGCTCCGCAACCGCCCGCAGCTACACCCCCTACATCACCCCACCCCAAGACATCCCCAGGTTCAGACCCCAACCCCCCGGTCAAAGACCATACCAAACCATAGGAGAGCGTCGGGGGTTGAGGATCTGACCGCCATCACGCACCTGTACACCGCACCGCTGAAGCCGCTCACCGCCTTCTCCGCCTCACCCCAGCTGCGGAACACGCCTGTCCGCCACCCCACCGCTACCGCGTAGAAGGGACCGCCACTGCGCATGTCGCTGCTGCTGCCGCCGCTGCTGCCCCAGCTGCTGTTCATGATGTTGCCGCTGCGGCTGCCCCTACCGGCCACACGGACGCTGAGCCTGCTGCTGCTGCTGCGACTCCCCTCGCTGCTGTCTCCGGCTGCTGCCCCCCGGTGCGGTGATGCTGCCGGTGACGCTGGTGCGCTCCCACCGGGTGGCCAGGGGCGCTGCTGCTGTTGGAGGGGTGGGCCAGGCCAGGAGGGTGCAGTGCGGCTGGGGGGCAGGAGGGGCCCCCGGGCGGAGGAGGGGCAGGCCGCTAGGGTAACGAATGGCTGGCGGAGAGGAGGCTGAGGGAGAGCAGCTGGGCGGCCCAGGCGGTAGCGGAGAGGGATCGGGGCCAGAGCGGGGCTGGGCAGCAGGTGTTGGGGCGTCAGCGATCGCGGCGGCCCAAGATTCGTAGCGGTAGGAACGAGGGTGGACGGGCGAAGAAGAGAGGCGTTCATGCTGTTGTAGTTAAGGGGTTTTGATGCATAGACGGCGAGGGGATGTGCGGTGCGGGTAGAGGGCAATAGGGCGATGCGTAGCGGAGCGGCAAAGGCTGCAAGGCTAGCTAGAGTTTGCGCCAGTGTGTTCAGAGACGTCGTAGCAGCTTAGAAATTTAGAATGAGGAGGAGTTCAATGAGCGCATTGAAGTCACATGGGTTCAGATTCGTTGCTCATTTGGGTAGTATCGCGTCATTTTGCTAAGGACAGTGTGTTGTAAGTTTCCTGAAGGTCGATCCGCAGCCTAAAGCTGGCATCGACGGCCTACGGCTTGATGTGTTTATATGGCAAATGCCCAAAAGCATAAAACAAACAGGACGCGATCACTTGTATACACACGCATCGCCCGCGTGCAAGTAGTCCATTGCGGCGACAGCGGCTGTGCAGCTTCCCTCCTGGTGTTGTACGGTTCCTTTCAAACGCTTGCGTGAGCTGCATCGCACGCACCCAAGAGACACAACTTATGCAATAGACTGAGAGTGCACGGACATGAATAATGTTTAATTGCCATCCTTACTAGGACGAATCCTTAGCTTACGAAACTGAGTGCTTGCAACCAACTTATGGGATCCTTTCTCTTGAGCGATGAGCTGCCGGCGCTGAGCCAGAAAGTCAGTTTACAATTAATTAGATCACTTACTGTCCTAAAATCGCGAAAGGCGCCCTCGGGCGGGCAGTTGGCGGAGCTTCGCGTCGGTGATACTTAGGGCTTCCGCCGTGATAAGTAGCTGGCTATTTTCTCGGGGGGGAGACACCGAATATCGAACCAACAGCTACAAATATGGGGGACAGCGTCAAGGTCATTAACGCTGGCGATTTGCTCAAAGGCGTTAAGCTCACCTTTAACAGCGATGCCACACAAGACCTTCCAGCTCCGGTGGAAAGGAAATCAAGGCTGAAGTGTAAGTCTTAATTCTTGCTTACCAAAAGACTGTTGCTCTAAGGCCTATGGAGGGCCTGGTGACGCCACCCATGCCGTACAACCGGACTTCCACTCCCCCGCACCCTTGACGTTTCTATCTTCGAACCTCGCCTCCTTTTCCCCATTTCTTCCCTCCCCGTTCCGCAGCTGCCGCCCCTAGCGCCTCCGTCGACCCGAAGCGCCCCCCGCCCGCCTGCTCCTCCTCCGCCCCCCTCCCCGGCCCCCCCGCCTTCCCCCCCTCCCCGCTGGATGACGTGGCCGCCGCGCTGTCCGAGCAGTACGGCAGCAGCGAGTGGCTGCAGCCGCCTGGGCAGCCCAACGACTGGCGCTTCATGCTGGCAGTGTGCCGGGCGGTGAGAGCGGGACGGAGGGGAGGGGAGGCAGGGCTGAGGAGGGGAGGAGAGGTGGAGGGCAGGGTTGGGCCCGTGGGGTGCTCGGGGTGGGGGTGCCAGCGGGGTGGAGCACTCCAGGGGGGCAGGGCGCTGCGCCCCTAACCTCTTTGCCAGCCCCCTCGTCCCACGCCACAGCCCCTTCCCTCCCAACCCCACCCCCCCCACCCCCCAGGTGTTGGTAGCCTGGTTCAACCCCGCTGACACGCTGCCAGAGCGGCTGGCGACAGCGGAGGCGCTGGGGCGGGCGTTTGGGCTGGACCCGGGGGCGGTGGAGCAGGTGGGGGGCGGGATGTGCTTGACTGGTGTTTGGGGGAGAGGCGAGATGGGCTGGGCCCCATGTAGCAACCCACCCATGGTGCAGCCCCCTCGTCATACGCAGCTGACGTCCGTTTCCCTCTTCTGCCCTACCTCGTCGTACAGCCTCACTACCTCCCCTGCCTCCCCCCCCTGCAGGTCATCTCCGAGTGCCTGCTGCTGAACTGCTGCGTGTCGCGGCAGCTGCAGCTGCAGGCGGCCGCACTGGCGGGGGACTCCTTCGCGGTGCGGCCGTCGCACTTCCCGCCGGGGGCGGAGGGGGCGGCGGCGTATGCGGAGTTCAGGAGGGAGGTGAGGGAGAGCGGGGGAAGAGGGGAACGGGGCGGGCAAGGGGAGGGCGGAAGGGTGGAATGGAGGAATGGAAGCGAGCTGTTGGGGAGGGGCCTTGTGCCGCTGTTGTCAGGCACGTGGGGCCTGGCTTCATCCTCTTGTTACTACTCCCTCCTCTGCACTCCCCCTTCCCGCTATTTGCCAACCCCTCCCCGCTAGGCCCTGCTTGAGACGGAGCAGCTGCTGCAGCAGCAGGGCGGGCTGCCCGCCTTCTCGGGGCTGCTGCACGTGCGGGTGGCGGGGGCGGCGGGGCTGAGGGGGAGGGGGTAAGCGGGGGGGTGGCGAGGGGGTGGAAGCATGCGGGAGGTACTGGGGGGTGAGGAGGGGCGAGGTGAGGGTTGAGGTGGGGCGCAGCAGGGCGAGGGGCGTGTGTGGGGGGGGGGGAGCAGGGTGGTTGCGTCAGTGCGGTTAGGTCATAGCAGTCCCGCCCGTCCAACAGAGGCGGCGGGTTCCGGCCGGTGACCTGCTGCCCCCGTCCTCCGCCTCCCCTCCCCGCATACACACACTCCCCAACAGGAGGTCCTTCCTGGCCAGCAGCAGCAGCCCGGCGGGGGAGGCAGCCGGGCCCGGGGGTGCAGCAGCAGCCGCCCCGCTGCGCCCCTACGTGGTGGTGTGGCTGGCGGACCGGGCAGGCGGCAGGCGCAGCGAGCGGAGAGTGAGCCGGCTGGCGGAGGGGGCGGGAGGGGAGGGAGGTGGCGGGGAGGGAGGAGGAGGAGGCGGGGGTGGGGGTGAGCCGGAGGCGGCCAGCTGGGGTGAGGAGGCGCTGGAGCCGCTGCCGGTGGGGGCGCCGGACCTGGAGCTGGTGGTGCAGGTGGGGGGAGGGCGGGGGGTGGGGTGCAGGTGGGGGGAGGGGGGAGGGAGGGAGGGGGGCGCAAGCTGGGGGACATGCGGAGTGGTAGAAGGGACCTCGGGGTGGGCCCTCCGTGGGGGGGTCGTACAGCCCAGCTCATGGCGGCGCCAGCGCTGCCCTGTATGGTCCCATAATGGTGCACGACCCCTTCGTCTGCTTGCCTGGTGGGGTCTCCTTTCCGCGCCCCCTCCATGCCTACCTGCCTCCCTCCTAACGTCTCCTCCTCTTGGTGCGTCCCTCCACCCGCCCACTCCCCTTCACGCCGTACCCTCCCCCGCCCTCCCCGCCTCCCCCTGCCTCACAGGTCCGCTGCACCTGCTCCCCCGCCCCCGACCCCGCCTCCTCCTCCCCCTCCTCCTCCTTCCGCGGGGGCGGACCCGACCGGCTGCTGGGCCGTGCGGGGGTGCGGCTGCAGGGGCTGCTGCCCGGCCTCACGCAGCGGGTGGAGCTGGGGCTGTACGGCAACAGGGGGGGAGGGGGCGGAGGGGGAGGGGGCGGAGGCGGAAAGAGGATCAGTCGAGGGGTGGGAGGGGGAGACAAGGGAGGAGGGAGAAAAGGAGGAGGGAAGGCAAAGGGCGGCATGTTGTGCGGCTGCTTTGGAAGGGGGTCTAAAGGGCTTGAGGAGGAGGAGGGGGACGGGAAGGTGGGTGGGAGGGAGGCGGAGGCTGCCGGTGGTGGTGAGCAGGCGGTGGTGGTGGAGCGGGGCGGGGCGAGTGGCGAGCTGGCGGGGCGGGTGGGCAGCGGGGAGGAGCTCGAGGGGGGCAGGTGGGTGCTGGGGGGAGGGGGGCAGGCGGGGGGTGCGAGGTGAGGGGGGTGCTGAGCCGGCTGGATGGTCGAGGGGGCGAGCATGCGGGGAGCCGCGGACCTGCCACTGGGGAGTGCTCTAGGTGCTGCTGCTGCTGTTGTGGTTGTTGCTTCTGTTGCTTTTGGTGAACCCGGAACTCCAATTGCCTGCCTGACGCCTGCCCCGCCCGATCCCCCCGCCTCCCGCTTGCCTCCTCGCCTCCCCCCTGCTCCGCCTGCCCCGCACCCCCAGTGTTGTGTTCGACCCCAGCACGGCCACCACCCGCGGGGCGGCGGGGCGCGAGCAGCGGGGCCGCATCACACTGCTGCTGAGGTACCTGCCGGAGTGAGTGACAGGGGGGGCGGGGGGGGGGAGGGGGGGCGGGGGGGGAGGGGGGGCGGGGGGGCCGGCAAAGGGGGGAGAGGGGCTGCCTGGTGCGTGCGTCAGGGGCCGCGGGTGATGGTGTGATAAGGCGCTCAAAGACCATACAATAAAAAATATAATAAAGAAGTGTGTATGAGGGCACCTAGTGGAACTGTAAACACTTGTAGGTGCAGGGTTTAGTTGCAAAGCAACCTAAGACAAACCTGTCCTTTAAACAATAAAAACAATGTAATAATTGCAGTGATATAATAAGTAAAACTACTTAGCTTCTTTATAACCTTTTACTTTCCTAAAAGAAAAATTATAAATCAGACAGACGCTGCTGAGTCCGCCCCACCTCCCCTTCCGCCCCACCTCCCCCCCCCACCTCACCTCCCCCCCCCCTCCGGCCCCCAGGCACCGGGAGGGGCTGTGTGCGGCCCCCCTCGGCACCGCAGCTGCCAGCACGCACCCCCCCCCGGCCTGCACCGGCAACGGCAACAGCGGCACCTGCAACAGTGTCCAGCCCGACGGTCGCACCACCAAGGGTCGCAACAGCAACACCCGCCACACACGCACGCAGTCGCTGCCATGGGTGGGTGGGCGGGGTGCGGGGTGAGGGGATGGGGGGGGTGAGGGGATGGGGGGGGTGAGGGGATGGGGGGGGTGAGGGGATGGGGGGGGTTGAGGGGATGGGGGGGGTGAGGGGATGGGGGGGGTGAGGGGATGGGGGGGGGTGAGGGGATGGGGGGGGTGAGGGGATGGGGGGGGGTGAGGGGATGGGGGGGGTTGAGGGGATGGGGGGGGTGAGGGGATGGGGGGGGTGAGGGGATGGGGGGGGGGTGAGGGGATGGGGGGGGTGAGGGGATGGGGGGGGGAGAGGGGATGGGGGGTGTTTAGGTCCTGGCGCTGCCTCCGTGCGGTGCACATACACACGCCGGTGCAGCACCTCACGGCACCTGCACACGCGTTGCCCCGCAACCGCCCCTCGCTCATCTCCCATGCACCCTCGTCCCAGCTCCCTCGTCCCCGCCCCCCCGAGCATTGTCCTTCTTCCTCCTCTTCCTCCCACAGCTACCCCTCCATCCTCCTTCCTCCGCCCCCCCCCCCCCAGGCTGCCAGCAGCATGCAGCCCCCCGGCGGACGGGGCGACAGGGCCCACTCGGTGCCCTGCAAGCCCTTCGACCCCTCGGGGCCGCCGCAGGTGGGGAAGGGAAGGGAGGCGCGGGAGAGGGAGAAGGAAGGGGAACACGGGGCTCCCCACTGTCGGACTCCTCCATCGCACACACTGCTGCTTGCCAGTCCCCCTCCTCCCGCCGTCATGACACCTCCCACCACCTCCCCTGCCACCCTCCTCCCCCTCTTGCCCTCCTCCCCCTCTTGCCCTCCCACACGCCAGCCGGGCTACGCTGGCTGCAACGGAGGCGGAGGCTGTCCGGAGGAGGAGGAGCAGGGGGGGACGGGGGCCGGCGAGGAGGGCGCTGCTGCTGCCGCGGCCCGGCTGTCCCGGTGTCTGAGTGAGGCAGCTGAGTGGGTGCGGGGGCGGCTGGGGGCGCTGCATGCGCCGCTGCCGCCGGGGGTGAGGCTGGTCAGCCGGCTGGACAGGTGGGAGGGAGGGGGGTGGGGTGGGGAGGGGGGCAACGTGAACTGACCGGCCAAGGTCCGACCAACCAAGTATCATTGTCTGACCAAGCTGTGTGCATGTTCGGCATGTGCGTGCATAACAAAACACACTGCACTCAGCTGCAACCCCATGGGCCGCCTCCCCTCCCCCTCTCCCTCCCCCCCTCCCGCCCCCCCTCCCGCCCCCCAGTCGCCCGCTGGACCCCGCCGCGCTGCTGGACCCGGGTGCGGACTTCAGCGCCACCCTGCGCCGGCTGGGGGCGGCGCTGCAGGCGCTGGGGAGGGAGGCGGAGGGCAGGAGCCGCATGGGGGAGGTGCCGGAGCCGGGTGAGGGGGGCAGGGAGGCAGGCAGGGAGGGAGGGAGGAGCTTGCGGGCTTGAACACGGCTTATTACAGCTTCCCACAGGGCTCTCCACCCTCCTCCAATCCCGTCTTCCACCATCCTCTCCCTTTCATAATCCCCCTCCCCCCCTTAGTCACCCTGCCGCCTCCTATCCCCTTTGCTTTGCCCTAACCCGTTGCTTCTATGGTTTGGTACCTGGTCTTACCCCACCCCCCTCTAGGCCTCCCCCTCACCGCCCTGGGCCCGCTGGGTGAGCTACTGGACGACTGGCAGCTGGAGGCGGTGCTGGCCCGCTGCCTGGCCCGCAGCCTGGGCGGACCCGCGGGTCTGTCGCTGCTGCTGCTGTTCGCGCGACTGCACCGCGTGCGCCCCGCGGCTCAGCTGCTGGTGGTGCTGCAGGCGCTGCTGGCGGGCGGCGCGTGGCAGCCGGACAGCGAGGAGTACCTGCGGGCGCTGAAGAGGATGTGGGAGCTGGCCATGATGGTGGGGGGGGTGGGGGGGAGGGGAGGGGGTGAAAGACCATAGCATACCACAGGAAGCCACAGGTTAGGACAAAGGAATGGGGATAGGAGGCGGCAGGGTGCCACAATACAAAGTGAGGGTTAGCGGTCCCTACCGATACCGTGTCCGAGGTGGCGTTGAAGGGCGGAGGGGGAGGGGTAAGGGGTAAAGGCGAAGGCTGCCCTCAACCTCTTGCTGCAGCGCTTGGACTGCACACGCCTCCCGCCCGCACAACTCCCACATGCCCCCCTCGCCCTCGCCTCCATACCGACATGCACCTCGCCTCCCTCTGGTGGGTCCGCAACCCTCCCCCCCTCCCCCAACCCCCCAGTGGCACCGCGCGGGCCGCCTGACCCACGCGGAGGGCGAGGGGCTGGCGGGCGTGATGGCCACCTTCCTGCAGCGCGCCTGCCCCCTGCTGGCCAACCACTACACGGAGCTGCCGGGAAAACAGGTGCGTGCGGGTAACACCCTCCTCCTCCTCCTCCTCGCCGCGCGCCTCACGGCCCCTACCCCGCCCCTGCCCTGGCTAGCCACCACGTCAACCATGTAGCTGTTACCCTCGCCCCCCTCTTCCCCCTCGGCCCCCTCGCCCCCCTCGCCCCCCTCGGCCCCCTCGCCCCCTCTCCTTGTGAATGTCGTGATTAGTACAGCCGCTCCCCTGCCTCGCCCTCGCCCTCCCCCTCTCTCCCTCCCGCAGTCCGTCCCCTGCCTGGTGCTGCTGGTGCAGATGTGCGGCTGGGCCCTCACTTGGGACCCCACCCGCTCGCCGCCCATGCAGCCCATCCGCGAGCACATGCAGCGGGCGGCGGAGGCGGAGGCGGCACGTACGGCAGCACTGCTGCCGCACCCGCACCCGCACCCGCAGCAGTCTCAGGCGGGAGGTGGCGGTGAGGGAGGTGCAGGTGGAGGTGGAGGGGGGGCTGTCCACCCGCTGCCTGCCGCCACCGCGGAGGACGTGTTGGCGGTGGCGGGGGCGGTGGAGCGGGCGGCGGCGCAACTGGAGCGGGACCTGGAGCTGCAGGTTGGGGGGCCGGGGAGGGGGGGAAATGAATGAGGGCGGGAGGATGGTAGGGCGGGTTTCCTTGCTTGCTTGCTTACACGAGCTGTGAGCACGCTGTGGTGCGGACATGCTAGCCTTCAAGAGGAAGGGAAACGCTTAAGAGTAGTCACACAAACGTGCGGGTACCCGAACCGTCCCGGGAACCCCTCCTCCTTCCTCCCTCCTCCCTCCCTCGTTCTTCCCCCCAGGCCGCCCTGCCCGGCCTGCGCTGCCTGACCCGGGTGAGCAGCTCCGCGCGCTACCGGGCGCTGCGGGGGGCGCTGGGCCGCCTCTTCGACCGCCGGCCGGGGCTGTCGGGGGGAGCGGCGGCGGCGCTGGGGCAGCTGGAGGGGCAGGTGCGGGCGCTGCATGCGAGCATGCGGGAGCAGCGGCTGGCGAGGGAGGCGGAGGCGGGCGGGGCCGGTAGGGGCGGGCGGAGAGATGGTGGTGGTGCTGCTGCTGCTGTGCCTAATGGTACAGGCAGCAGCGGCGGAGGGAGCGGGAGTAGTGGGGCAAGGAGTGGGGGGAGTGATGATTATGGCGATGATGACGAAGAAGACGATGGGCTGCCGCTTGCCGCCAGCACACCCATCCAGTACAACAAGAGGGCACCCGGGGGCCGACATGGGGCAGGAGGAGGAGGAGGAGGAGGTGGTGGCGGTGTGAGGCGGGGGATGTTTAGGGACGACGGAGACGGGGGCGGGGGCAGCACCAGCAGCAGCAGCAGCGAAGGAGGCGGCAGCGGCAGTAGTACCTCCGATGGGGAGAGCGAAGAGGGAAGTGAGGATGGTGAGGAGGGCAGGGGTGGGGGTGTGGACACTGACGGCGAGGGCACCAGCAGCGGCAGCAGCAGGGATGGCAGCAGGGGTGGCAGCAGCGGCGGCAGTGGTGGCGGCTGCAGTGGTGGTGCGGATGAGGACGACATGGGGTGCGACGGCAGCCCCTGGCGCCCGGTGCGCCTGTTCGACCTGGAGGGGGCGCTGACGGGGGCGCTGGAGGAGTGGGCGGGCACGGGAGGTGAGGGGGGAGGGGGAGTGGGTGTCGGCCAAGTGATTTGCCATGCGTTCTGAGCTGTTGGGTTGTATGTACTGTTGTGGGCGCAGAGCCACGTGTCAGGCAGCACGTGTCCCTCCCCCCCTCCTTGCTCCTCCTTGCTCCTCCCCCCCTCCCAGCCGCGGAGCTCACCCTACAGCTCACTCGCCTGCTGGAACGGGACCCCCTCTGGCCGCCGCACCCCTCGGGGCCGGGACAGACCCATGGGTCATGCCACGGCTCCAGCCCAGCCACGGGCGGCGGAGCAGGCGGCACGGAGACTCGGGCGGGTCATGCGCGTTCGGGCTCTGTCGCGGGGGGCGGTGCGGAGACTCGGGCGGGGCACGCTCGTTCGGGCTCTGTCGCGGGGGGCGGTGCGGAGACTCGGGCGGGGCACGCTCGTTCGGGTTCGGTTGCGGGTGCTGGTCGGGGTGGCAGCGGCGGGGCGGGTGGCGGGGGCGGCAGGGGGCCGCCGCTGGTGGGCAGCCGGGCGGGGGAGAGCGCCCTGGAGCTGATCCGCATGCTGCAGGTGCGGGGCGGGGGTGGGGTGGGGGAGGGCAGGGCAGGGGTGGGGTGGGTCCACACGAATGGGGAGGCGCAGGACAGATCCCCTCTGCAGCTGCTGACCCTCCTCCTTCCCCGTCCCCACACAACCCGAGGTACATGCATATCGGGTACACAGCTCGCCCGCCTTACTTCCCCTCCCTATCTTCTTCCTCCTCTGTTTCCCTCTCCCCTTCCCAAACCCCCACCAGGCGTATGTGGACGTGTCGGTGGGTCGGGCGCTGGGGGGCGGTCCGCAGCGCCCCGCCCGGCTGGGCCCCCGGGTGGCGGCCGCGGCGGTGTCTTGCGTGCGCAGCTACCTGCACCACTGCATGCGGGCCTGGGAGGAGGTGGGCAGGGGGTAAAGAGGAAACAACGAACTGACTGAGGGAAAAGGCGTCAACATGGGTTGTGGGCAGGGGGTAAAACATGTATATGATGAGACACTGACGAAGCAACTGACGAGCTGTATGACAAGGCTTCACCATGAGGGGGTGCAACATGGTAGCCGGCAGGGGGTGGGGCCAGGCGCCGAGGGGGGGAGAAGTGGGGGGCAGGGTGGTAACATGGAAGGTCAGGCGCGTTGCAGTGCTTTTCCATTCCCCTTCCCATGCCGTTCTTCCGCCCCACGCGCACCCGCACACCCTTACCCCCCCCCCTCCTCCGCAGATCCTGTCCCTGCGCGCCCCCCCGTCCGACGGCCCCCTGCCCGCCCCCGGCCACCGCCACGCACGCACCTTCTCCGACATCTTCCGCACCGCACTGGGCGCCCCCGCACCGCCCGCCACATCCACCGCCGGCAGCACCACCGCCGGCGGAGCGGCGCCCGGACTCAACTCCACATCCACATCCACCTCCACAGCGGGCGCGTCACCGGGCTTGATGACGGGAGCCACCACCGCCGGCGGCGGCGGCGGCGGCAGCGATGCGTCCATCGGCGGCGGCCGGTCACCTTGCGTAGCGCCGCTACCCGAGTTTGGCGTGATGCCGTACTCCTCCCACCTGCCCGCTCCCCACCACCAGCCGCACCACTCCTACGGGGCGGGAGGGTTAGGAGCGGCAGCGGCAGGGCTGGCGGCCGTGTCGTCACCCTCCAGGGGCCCCCCAGCAGCAGGCGGCATGCGGGGCGGTGCGGGCGCCGGCCGGGGCCACCACCGGCGGGCCGCCACCGCCTCCGAGTGCGATGCCTTCGCCAGCGCCCTCGCTGCTCCGGCCCCCGGGGCGCCCGCCACCTGCACCTCCGCCTCCACCACCGCGACCGGGATCACGCCCACATTCGCCGCCTCCAACCCCGCCTCCGCCGTCCCCCGCGGCGGCGGCTCCCTGCCTCCCGCTACACTGCTCGCACTGGCCGCGGAGCCGGGTCTGGTGGCCTGCCAGCCGCTGCTGCTGGTACGGCACACGTTGGGGCTGCTGGCGGAGGGGGTGGAGGCGCTCAAGGAGAGCCTCATGCCGCTGGCGCAGGGGCAGAAGGGGCAGGGGAAGGGGAAGGGCGTGACACCTGGCAGCGACGGCAAGCAGCAGCAGCAGCAGCAGTTGCCGGGGTACCTGTCCCGTGCGTTTGCGGAGTTGGATCACGCGATGGCGGCGGCGACGGAGGCCTGCCGCGTGTCGTACGCTGCTGCGGTGCGGTCGGCGCTGCTGCGGGGGATGCTGGCAGCATTCGACGTCAGCGGGCAGGGCGCGGCGCCGTCGGTCAAGGTGGGTGGGTGGAGGGTGGAGGGTGGAGGGGTGCGGATGGGCTTGGTGGTCTGAGTTGACACGGGGTGCTTCCTTCCCTCTTTCCGCTCCGCCCTTCTTGCAAAGCCTTCATGCATAAAGATTTATCTTCAAGAGCATTCCTCCATCTTGACCTCCCCATGTGTACCAGGATGAAGGCGAACAACTCCTCATGCCCCCCCACCCCTCCTCGTACCGGTTCTTCCGGCTACCCGGCCGTGTGTTCACCCCACAGACAACAGCCCCGCCCTCCACCCTCCTTCCCCTCCCCCCCGCCCTCAGGCGCTGGAGTCGCTGCTGGGCTCGCTGCACGAGGAGCTGCTGGCGCTGGTGGAGGGGCTGGCGGCAGGGGGGTGGGGGGCGGCAGGGGCAGGCGGGGGGTGGCGCTCCTCATCTTCATCATCCTCCGCCCCTTCCCCCTCGGCTGCGGGTGCTGGTGCGGGGTGTGCGGGCGAGGCTGCTGTGCTGGTGGGGGTGTGCTGGCGTGCGGCGGTGGGGGCGGTGCGGGCGCTGGCACTCAACCAGGGGGGGCTGAGGCCGCTCACGGAGCAGGTGGGCGGGTGGGGGATGGGGGAAGGGGTGGGTTCGGGTGGGTGGGTGGTGCGGCGGGGGCTTGTGTGTGGAGAAGCATCATTGTGGGGCTCCCGAGGAGCCTATGGCCCTGTGTTCAAAGGAATCATGTGGAATTGTGTGATGACTCCAGTTTGATGGTTGGCGGGCGTCGGGCGGCTCGGGGGGTTGGGGCGCAAGGGGATCTGCGGTACGCCCGCGGTCAGGCAGGCAGCTGAGCAGGTGGGGCAGGGCAGGCCGTGACTGCCAGCTGCCTGGACGGGGGTCGCCTCACGGCCTTCATGGAGCCGCGCTAACTGCTTCCCCTCCCCCACAACCTTTGACTTCCCCCTGCCCACCCTGCCCACCCTGCTCCCCCCCCGGGCAGGAGGCGGACCTGCTGCGGGAGCTGCTGGTCAGCCTACAGGCGAGTGGGGGAGGGGGGTGGTGCCTCTGCGCGCGGAAGACCGCAGCTGGAACAGCATGCAGGAGGGGTGCGCGACCTCTCCGGTTTCAGCGTCTTTCCTTTGTTTTGGGCCTGTCAGCACAGCCTTCACGTTAGCCCAGCCTACACCCGCTCCGCACGCCTGCGCACCCAGCCCACTCCCTCTACCGCACTCCTGCCCTCCACTCCCCGCAGGACATGTTTGGAGAGGTTGTGGAGCAGAACCTGCTGCCTCCCCTGCTGCACAAGCAGCAACACCCGCAGCAGCAGCAACAACAACACCCGCGGCACCACCCTCGCAGCAACAACCCCTCAGCCGCAGCTCCCTCCCCCTCCCCCTCCTCCGCCCCCTCCCCCTACACCGCGTGTCGGCAGCTGCTGGGCGAGCTGGCGGATGGCGGCGGGCGGGCGGCTGCGGTGGCCTACCCCTCGGCGCTGCTGCAGTGCGTGGCTGCGGACACGGACAGCCTGCGGGACATGTTCACCGCACAGGTGGGGCCCGGGAGGGTTCACTACAGGGGAGGGTAAAGAGGAAACAACTAACTGGCAGGGGAGGGGGTGCCCTGCCAGCATGTGCCGGCATGTGCCGGCATGCGGTGGAGGGGTGACAGGGGAAGGTTGGTGAGCCGTAGGGAGTGCGATGTTTCGTTGGAGGTGAGAGGTGAGAGATGGGGGGTTCACTGCAGGTGGGAGGTGGGCATGGGTGGTGAGAACTGAAGAGGATTTGTGGGAGCTTGCTTGCGTGGGCTTGTGGTGGCAGGGCCGCAGGTGCTGCAGGTGCATGCGAGTCCTTGCGAGCGCTGCACTGCCTCCCCCCTTCCTTCCATCCCCCTCTCCTGCACCCCGCACCCCCCCAACAGGTGAGCTGTCTGCAGCAGCTGGAGGGGATGCCGGATGAGGGTGAGTGGCACCCCGGGTGGGTGGGTGGGTGGGGGTATTGACACCCTCGTGTGTAGTTGAGTAGAAACAAGAGCAAGCAGTTGGGATAGGTTCGCATGTGAACCGCGAGTATAGTCAAAACAGAGGCAAAGCAGAGATTAACAAACCTGAAACGTAACTCAATAACTGCTTAAAACGCGGGTGCTGGATGTAAGAAGAGTGGCGGGTTGACGACGCATGTCGGTGATGCTGATGTTGTCGGGAAAAACTAATTACTGCTGAGTACCTAGCCCGCTGACCAACTCGACGCCGGGAGCCCCCGCTCTGGTCACGCAGACGAGACACCACAATGCTGTGCATGCGTGCGTGCAAACGCGCATTGCGTACCTGCGAGCAAAAGCGCCGTAGTCAGCACCAGTACCAGCAGCTGCAGTAATGCGAGTAATGCCATGCGCAGGAACATGAACCAGAGCGAGGAAAAGGGGGACAGAGTTAGAGACAAAATGGACCTAGATCGAAGTGCGAAATGTACGGCAAAGCAGGATGGCATGTGAGACAGGACGAACGCAAGCACAACACAACATGAATGCAAATGCAGAAAACAAAGACAACACAACCGGCGCGAGTGGTCGAGCAGGCACTGAGCTGTGGCTGCAGCGGTCAGCTGAACCGCACTGAGAAGTAGCGTTGTCTAAGAGCAAGACGACTGTAGCGTTGTCTAAGAGCAAGACGACGGTGCAATGGGATGCGTGCAACGAACAGGCAAAGGCCAGCAGAGGGGCACGGCCGTGTGTGATGTGGTGCAGTGCAGTGGTGAGTGACCGGGCTCGAAGGAGAGCGCCCCAGATGCTGACATGCAACAGGGCAAGGCAAGGCGGCAGGGCCACAACAACCCCAAAAAAAACAACCGAGCGCCACGACAAAAACCAACGACCACAACGACCACAAAAACAGGGGAGACGAAAAAAAGCACAAACAAAACCCGCCCTTCCCCCACGCCCGTACGCCACCGAAACGAGACGGCCTATATAGTCCCGACCCTGCTCAGCCTGCCCGGCTGCAGAAGAGACAACCTAAAACCCAAAAACACGTGACCACGCAACCACACCGTGCCCCGGGCCGTACCGCGACAAGGGCAACCTAAGACTGCCACGGCACGACCCACCGTCAGTGAACCGCATAACCACCAGCCAACCCGCTAGCCTAAGGTCCGCAAACCCTGCCGCCGCTGAACCAGACGCCACGGCCCACGAAAGCGACGGCGCAGGTCCGAAAGCCCAAAGCGTCCGGAGGCCCAGAGCTGTTGCTGTTTCTGTCGTCGTTGCCGCTCGTGCTGCCACGGAGCAACCAAAAGAGACAACAGAGGGAGCGACGGCTGCTGCTGTGGTTGCAGTGGCTGCTGCTGATGCGGAAACATAGGAACAGCGGCGGCAGAGGGGACCAGAGGAGCGGTGGCAGCGATTACCGTCCACCCGGTAGAGGCATGGTGATGATAGTGCTGCCCCGGGCAGAGAGCGGGGGAGTGACCCCGGCAGTCGCGCTCGTACACCACCTCGTCATTCAGCACGCAGAACTGCGGAAGATGAAGCATTCCGCATGGCCGGAAAGGCGCTGGATACGGCATGAGCCAAAGCGAAACCAACCGACAACTTGCCCCTCGCCCCCACTTCCCTTCCCTGTTTCCCTGTTCTCCTTCCCCCCAGAGCCCTCTACCAGCCTCCAGTCCGCCGCCGCAGCTGCTGCTGCCATCCCGCCCGCCCCCACCTCCACCTCCCCCGCCTCCGCCCCCTCGGGCCACCAGGTGAGCCTGCTGGACCTGCTGCGGCTGCTGCGACAGCGCCGGCGCACCGACCCGGCGGCAGCGACCTTTGTGTCCGAGCAGCAGCGGCTGGCGGCCGGCAACGTCATGCAGGTGTGTGTGTGGGGGGGGGGGCTGGCTGGCGGGCGGACTGGCGGTCGGGCTGCTGGGGAGAGGAGGAAGAAGTCAGTAGCCCGAGTGGCATGGCTCCAGTAGCCATGGCGGGGAGCTGGCGGGGGAGGGGTGCGGGGGGAGGTGTTCCACGGGTTCAATGGACATGGATGATTTGGAACATGGCTTGGTAAGCGTCCACATCGGCCGTTGTCTCTTTCGGCCCTCGGCCTTCTCCTCTGGCCGCTTCCTGTCAAGCCCCCCCGCCCTCTCACGCCCTCACGAATCCAGGTGTTGTTCGGGTTGCGGCCCGGGGAGAGGCTGGTCGCCTCCGCCGCCTGCTGGCTGGGGGCGCCGCCGCTGGTGGTGACACCAGCAGCAGCGGGGGCGGCGGCGGCGGCAGCAGCGGCAGCGGGAGGAGCCTCCTCAGGCATATCATCAACACCATCAACAGCTGCAGCTGCTGCTGCGGCGGCGGGCCTGACCGCGGGCGATGTGTATGGCTTGTTGTCGTACGGCAGTCGCAGCGAGGGGTGCTTGTACTGCACGGCACGGGTGCTGGCGTTCAGCACGCTGCTGGCGGGCGACGCGCGCGGGGCCACTGACGTCACCTTCAAGATATGGCTCAAGGTGCGCGGGGGGTGCAGAATGGATTGCCAGGGTGGGGGAAGGTGCAGGAGGGTGGAGAAGGTGCAGGGAAGGGACACGCACTGCCTAGATGTGTGTGTATTATAGCGGACGGGTCTAGAAACCAGCGTAAACCCACAAAAAGCTCCTCTCCTCACCCCCTTCCTGTCGCCTCTCACACCGCGCATACCCGACTGCCCCCCCCCACCTCAGGACGTGCGGGAGGTGTCCCGGGGTGACTCTCCCGACCGGCTGCTGGTCGCCACAGCGGCGGGCGAGCTGTTCCAGTTCCAGGGATTTGCGTTCGGGGAGCGAGACCGCATCTGCGCACTGCTCAACGGTGACCCAGGGGTCGTTTCCACGCCGCCGCACGTCCTGGCAGCAAGCAGCAACGGCGGCGCAGTCAGCGGCGGCGGCGGCGGCAGCAAGCAGAGCTCACCGCGTGTCTCCGCGGCGGGAAGTGGAGGACCGGCGGGTAGGACCGCTGCTGCTGCTGCAAGTGGCGGTGGTGGTGGCAGCGGCGGCGGCTCTGCCACCCCTCCGGGTGTCCCCCCGGGCCTCCCCAGACCCCCAGGACGCACTGGGAGCTTTGGACCCAATAGCTCTGCGGCGGCAGCGACGGCGGCGGCGATTAGGGAGGCGTTTGGGTCGTCGGCGGCGGTTGCGGGCACCCCTCCGTCGCTGCTTTCCGCCGCAGCTGACAAGGCTGCTGCCACCGTGTCCTCCTCGACACCTGCCGGCCGCAAGGCGGGCCGTAACGTTGCCGCGGCGCTTGCAGCCGCGGAGGCGTCTGTCGTCTCGGCGGCGGCAACGGCGGCGGCTGCTGCTGGCCGTGGCGGCACCGGCATCGCAGCTGCGAATGAGGTTGCGGCCACGATCCACCGAGCGGTTGCGACTGCCGCTGCCGCCACCGCCGCCACAGCCGCCGCTAGCAACCCCCGAGCAGCTGAAAGCGGTGCATTGCCGCTTCTGTCCACCCCTTGCTTCCTGGTCAGCGTGCTCCGCAACAAGGAGGGCATGCTGCACTTGTACGGCACCCGCTTGGACTTTGCCTGCCCGAGTGACCCAGGGGTCGGCCGGTCTATTCCGTTGACGTCCATTAACAACGTGAGCCAGCGTCCTGCGGGCTGGGGTGAGGGAAGCGGCAGTGTGCTAGCGCTGACGGTTGAAGGCGACCGGGCGCCTGTGGTGTTTGGAGGAATCGGGGATGCGCTGCTAGCATCGCTGAAGGCAAACATATCTGAATTATGCTTTGCGTGCGGTTGAGGGAACGCAAGATGGAGTTCAGGGTGTGGGCGGGAACGGAGGATGCAGGGCGACGGGCGGCCCCTGGATCCTACTGAGCTAGGGACTGCGTCGCAGCAAGAATGGGAAAGCTTGCGGTACTATTGCAGGAAGAGAAGCATGGCGTGGGGCACGGCTGGGGGGGGAGCACCGAAGCGCAGAGCTGGGTATGCATGCTTCCTGCATTGGTTCAACCCAACGACGGCCCGCTTACCTCGACGGATTTCTCCGCTCACCACGGTTTTGCAGTAGGACGTTTGTGGGCTGTGTGCGACGAGTAGTGAGCGAGCCAGGGTACCGGCAGCTGGCTGTTGCCGGCGTGCAAGAAGAACAAGTACACGGCGGTGTTGACACTTGACCTGGCAATGCCATGCAGTCTCACGGTTTGATCACTGGGGCTTCACTCGTCGTCCTACAATGCTCGTATGCAGCACATTTGTACATTTCATAGCATGTTAGCCATGATCTGGGAATGCAGCTTGGCCACGATTGCATAGCTATGAATTCAATGTGCATGTGTCCTGGTAAATACCTGGCTGTACGGCATGCCAATGCGGCCTGGATCTGTCCGCACCGGACCGCCATGCGAGCACCCCTCCCCATGTGGTGTGCATTAAGAACCGGGATGTCTGTGTCCGGCACTCAATACGCAGCCGCACATCCGTACGCGCAAGGACGACGGGGCCTTGCACTACATGTCCCCGGCTAGGTGCTGGTATCGTTTAGGAGCAGTGAACATATACGGGACCATGCTAGCACCTGGGAAAGAATGAGGACACTGACAACACAGGTAGGGTTGCTCCGCCCGGCGAATAGTCCCCGAAGGATTACACATGTACATACCCATACAAACGATCAGGTGAGTTAAGGAATGGGGCGGTTGCACCATATGACAAATACGGCCACCGACAACCAGACTTTGAAACCACATGGTACATGTTGTCGAGTCACCGAAATCTATCCTCAGTCGACTCACAGCGCGGTACATCTACCGTACAATATTGCATAGACGCTTACAACAACAACCATGATGCGCCTCACACGGCGCCTAGTGCGGTACTCCATAGCTCACGTGACTGATGTGTCAGCGTGTTGGCATGCCATGGGATGTTTCGCAGTAGTGCTGGAACCAACAGCACACAGGACAGCAGCCTACCACAATCAGCTCAGCCGACCCTGCCGTACACAGCAGTCGCAAACAGTTGCAGTCTCAGCAGCGCTTTGCAGCACCGCCTACGTCCTAGAAAACCTTAAGGTGTCCTCAACCACACATTGACCCGCCGGCGACCAACACCCCCTAGCCAACTCAACCAACAAACATTACGTAGCTTTGTCTGATCATCGCGCACCAAGAAATTTAGGGATTATTATTTTTTAACGCGCAGGGGTCTGAGCAATTATTTTCCACTTCGCGCAGCCTAGGGAATATTATCCGAAGTACCTTCCGATTACGTGACGAACAACCAAAAGCATAGCGGTGGAAGCAAACGCTAAAAGCCACGGGTGAACTTGGACGAGGGGAAACCCGGGGGAATTTGAAAAAGTGCGAAACCCGATGTTTTGGGGGTGGCACAGGAGGCCACGTAATTATTTTCCTTAACGCGCAGGCCCCGAACCAAATATTTTATTTTGCGCGTTAATGCACATGTTGCTAAATAATTATTTATTTCTGCGCGATGATCACGGGGAGGGACGGTATTCCAGGTCTCTTCATCCAAGCCAGCAGCCATGCATGCATGTTAACCCACGAAACCCCATGCAGGGCCGAAATTCCTTCCATGCCCTTCAAGCGGAAACCCCGCGTCTTGCCTTCTAAAGCCGGTGAGACAATCCAATCCATCACACGTCACCTTTTCCCAACAGCCGCACTCCAAGCCGCACACACTAACGCAAGTTCTTAGATATACATTCGAATCCCTTACACGCATGTGCTACTTTGATGCAGCAGTCAACACAACACATGCAGGTATGGGAAAGGCGATAAACAAGGTGGGACGCGAAGAGTCATGTGCCCCTGCTGCTGCCGGTTCCGCTGCCGACCTTAACACTCGGCCCCTAGCCCCCCAGCAGCCCCCTAGCCAACCTACCCCCTAGTTCCGCGTCCCCAGCCATCCATCCCTGCCACACACATGCCGTACATACATTGCAGTACAGTCAACAGGAGTGCAGTCAAATGGGAGACAAGAGCACAGCGGGCAATCCAGTCCGGCCGGAGGCAAAAATGCGACCGAGAACCGGATTGCGAGACCAACATACGTAGAGCGGACGGAAATGGACTGAAGGCCATTTACTACAGTACCGGTACTAGCTCACATCCTAAACGCTTCAGCAATGGTGTCGTACTATCCATGGCATCCAGTAAGAAACGCCCCTTCATTGGCACCTTTCAACCCTACCTATCCCCTACGCAAAGCAGGTCAACAGCTTCAGCATCAGGCTAAGGAGGGGAAGGGGGAGGCGGGGGGGGAATTGTTGGAAGTGTGGAGGAAGGCAATATGTTTGGTAGGAAAGCACTACTGGTACTGATATATAGTGGCCAGCAGTATATAGCCCAGTATATAGTGGCTCAGCCGCCGCTAAGACAAGGAAAGGAGCTACCAAAACCATCGCTCCGGTGACAATAGACAGGCAAATCCTACTATATGGGGATAACCAAGCAACCCCACGCATCGCACAGCCGCTCACACCAGGCGCGGGGCAACACTACTGCCAGTGTCAAAACACGCATCATCCAGGCAAGCAACAGCTGCAACACACACCGCACATCACACGATCCCAACGCCGCTATGCGTTGCAATGCGCCATGTTATGCGAGGAGGTCCCCGAACCGCGAGCCTCACACTCACAGGCGCCACACACACACTCTGCCAAGCAACGGCTGCTCAAGTGCACCAACCCACTCTAACCCAAAACCCAAGCCACCAGACCGGCCGTACGTGTTATGCGCGTACAAGCCCCAACAAACAGCCGAGCACCATACCACCGCCCTTTGCTTGATTGCCGCCGCCGCAGCGACGAGGCCACTTCCAGCTGACGAATAGGCGGCACGCCTACGTGCCACACTGCTAACTCAAAGCCCCAAACCACCGTATCACATACACTTGTGTACATTCCACACACTTGTACCTACCACCCAGCCTAGCAACGCTCGCCACAACAAAGGCACTTCGTCATACCGGTACGCATGCACTGATGTAGAAAAAAGATCAACATGCCCTCCCATCCATACTTCCAACCGCGGGGCGCACTCCAAGCGCTTCGTGCGCCTTACCGTGATTACCATTTGCAACGTTTGCGAAGATGGGGGGAACCATCAAATACGCATAAGCCTCCAGATAGAGCACCTGTCCGCCGGCCACTAGCCGGCCGGGCCCTCAACCCGCCAACCGCCCTAATACACGGGTTCACGCACAGTGTCTACCCCTCGTGCGGGAACCCCTCTTCGCAATGCTATCTTAGCCAGAAAGAAGAAGAGATGACACACGCACGCAGGGCCCTCAACCTGACGACACGCACCCACGCACATTTTCTTGCGGCGCGGTCGTTGCAATTTATTGCAATTTATTGCCATTAAAAGAATACCCCTCACGCCCCCCTGGACACATCCTGACAGCCTCATCAGCTCCATGCACGGAGCGCTGTACCCGCCAACCCCTTCATACCACCCTTTTTTGGTTGGGAATCCCACACTGTGGATCCCCGAGAAAGCCCAATGCAGCGGAGGCAACGCCCGCTACTCAAATCACATCCCAAGCAAAGGGCGCTTCCGCTCCTCCAGCGCGCTTCGCAACTACACACACGCACACGTACCGGTACCTCACCATCCATAACCCTCGCACCGCTCAGGACCCCCCAGGGCTCTCCAAACTTTAGAATACAGCGGTAGCTACCAACGCCCTCCATCCAACTCTCTTGGGGGCCCTCTGGAGGCAATTGTACATCATGTCTCGCACCTCTCCCGCTCTCAACCCTCTCCCAGTTTGGATTTAAGCAAAAGGGTAGACAACCGAATGACGGTAAGACGAAGAGAGTTTGACTGCGGCGTATGCCTGCACGTGCCAGCTAACCTGCTAGCACGTGCATCTTCGAAAGTCACTGAAGCAATGCACATGCTCGCTCGCTCGCTCGCTTCGGGGGTGCTCGCTTGCGCTGCGGAGGGGCCGTATGCCCCTCCCCTCGCACGTCCTTCTTCAGCGCTCGCCCGCTCTTCATCATTGCGCTCTTCATCACTTCAGCTGCGACGGCAGCACATACACTCTTCGATTTCCCGTAGGCACCAGAAACTATTAACCCTTTGCGTCCATCCCTCCGTCCTGTAACCCTCCATGTAACGCTCGTGATGATCCAACAGTACTGGCCCCCCCAGCAGTACTCTGAACCCATCTTGCTCCCTCACATTTCACCTGCCGCAAGCAAGCAGGAGCCCCGTTGGGCCCTTCGAAACAAGTGCCCAGTGTACCCAGTGTGCCCGCATGCTTCTCTCCGCGTGGTTTTGCAAGCGACATAAACACAGATCTCTTAAACAAGAACAAAGAATACGACAGGCAAACCATCCATGTGAAGTAAAAACACCAAACCCTTTCGATTCCTTGCTGTCTCTCTGCAAGCTTAGTGCATAATGGTGCAGTGGATCCCTATCTCTTGAGGGTTTCCTTCCCAAACTCTCCCTTTGAGACCCCTGATGAGCTAAGTAGGTACCACTACCCGGCGAACAAAATATGTTCTCACGTTGACTAAGCCTGGAAACCAAGCAGCAGGCAAACATGAAGTGGACCGTGCGGGTGGCAGCCCCTGCCTCCCTCAACACACGGACTCGCTCGTCTGTGCAAGGGACCAACGGCCAGCGGTGATGCTGTCTGCCCACGCATAGCTCCCGACGCCCTGCTGTTGTTGGGAGTCACGGCGCCCCTGGTGAAGCCCTCACCAGTGACCCACGGGTCTGCGACGTCGTGAGACGGGCCTCACGGCTGGCCCGGATGCTGTGGGGCGGGCGCCGGCTGCCGCTGCGAAGTGGCAGCAGGATGCTACGGCTGAATGGGCCGCTGCTGCTGCTGCCGCCGCCGTTTGAGAGCTGCTGCCTGCGCCTTGACTTCCGCTTGGGCTCGTGTGAGGAGCACCTAGGAGGGCGGCCATGGGCCGGTGGGGTGCTTAAGAGGAAGGCGCCGGTTCATTGCGCGGCGGGGAGCATGCGGCGTGGGGTGTTTGCGGCACGGAGGGCCAATGGGAGGCCAGATATTCATGAGAGGTAGGTGGCAGGAGTTTGGAGCAGCTGAGGCTTTCCAGGACGTGACCGAGGGTCTCCCGCCTCCGCTCCCAGCTCCTCCGCTCGCCCCCCCCCCCACCCTCCTCCCCCACCTGCAGCCGCTCCACCAGCTCGGCGGTGGCGGGTCGTGCGCCCGGCAGCCGCGACCAGCACTGGCTAGCCAGCGCGCTGGGGACCGGGCGGGGGGAAGAAAAAGGCGATGGGAGGGGAGGAAGGGGAGGGTTAGTGCAACGGGTTGTGGTGAGTGTGGTGAGCGGAGAGATGTCGAAGAGGGACACAGCAACTGCCACCCGCACCAGCCAACACGGTGCCACCCGCACGCCACCCAGCGGCCATGCACCCAGCTGCGCACGCAAGAGACAGACACTCACACGTACTCCGCCGGCGCGCCTGCATCGAAGCCGGGTCGCAGCTGCTGCCGTACCACCAGGGAGGGCAGTACGGCAGGGTCCTGGCGGGCGTACGGCTGAGTGCCGTACAGCAGCTCCCACCTGGGGGTGTGTACGATGGGTGGTACGGCGTCGGTCCGGCACCCAATGCAAGGGCTCGAGACGGGACATCAGGCATAAATAACTCAAGAGACCGCATACATGGTTCAGGATGCAGCCGCATCAATGTCTAGCTTCCCCCCCACACCCCACGTGTCTCCATTAGCCCCCTGGCGCACTACCCAACACCACAAAACACACATCCACAGGCAAGCGCGCCCTCCCTCCCGCCCCACCCACATCATGATGCCGAACGCATACACGTCCGAGTGCGGCCCCTGCAGCCCCTCCTGGCTCAGCAGCTCGGGTGCCATGTACGGGAGCGTGCCGGAGGGGTACGGCTGGCGGCTGCCGCCCGCCGCGGCCTCCGCCTCACTCAGCAGCCGGGCGCAGCCGAAGTCGCTCAGCTGGGGGGGGAGGAGAGGGAGGGAGGGATGGAGGGAGGAGAGAGGGGTGAGAGAGGGAGGGTGGCAAGCTGGCAACAGCAAGGGGGAATAGCAAGGTAAGCAGCTTGCCATGGGGCGCAAGGGCGGCGGGACGACCGACGCAAATGGTTCCTCAAGCTAAAACACGCAGACGTAAGGGCATGCTGGAGCGTCCTCATCCCTCAGCCCTACCTCCCCTCCACACCTCCTGTTGCCCCCTGCCCGCCCCTACCTTGCACGTCCAGCCCCTGGGGTCCCGACTGCTGCTCTGGAGCAGCACGTTGGCGGGCTTCAGGTCTGCGGGGGTGGGGTGGGGTCGGGGGGGAGGTGGGGGGTCGCGATGTGAGTGCATTGCCCAAGCAGCGGTATCACAACAAGCCATGGCTGCTTCAGGACGAAACGGGGTGAGCACCGGGTAGGGCTGCAGGCTGCATGGTTAGGTGAGTACCAGCTGCCGATGCCAACTGGTGTAGGAGTACAGGCGTCGCAGGGCCGCACCTCCCGCACCCCCCCTTTCCTCCCTCACCTCCGTGCACCAGCCTGCGCGAATGCAGGTGCCGCAGCGCCAGCGCCACCTCCAGCAGGCTCAGGTACAGGTGCACCAGCGGGGAGGAGCCGGGGGCGGGGGCGGAGGTGGAGCCGGAGGGGGCGGAGGAGGAAGGTGCGGTGCTGGTAGCAGCAGCAGTAACAGCAGCGGGGATGGGTGTGGGCCAGCCGCTGCCGTCCGCATGACGGGTGCTAGTAGCGCCGGCCCCCGCGGCTGTGGCGGGGGGTCTCAGGCGGAAGGCGCCCTCCTTGGCCGCTGACAGCAGCGTGCCGGCGTCGCAGTACTGGGGGGCCGGGGTAGGGCAGGTGGCAGAAGGATATGAGCGTGCGGAGGGGTTGTCAGGTTTTTGAGGATGGGGAGCCAGAGGTGCAGCAGAGGCACACAGCTGGCCGGGGACCTGCATGATAACAGGGCCTTGCACAGCACCTCCGCCTTGCTGCACCGCAGCACCACCCCTGCGCCCCCATGCGCTTCTCTCGACACCACCCCTGCGCCCCCATGCGCTTCTCTCGACACCACCCCTGCGCCCCCATGCGCTTCTCTCGACACCACCCCTGCGCCCCCATGCAGTCCTCACCTCCAGGCACAGGGCGCTGTACAGCGGAACTGCGGACAGGAAGCGGTTGGTCCGGGGGGAGCGAGCTGGCGTTAGGACGTCTCTCGGGTCGACAGGATTGACCAGTGCAGCGAATATGTAGCAACCCTACCCTTTCTCGTTTCCCTCACCTCTACTCCTGTTTCTCCTTTACCGCCCCGGCCGCCCACCTTGCCCTCCCAGCCTTTCCCGCTCCCCGCGCTCACCACTATGGCTAGCTCCCCGCATCACCGGATCGTCCGCGTGCACCAGTCGCAGGTGCTGGGCGGGCGAGGGTGATGCGGTGGACGCGGGCGGGGGGTGGGCGCCTGAGGGGTGGGCGCCGTGAGGGGCACCGCGCCTGCAGGCAACAACAGCCAGCAGCGGTTGTAGCAACTCCAGGCCTCGACAGCGATTGCGTAAGGCACGTAGGCAGGAAGCAAGTACGCGGCTGCTGCAGCAGCATCACAGTTGGGGTTTGCATGGGCACCGATATGTCGAGGAGACAGGCAGTGGAAAGCGATACATGGGCGCCTTTATGTGTCTCCCAACCTGGTTTGAAATTGTTATCCCACCGCCCCCCGAGGCACCGCTCACCCCTCCGCCGCGCGTACGATAGCCACGTCCGTGAACACCGCATAAGCCTGTAGGAGGGGATGGGAAGAAGAAATAGGGAAGGGGGGCCGATGGACCCGAGGATGTGGTGAACTGGCGGCTTGACAGCCCTGCGACAGCTCCGGCAGCCCCGTAGAATCCCCCAAGTCCAGCCCCTAGCAACACCCCGCCGGGGTTGTGAATGCCGCTGGCCCCTTTACCAACGCCTTTACGCTGCATTGCCTGATCCCTCGGATTCAAGCCGTCCCTCCCCCTGCTCTCGTTAGCGTGAGCACTAAGTGCTAAAAAGCCTGCTTCAGAACTATAGCTGACTACTACCGGTAACCTCTGCCTCCCCCGCTCCTGCCTGCTGCCCACCTGAACGATGTTGGGGTGCGACAGCGCGTGAGTGACCGCAAGCTCCCAGGCGCAACGCAGCAGCCGCCGCTTGCCAGCCTGCGGGGGAGCGGGGGCGTGAAGGCCGGGGTTAGGATACGGGTGGCTGTACGGCCGACGACGCTAACGGCTCTCTTAGGGTTTTACACCGAGCCTTCTATCCCTCGTCCCCTGCACCAGCACGGGCTATCCCAGCCCCCGCATGCAATCACCTTGGGGACCGCCTCGCCGTCTGCTGCTCCTCCGCTGCCACAGCCGCCACGTCCGCCCGTCTCATCCCGCTCCCTTCCGAGCAACGCAACCCCGCCGACTGCAGCGCTGCCGCCCGTACCCGCCCCAGCAACAGGACCTGCAGCCGCAGCAGCACCACCAGCCGCCCCCAGCGTGCCTGCGGCGGCTGTGGGCGGTTGCACGATGCACTTGACGGCCGCCTGCAGCCCGCCCCAGCAGCCGCGCAGCACCACCCCCTGCCCGCCCCGACCCAGCGCCTCATGCAGCTGCAGCGCACGGAGGTCAGAGGAGCGGTGGGAGGGCGCATGGGGGGGAGCAGGAGAGGGTGCAGGAGGAGGGGAGCCAGGGTGGCGGTAGGTGGGAGGCAGCGGGGCCAGCTGCAAGGGCACTCCGCCACAGCAGCTGCTGCCGCCGAAGCCCCAGGCGCCTGTGCCGGCGGCCGCGGCGGCGGCATGTAGTGAGGCTGCCAGGGTGTCCACCAGCAGGGCGAGAGGGGACTGCGGGGTAACCGCCTGGGGGGGAGGTTGTAGGCGGGGTGGACGAGTGGGAAGGATTGGAGTTAAGAGGTGTAGGATGTTGGTGCCCGGCAGCAGCAGTAGCGGCAGCAAGAAACAACTCTATCCGGCAGCAAGGAGAAGCCCGAGGGCAGGATTTCAGGTGCAGCGGCAAAAAGGCACTGCCCTGTCTGACCCAAGCCCAGCCCAGCCCCACTCGAGCTGAGGCAGCTGCATGTGTCTCACCTCAAAAACCACTGTGGGGGTGCAACGGGGCACGGGCTGTGATTGGGCGCGAAGCTGCATGAAGGATGGCGGCGCGGGCAGCCCCTCGGCGCAGCTGAGCTGCCGGGCGCGTTGGTCTGCGGAAGGAGGAGAAGGAGGGGCACGGGGGCACGCGCGCGGTTGAATGCTTGGTAGGGGTAACGCGTTAACAATAGAGGCAAGATTCGGCAGTAAGGTGAGGAAAGAAGGGATCATCGTTAGCCAGTCATCCAGACCACCCCTCCACCCACACGCAGCTTACCGCTGACTGCGCCGCACTTCCCTGGTGCCGGCTGCACTGCCACTGCTATTGGCGCCACCGCTACTGCCGCCGTCGCTCCTCCTGTTTCTGCAGACCGCACCGACGTGTTGCCTGAAAACCCGTGGATCAGGAGCGGCGACTGCGGTGTCGCGGCCCTGCCTGCAGCTCCCTTGGCTCCTTTCCCTGCCGCTCCTCCTTCCTCTCCCAGCTGCCCCTCCTCGTGTACGCGGGCCACTCCAGTGCACAGCGGCGAAGCGAAGGAGGGCCCGCCACTCAGGCGATCCGAGCTGCTGACCAGGCTGCTGAGCTCCAAGTCATCCTCCTCCACATCGTCCTCCTCGATACTTCCGCTGCCGACATCGCCGATGTTGCCGCCGCTGCCGCCGTGCAGGCGTGCTGACGTGCCCGCATAAGCCGGGGACGGGTTGCTTGCGGGCGCCCTAAAGGGGGACTGCGGGTCCAGCGCATCCGGGCTGTTGCAAGGGGTTGGCTTGGTTTCGAATGTCGTCGACTGGCACTGGGGGGATGCCTCTGAGGGAGTGGCGGCGGCAGCTGTGGTTGACATCGTCGCTGTTGCGCCGGTAGCGAAGCGAGACAGCAGCCGCCGAAGTGGCGCAACATGGGGCTGCTGCTGCTGCTGCTGAGGGGCCTGCTGCTGCGGCTGTTGCGCCGCCCATGGCATGCCTGTAGCTGCGACGGCACCTGGGCTGATGCTTCCTGTGGAAGCCAGCAGGCGGGAGGCTTCGGTCCCATGGGTCGATCGTGGCTCCCGCACGGAGCGAGTGCGCTGCGGGCGGTTGCGGTTGGAGCCACCGATGCGCTGCTCGTCCCGCTGGTCGTGCGATGGAAAGGCGCAGTCGACGCGCGCCCTCGTCTGGCCGCATGGTGCGTCCTGGCCACCGGCACCGCTGGTCGCATCGGCGGAGCCAGAGGGGCTCATGGGAGCGCCGGAGGCGTTGACGTGACAGCTGCTGCTGCGGTTGCTGGGGCCGTCCAGTGAGGGTGCAGATGCAGAAGCGGTGCCCTGCGGAGCTTGAGGTGCGGGAGGTGGCGGGCAGAGCTGGCTCCACTCGTCCGCCATGCGGCCCTGCAGGGCGCGGTGGCAGAGCGGCAACACCAGCTGCGAGCAGGGGTGGGGGTGGAGGGGTGGCAAAGGTAAGGAAAGCAGGAACTGGTATTGGGGAGGGATCAGCGCCACAGCAAGGACGACGGCCACCAAGAGACACTCACGAGCACAGCAAGCTGAACGAGGATTGGTGCCCTGGTCTGTAACCAGTCACGATACGGAAAGCGGGCGGCAATGCTGAAATCAGCTGCGGAGAGCCCCAAACGCCCCAGCCCGCAGCGCTCACCTGCATCAGCGCCTCCAGCTCCGCCGCCACAACCTGTGCACGTGAACGTTGAAGGCGGAAGCAGCAACAACAGCAAAAGGGGCTCAGGTAAGTGTCCACGCATGCCAGTAGCAATCGCGCCTCCTGTACTTGAGCACCCTCCCACAGGAGACCGCAGGGCAAAGATCGAACCCAGACAGGAACATGACTAGCCGCACCCCCGACTCGTACACCCCACCTCGCGGCCAGTTTTCCGAAACACCCCACCTGCAACATGCCGGCTGGCAGCACCTCCATGCTCAGCGCATACACCGCCAGCTGCGTCGGCGGCGGAGCACCGGGAACAGCGGCAGCAGCAGCGGAAACCGCCGACAGCCTCCTCAGCGATGCAGCAGCTGCTGCCGCTGCTGCAACGGCACCACCTCCCATGTGTTCTCCCTCACACCTCCCCGGGCCGTCCCCAATGATGATCTCTCCGTCCACGTCTTCATTCGACAGCACCTGCATCTCGCCCAGTTGCGACAACCGAAGGGCCGACGGCTGCCGCGAGAACGCCGCTGACTTGCGTGCCTGCGGCAGCTGCAGCTGCGGCTGCGTGCGGGGCAGCTCAGCGCTCAGCACTAGCGAACCCACCCGCGGCAGCCCAGCCAGCCGCCCGCTCAGCAGCACATCAGCACACGGCGCCGCTGTGTCAAGAACCAGTGAAGCCACGTCTGAAACGGTGCGCGTGATGAGGTTGTTGTGGTCATTGGACGATAGCTCCCCGCACGGGTTGTGGCCACCGGTGACCTGCAGCAACTGCGCCTCCGGAGCCCCCGAGGTGGAAGAACGGCGGCTGCATAACCCAGCGGTCACAGGCTTCTGGGCGCAGCCGCTGACGAGGGAGCTGCTCCTGCTGCTCTGCCGTGCAATAGCCTCGCATGACAGCCCGCACTGCGGCTGCTGTTGCCGTAGTGCCTCCGCCAGCAGGGTCTCGCAGGGTGGGGCGCGAGCGGCGCGGATGTGAGGCAGGGCCGAAAGGGAAAGCTGCGCCTGATGATGGCTATGGTGATGCCCTGGTGCATTCCTGTGCCAGCTGCAGTCAGGCGATGACAGCTTGCCGTAGACCACCTTGGGTGGGTTGTGCTGCTGCTGCTGCTGCTGGCTTTGGGAACCCGTACGCAACAGCATGTCCAGACGCGCCGGAGCCGAGGAGCTCAGCAGGGCTAGGCCGCTGCCACAGTCGGCGCTGCCATCTCCGCCAACCGCTGCGCCCCCGCAGCACCCACCAAGGAACGGCGTGTTGCGCTGGGCAAACAGGGCTGCGGGTTGGGAGGTGCCGTGCACTGCCGCCATGATGGGGTAGATCTCCAGGGAGGTACGAGCACGCAGAAGATGCCGTACAGCGCTCAGCGCCGAAGCTAGCAGTTGCTGCACGGAGGCGGCTTGCGGCAGCAGGGAGAGCGCGTCAGCCACCTGTTAGGGTGCATAACAGCCGGGAAAAGGGTAAAGGTTTGGGTAGTGTTGAATGGCTTGCAGTAACCGAGTTAATCTGTATAGCACAGACGAGCATTGGAGCGGCTTCGAGCCAGTGGATTTGGGCCCCTGCCCCACACGCACCCATCCCCGGACATGACGAAGGCTCCGACTCTTGGGAACATAGACACCTCGTAATCTACCAACCAGGGCCTCTTCTGCCCTTGCCCCCTCACCTGCGTCAGGTATGCGCCATGTTCCGGCTGCCCAAACATGCCGTACATCACAAAGCGAGCCATGCGCTCAAGCCCCTGTACATCCGCATGGCTCAGTTTCTGTACTACAGCATCTACCGTACACACGGTACCGTGGGGTCCACCATGGACGCTGCCTTCGGAAACTCCGGCTGGCTGCCCCCCCGAGGGTCCAGCTGCCCAGCCCAGCAAAAGTGCTCCCGCCAGGCGGCCCCGCGTGCGGCAGGGCAGCACCAGCAAATCACCGCACCGCAGCGCTACCGCAGCAGCATCAGCAGGCGCGGTGGAACAGGCTGTGGAAGACTTCATGGATACGTGAGGTGAAGTGGTTCGCCGGGCCTTAGCAGTTTTCGTTGGGGTAGCATCCTGTCGCGGTATTGGCAGCAGCTCGCCGTCGTGTGTCAGGAGGAAAGGTACAGCGGTACAGTCCTGCGGGTGAACCAAAGTCAGGAGCGGAAGGGCATCATCGATGGGGCCTATCTGAGCTAAAGGTTTTGATTAGTTCCTTACGTTTGCGCTGTGTAAGGAACTCAGCAGCAAACCCCACTGTGGCCCTGCCATGTTCGACTCGACTTCGGTTGGCGCTCCGTCAGTGCGACTGATCAGCAAAGGAGCCTGACCTTGAGCAGAAAATACTGCCAAGCTGCATAACGAAAAAGGATATAGCAACATTGCAAAAACGTCGTGATTGCGACATAAGAGGGAAGGACCAAACCGAACAAGGAAGACGTACTGGCATTGGTCAGCAGCCAGACCATCTTGGATACACCGAAGGGTGGCCTGGATGTGTTGCTTCCAAGTGACAGGCTGAACTTCCAGTTTGAGAAGGTCGTCCATCAGCCGGCTGGCGTTCTTCACGAGGAAAGCCAAGGAAACCCATTAGAGGCCATATAAACCACATTCGTGAGCCAGGATGACCTTAGTTGAGCAGCCAAGTTTGCTGCATACCTCTGCAACGCCAGCTTGCCCGGGCGATTCATCTTCGAAGTTGTCAATAGGTCGCCGGCCGCCCGAACGAGACCGGTGAAAATGTATAGAGAAACAGTCTAATACACCCATGGGTTAAACCTCAGCTCTCTATGTACTAGCTACTGTCAGAGCGTGGAAATGTTCCTGCATAATGCAGTGCAGTGGTTCAACGCAAACAACGAGAGTATCCTATTCAGAAGGTATTTACGTCAGGAGGATATGAAGAAAAAGTTTAGTAGAAAGCTGGTCTGCGACTCGTAGTGTTTCCGAGGCTATAGTACGACTTCACCGTTTCACCTTCGACTGTAACTCACATCTCGCTATGTTGAGTAAATACAAAAGATAGCAACATAACATGATTTATGCTCATAAAGGGAACGGTGGCGCTTGCAAAGATGTCAACGTCGTCATTGGCGGTTGTCTGTTGCGAGTGCGCCTCCAACTATGTATCGACAGGCCACAAGTGCTTGCTTCGGTAGGTTTACTTAAGTAGCTTTAGATTATGATTTCGATCTCGAAAGGCCTGGACGTCGCCAACCGTGGTTGTCAGTTTACATAGCCGATAAGCGCCTGCCTCTAGCTACAGTTGACAGGCCAGAGCACGCGGCAACATGGCAATATATTTAATTAAACAATTTGAAAGGAACTGTGTATGTTGTTCATAGCGTTGTTGACTCGTTGCAGAGCTATTGTGGACACAATTCCCATTTGATACACTTTTCCATGGTACGCCTGCAAGTTGCATGTAGGCACGTAAATAGTATATAAGCATAATCCCTATAATATCTATTTTTTCTTTGCTACAAATAGCGTATTGCCCGTTGTCGCGTCGTTTCCCATCAGGTTGCCCAGCGAGGCTTGTTTCTTTTTTCCCTGGGAACAAGGCAGCCAACACTGTACTCTCATACTCCGCTTCAAGTAAGATCTGTTAAGGCAACCCAAACGTTCTGTCCTAGTTCAATTCAGAACCAAAGTAACAGGCTAACCATAGCGGCATCGCCATTGAGCCGAGACCCTCTAATTTGTGCCAAAATTTTCATCTGACTTGCTGTACTATAAAGATTGCTGCGTTTAGCGAACCGTCACTCGCAACTGTATAGATAGGAAAATTTGACCGGTTTCCCACGTGGACCGCTGGGCCCCATGCCTTCAGAAACTGCTGGTAAAACTACGTAAACCGCCCGTCTGCAGCAGCTTGCAAGGCATCGCGGCCTAGCAGTGCGCTACGCGTTCTTCAATTGGTACCTTTTGTGGTGGTGACGGACCTGTCAAGTGGCGATGTTTGGGTCATCAAAGTACTGGTACAGCGCACGCACGCAAGGTAGCTGACTAAAAACACATGGCAAAAGGGAGTCCTCATAGGCCCTTACATTAATTGATGTACAATATGCGGCATGTTCGTGCTCGCCATGCTGTGGCGGCGCTGCGCTGTGTGGCAGGTGCCTGTGGCCTTACACCCTATCGCCCGCCCTGGGGTGCTGTCGCCTGCGCCCTGCTCCGCCGCTGTCACCCGGCCGCAAAGAGCAGAGAAGGAGTCACTGGGCTGGGGGTGTATGAGATGAAGGAAGAGATGTAGATGCCGAAGCTGGTAACAGGGAGGATAGCTGGTTGGGGCTTGAGGCATAAGTGGTATGAAAGGGGGGTCAGAAACCATACCAAAGGAATCCACAAGTTAAGAGCAAAGTAAGGCTACAGAGGCGGGGCGCTGGGTGGCGGCGGCAGAGGCGGGTGCCAGGTGGAGGCCGTGGGGAATACCGGGATGATACCTGCAGAACCAGGCAATTGCAAAAATGGTTGCTGCGCATCTGGTGACTGCGGTCGGACCTTAACCCCTCATGCGGGGCGATGCCAGGCCGATTGAGGCACGCACTGCGCAGAACGGTGCCTGAGAGCTGGAGTTTCCTTCAGTGCCCCGAGTGCCCGGAGTGTCCGTCCGTCAGGAAGTGGCCGCATTCGGTGGTAAAAGCTGGGGTGGGTACATAGCCTGCGTCGTACCTCGGGAAGCAGTACGGCAAGGCAGTAGCTCACACTATCCTTACACGCACTGATCAGGGCTTTTTAGCCAATATGCTACGACGGATAAGATTGCAATTACGGAGTACAACATTTTCTGTCACAGCAAAACGAAGTAAGGCTCAATCCTTGTCACAGCAGAACGACGTAAGGCTCTTGGGAAGTCACTAACAAGCATGTGCGTGTACTATTTGTCTGGGTGGTCGACAACCGATATACGAAAGCGGTTGAGATGCAACTTGGTACCTGTCTCAACAACGCCTAACACCAAATAACACCGAACACACAGTCCATCACCCGCATACCCTCGAAGGTACGATATGCACACAAGCAGCTCAGCCAACAGACGAGCTGCGGTCTTCAGCATTTGCCCACGCTCACAAATGTTTTCGTGCTTACACGCGCCGTATTAAAATACAAGGGCGACCCGATGCCTCTGCACCACCAACACCACCCAGCGCAATCACAGCTACAGCCTTCTTTAGGTCGCATGTATCACCCCTGCCTGCACTGGCAAGCATGCAGTACCCTTGCCTGCCTCAGGAGAACAGCACCCAGCCACAAAGTTGTATGTGTGTTCACAGTTGAATTGTTTCCTGACAAAAGGAGGTATTAGATGGGAACCAGCAGGATTCTTCGAGTCCAAGGCAAGGCTGGCTGAGGCTGCTACTAGGTTAGCTGTCTGCTAGAGAAGGGGGTTCCACTTATCGGTTATCCAGAGGTCTTGGGGGCCTTGGGGGCTTTGGGAGACTTGGGGGCTTTGGGAGACTTGGGGGCTTTGGGGGGCGGTCGAGGAGACTGCTGGTTAGGAGGAGGAGGTGACTTTTTGTTACCCTTCTTCGGAGGTGGCGGTATGGCAGGCTTGAGTGGGGGCTCAGGTGACGGAGGTGGGGGGCTGGGAGGTGGGAGCGAAGGGCTAGGCGGCGATGGAGAGGGGCTAGGAGGTGGTGGCGAGGGGCTTGGAGGCGGTGGGGGAGGGCTGGGGGGTTGCTGTGGAGGAGGTTGGGGACTCATAGGGAGGCGCGGATGCGCTGGAGGCGACGGGGGAAGCTTGGGCGCCTTGGGGGTCTTAGGGGCCTTCGCAGCCTTTGGTGGCGGCCTTGGGGGCTTGGGAGGCGACCGTGGAGGCTTGGGGCTGCGCGGCGGTGGCATTGAGGGTGGCTCGGGGATTGAAGGCGGCGCATCGGGCGGGTTTCCTGGCGTTCCGGGCTCCAGGGGCGAGGCGGGCGACTCAGAGGGAGGAGGGCTCGGATGAGGTGGAGGTGGAGGGCTGGGTGGTGAGGGTAGTTGGGGGCTGGGTGGAGGTGAGGGGGGTGGGCTTGGTGGGGACGGAGAAGGACGGAGGGACGGGTGAGGGTGGAGGCTGAGGCGGCGGTGAGGGTGGGGGTAAAGGAAGAGGTGAAGGTGGTGGCGGAGGGGAAGGCGAGGGTGGTGGCGGAGGGGAGGGCGAGGGTGGTGACGGAGGGGAAGGCGAAGGTGGTGGCGGAGGGGAAGGCGAGGGTGGTGGCGGAGGGGAAGGCGAGGGTGGTGGCGGAGGGGAAGGCGAGGGTGGTGGTGGAGGGGAAGGCGAAGGTGGTGGCGGAGGGGAAGGCGAGGGTGGTAGCGGAGGGGAAGGCGAGGGTGGTGGAGGGGAAGGTGAAGGTGGTGGCGGAGGGGAAGGCGAAGGTGGTGGAGGGGAAGGCGAAGGTGGTGGCGAAGGGGAAGATGAGGGTGGTGGAGGGGAAGGCGAAGGTGGTGGTGGAGGGGAGGGCGAGGGTGGTGGCGGAGGGGAAGGCGAGGGTGGTGGCGGAGGGGAAGGCGAGGGTGGTTGTGGAGGGGAAGGCGAAGGTGGTGGCGGAGGGGAAGGCGAGGGTGGTGGCGGAGGGGAAGGCGAGGGTGGTGGTGGAGGGGAAGGCGAAGGTGGTGGCGGAGTAGAAGGCGAGGGTGGTGGCGGAGGGGAAGGCGAGGGTGGTGGAGGGGAAGGTGAAGGTGGTGGCGGAGGGGAAGGCGAGGGTGGTGGCGGAGGGGAAGGCGAAGGTGGTGGCGAAGGGGAAGATGAGGGTGGTGGAGGGGAGGGCGAGGGTGGTGGCGGAGGGGAAGGCGAGGGTGGTGGCGGAGGGGAAGGCGAGGGTGGTGGCGGAGGGGAAGGCGAGGGTGGTGGAGGGGAAGGCGAGGGTGGTGGCGGAGGGGAAGGCGAGGGTGGTGGCGGAGGGGAAGGCGAGGGTGGTGGAGGGGAAGGCGAGGGTGGTGGAGGGGAAGGCGAAGGTGGTGGTGGAGGGGAGGGCGAGGGTGGTGGCGGAGGGGAAGGCGAGGGTGGTGGCGGAGGGGAAGGCGAGGGTGGTGGCGGAGGGGAAGGCGAGGGTGGTGGCGGAGGGGAAGGCGAGGGTGGTGGCGGAGGGGAAGGCGAGGGTGGTGGCGGAGGGGAAGGCGAGGGTGGTGGCGGAGGGGAAGGCGAGGGTGGTGGAGGGGAAGGCGAAGGTGGTGGCGGAGGGGAAGGCGAAGGTGGTGGAGGGGAAGGCGAAGGTGGTGGCGGAGGGGAAGGCGAGGGTGGTGGCGGAGGGGAAGGCGAAGGTGGTGGTGGAGGGGAAGGCGAAGGAGGTGCGTGGTGGAGGGGAAGGTGAAGGTGGTGGTGGAGGGGAAGGCGAAGGAGGTGGAGGGGAAGGCGAGGGTGGTGGCGGAGGGGACGGCGAGGGTGGTGGAGGCTGAGGCGAGGGTGGTGGCGGAGGGGAAGGCGAGGGCGGCAGCGGATAGGGCGGATTAGGTGGGAGAGGGTTTGCAGAGGGTGTTGGCGCTGGTTCGGGAGGACGAAGCGGAGGGCTTGCGGAAGGGACTTGAGGGCTGGGAGGGGGCGTTTGAGATTCAGACGGCAGTTGACTTGCCAGCTCAAACGCCAACGTGAGCACCGTCTCCCCTGTCAAGCTGTACCCATCGTACAAGATGTGGACGTAATCCTGAGCTGCCGCATCAGAGCCGTACACGCGATATGAAGCCCATGCATTGTACGGCAGGTTCAGCTTCGCACCGCCACTTTGACCAACAGCAGCAGCAACAGCGACACCTACAGCCGCAGGTGCAACTGTGGCGGACCGCAGCACCCAGCTGCTGCTGGGCTGCAGGGCCGGGGGGCTGCTGATCCGCAGGTACTGCCACCCGCTGCCAGTGCTGCCGCCAGCCGACACAGGCGGCGCTGTCAGCTGCGTTCCGTCCACCCTGATGGTGAGGGTGAGGGCGCCGCTGGGGCCGCTGGTGGAGATGTTGGTGAGGGCGGCGGAGGGCACCACGGAGACCGGCAGGATAGCGCCGTCGCGGCTGCTGTGGATGGCGGCGGGGGTGGTGAAGCCCGAGTGGGCGGACACCAGCATGTCGGGCAGGCCGTCGTCAGCGACGCCTGTGGGAAGAGGGGCGCGCGTGCGAGAGGGGACGGATGTTGGCCGTGATGCTGTTGTACGCATCCAGCAGGTTTCATACTGAAAGCCACGGCAAGGAGTGAGTGGTAAGAGAAATCGAAGGTGGCCGTAACAGAAGTTGTGTTTGTTGTGGATCAAGCATGTATCAAACCGCACTCCTTAACTGTGGATGCAAAACTCTGTCCTGTGCACCCCATTCCTAAGCAAGCCCAACCCCTGTATGTCACCTCTAACACCCACACCCACACGCCTCCCTCCCCCATCAAACCCACCGCCCAGGTGCACGAGGTGCAGCAGGTCGTACAGCGTGACGTTGGTAACGGTGCTGAGGGTGGGGTCGTTGAGCGGGTTGCGGCTGCTGAAGGTGGCGTTGATGCCGGAGAAGGTACCCTGTAGCAGCAGCAAGAAAGTGGTGGCCGAGGAGGGAGGAAGACGAGGGGAGGTGTGTTGAGGATACGGCATGTAGGCCACCCCAACCAGACGCAACGGCCAGCAGTGCAATTGCAAGGACAGAGCTTGGGACGTTCGCTCGGCTTGTTGTGAAGCCAGGTGAAGGCTTGTTCACAGAGGCATATAGCGAAGACTTGGATGCCCACGAAGGCACATTCTCCTGCTGTCTGGCCATCAAGACCTTTCAATAAGACTTGTGGGCCCACCGCTCGCCTTTACGTTAAATGCCATTGTCCAATTTGCTTTCCTGTTCGGGCGGGTTTTGCCGCTATACCCCTCCCGCCTCTCACCTGCAGCGATGCGGTGATCCACCACTGCACCATGGACGTGCTGCCCGGCTGCATGTCGCCCACTGACGCCTGGAGAGCACTGCATGGCGGCACGCAGGGAGGGGAACGGGAGAGTCATGCAGAGGCACGTCGGTTCGAATGCCTTCAGGGTAGTTACTTACAACAGGCGGAACTGAGTCATGTTATACGAGACCCTTTTCTCCCAATATCTCCCGCACTTACGCTGGCGCCGGCAGGCCGTTAACGGTGACGTTGACGATGTTGAAGCTGATCATGAGGCCCTTGTCGTTCTCCACAATCTTGGGCTGCAGCGACTGCATGGCCAACCCCCGCGCCACCCCGCTGCCCACATTGTGCAGCAGGGTGACCAGTGCGGCGGGCACACTGGGCTCCACGGCGGGGGTGAAGGGGTTGTCGCCCTGCAGGAGGGAAGACGTGGGAGGGGGATGAGTAAAGGAGGTTAATGTACAAGCGCCTTGGGCTGAGAGTTCCTTGGGCTGAGACCCTTGGGCGGGGGTGCGGTTGCCAGATGTTTGTGACGCGGCACAAAACATCCATGGTCGGTGCTTGGACTGCACCTGCGCCGTTCCCTGCATCCCCCCGCAACCCAGCTCCCGCCTGTCCACCCTTTCCGAAATGCCGCCCCGCCGCACCGCAATCCGCCTGTCCCCCACCCCAACGAACCACCATGCCGACTCACCTGCACGTCCTTCTCGATGTAGTAGCGCACCTCCAGCCGGCCCTCGGGCGACACACGCACGTCAGCCGGCTCCAGCGGCAGCACCTCGGCGGGCAGACCGGGACCGGGGATGTAACTGCGAGCGGATTCAGAAGAATGTACTGTTGATATACGGTGCCCATGGGGACTAAACACAGCGGCGGATTGAGCGCAGCACGTAAAGCAATGCATGTAGTCCTGACCCCGCGCACCCCACCCCCACTCACGTGACCTGGCCTCCAACGTAGTACCATGTGTCCGCCTGCAGCGCTGCAGCCTCTCGCGGCACCAGCAGCCACCGCATGCTGCTCACACCGCCAGCGGGGAGCACCAGGCCGCTCTCGTCGGTGGTCATGCCCTGAGAGGAGGAGGGGTTTTAAGGAAATGAGGGAAGGAGCGTTTCAGGGGCGTAGTCATTGCAGGGTAAACTAGTTATCCGGCAACTGTACATGCCCAGTTTGGCCACCGATACCACTGCTTTGAACGTAACGGCCGTAACCTATTCCATCCGCTCCCTCACCTCAACAGTCGGCAGCCCCACCGCAAACGCGTTCCCGGCCGCCTCCCCAGTGTCCTTCACCCAGGCCGTCAGCTGCACTGTCACGTTGCTCAGGCTGCTGGCGCCGCCGCTGTTGTCCAGCTCCAGGGATGCCTCGAACGCCTGCCGCGTCAGCACCAGCTGCTGACTCAGCTGCACCACCACACGCGCGCACGTGGCACCACCGCCCGCGGTACCGGCCACGTAGGGCGCGATGAGGGTGCCGATACTCTGGTCGAGGGCATCAAACACACCTGAGGGACGGTGTGAGACCAGAGGGAAGGGCGAGTTAAGCGCGTGAGGTCATAGTGCTGTCAAGTCAGCATGAAACTGATGATCTTCGTCGGATGTGTTGTGGCCGGTCGACATGAAAGATGACTTAGGAACGTGAAGTAAATTCATGAAGACCAAGAACCGCATGGGCCCTTCCTGCTCCCTCTCCCACACTCACTGGCGTATCCCTGCTCCAGCGCTGCCAGGGTGTCGTTGAGGTAGCTCTGCTGCGCTCGGTCCACCCGCTCCAGGTTGATGGTGGGCGCCGAGTTGCCGGGCTGCTGCGCGAAGGTGGCGTTCCAGCGCTCGATGAGCGCCTGCCGGGCGGTCACGTTGACCAGCGGGGCGAACTGCTCGCTGAGCAGCTGCGGTGCCTCCGCCGTCCAGTCCACCAGGGCGCCCGAGGGGGAGGTGTCCGAGGTGGCGGCCTCCCAGGCGGTGCGCCACTGGGCCTCCACGTCGGCGGGGAACTGCGGGTTCATCCACTCCCTACAGCAGCAGGGTGGGGAGGAACATGCAGTTACTAGGGGTGGCAGCGATGCTGACATGGCGGGGCTGCAGATGACAGGCTGCTTCACTGTGCAACGGGTTCCCAACGGACGAATGCGGCCCAGAGCGCAAGGCTCTGCAGCTTTGCTTTAACCACTCCCTTCCATGCCCAGCTCGAACCTCGCCCTTACTCACATGTAGTGCTCCAGGCCCCACATCTCGGCGCCCGCGGCATGCAGGTTGATGATGGAAGCAGCCCAGCGGAGAATCTCCTGACCTGCAAAGCAGTGCGACCCAAATAGCTAAGCGCCAGGCGGCTCAAGTGTGTCGACCCGACAGCAATTACTTGTTCAACTCCGCAACACAACCATTTGCCTGAGCCCCGTCATGCCCTTATGGCAGCACCCTTAATTAGCCCCGCCCGCCCCGCTCGTCAGTTTCCTCTTTACCGCCCCGCCCCACCTCTTCCCAGCCCCACCCCCAGCCCACCTGCGGGGCTCTCCATGATGTGGCTCTGTCGGTCCTCTGGCGGCACGTACAGCGAGCCGCCCGAGGAGCTCTGCAGCCGCCGCTGCCTTTCGGTGGCGGACGAGGTGTTGCTGGGCGTCACCACCACTGCGAACGGGGGCGGCGGCCTGAGGGAGACGTCCAGCGGGATGACGAGGGCGGGCTGCAGCGGCGGCAGGGTGGATCTGGGGGGCGTCCAAACGGGGTCGTCTGACAGCAGGCTGCGCCTGTGGTGCCTGCATGCGCGAAGGGATAAGGGAAGGAAGGGAGGTAAGGGTGGGAAGGAAATGGGGAGGGAGGACGGTTGTAACTGTTGAAACACCATGGAAACAGGGCTGGGGTTGGACGAGGGGTGGGCTTGGTACAATTGACAGGCTACCATCCCTCAACCAAGATCTTGCAAATATGGCCCGCCAACTCCAGCCCTCTTCGCAAGACCCCGATCGCTTCAATTCTCCGGAGCACCGGCCCCCCTCGCCCGCTCACCCCGTGATCCCAGCGTTTAGAGCCGTCAGAGCGTCGCCGACTTTGGTGTCTGCGCGGAGGGGAGGGAAGGGTGAAGGGCGAGGTAAGGCAGGTGTAAGGAGGGACTGATGAGGCAAGAGGATCGGCCTGAAACTCTGGACCTGAGACCGGCTTGTTAGGGCCAAGACGTAGCTGCTGGCGAATCGGGACTGGGATCCGCACACCTTTCGTTCCTAAGCCCCTTCCCGACTGCCGCGCGCCAATGCGCCCCCACTCCACCCGCCCCGCCACTCACTGAGGTAGTCCCAGACCCCCAGGCAGTCCAGGAGCGGGTCTAGCAGGCAGCCCAAATAGGGGATGCGGCCCACGGTCTGGGGAAAGGGGCAGCAAGAGGGGCAATTGGTTAGGAACGCACTCAGCACGCATCGAGTGAGCCAGTCGAGGTTTCAACTGCGCCAGCGTCAGTGGCTTACCCATACAGAGCAACCGGAGCAACGGTATCTAGCAATTAGCTCGCTGGCTGCCCCAGCTCAGGTCATGTACACAATTGCAAACGCGCAGCAGCCCCGCCCCCTACTTCCCCCTTACATTGTCCTTAATGATGTCCTGTAGTGCCGTACAGCGGCCGGCGGGATGACGTCGACAGCAGGGTGGCAGCGGTAGGTGCCGTACACGTGGCACAGGAGTGATGACGTGCGTGGCGAGAGGGAGTTGGCACACATTGGGGACAGGCAACAATGAATAACCGGTCAGTATAGTTACTGCTTCGTTGTACGCTACACGAGAGCGGGGCAATGCAAGTACGCAGAAAGAGGCAATGGATGGCCATGCAACTGTTCTGTCCTAACCTCTTTATTGCATGGGCGAGTTGGTTCTGAAAGCAGAAAATACGTACCACGATGATTGAAGACGGTCCAGACATGCCACCGCCTCCCCCACCGCTGGACTGCAGTGACCTCCGGACAACCACCGGGTCAACCGCCGCCTCCCAAGACGGCTGCTCCTCCTGTGCGTCATCCTCCAACCACTCGCTCAGGCTGCGCTGGTGCTGCTGAGTAGCGTCAGCGACGGCCAGCAGGGCGGAGTGCTGCTGCTGCTGCCCGGACGCCAGCAGGGGCAGGGGCAGCCCGGCGTCGCCCTGCAGCGCCATGCCGTCAGCAAGCAGTGAGCGCCGCCGGGAGCCGCCCTGCGGGGGTGTGAGCAAACATCAGGCGGCAGGGCGCATATGCGGTCCAAGGTTAGTTAGGCGGCGGGAAACCGCATTTAACTACACAGTAGAGGCAGAAGGGCTGTGCGGGCATGCGTACTCCCATCAATACAGCGTGATAGCACTACACGTGCGCCAAGCAACTACCTTTGACAGGGAGCGTATGCGGCGGATGATGTCGATGACGTCACCCGCGGGCTTGCTCCAGGGCGCGATGATGTCCTTGGCCAGACACAGGCCCACATCGAACCAGTCGGTGGCGCACTGCAGGGAGTAGGTTGGGGGGAGACGGGGGAAGGTGAAGCGAGAGGGCCAATGCATTAGGGGGAGCATACGGGCATATTGCAAGAGCCCGTGGGGAGCTAAGATAGCAAATTAGCTGCTTTTCAAGGGGGGCCATGTGCTTTAAAAGCTGCGAAGCTAGCCGGCCCCCCCACCCCACCCCGCTCGCAGTTCGGCACTTGCCTGGTCGCACAGGTTCAGCTCTGGACGCAACAGCCGGGAGGATTGGCGGCAACAGCGACCGTGTTAGGTGGGCCCGGAGGGAGAGGGTGAGAAGTCATATACAAGTCAGTATTCCCACAAGTCCACAGCTCATGCAGCGTGCACGGCCTCGTGTAAAGAGAGTGCAGTGCATTAGCTTTGGACGCCTATCTTGTACACAAAGCTATAATCTCCCCCGAACGCAGCGGCAATGCCAGCAGCAATACCAGCCATGCAGGCAGGCAGCTATGAGGTCACCACCAGCCCCCTCAGCAGCCCCCTCACCCCATCCCACACCCCACCCACCCACTGTACCGCCGCTGGTCGCACTGCCGTACACCACCATCCCAACGAAGCCGGCCGAGCAGTCGGTGCAGCCACAGCTGGGGTGGAAGCTCCTGTGAGGGGCGTGAAGAGCATCATGAAGAGTAATATACCAGTCATGTGGTCTTCACTCATCCCAGTTGTCATCGTCAGGACCAGAAGACTATCCCGTACAAGCACCGCAGACAGGACCGGGCAAGAAGCCGTACACGCACAACTGACATCGCCTTGCTACGCAGCTGCGTAGGACTCCTTCGTACGTACCTGCTGACAATGGAGGTGGCGCCGGCGCGGCTTCTCTCCGGGTCGCAGGGGTCAGACCACACTATGCCGATCTGTGCCGCCCAGCCGCACGCGCTGGATCCCTGCAGCGCCCGCCGATGCGCCCCGGTGGCGGTGGTGGTGCTGTTGTTGTTGTCCAGCTGCTTGGCTGCCACGCTCAGCTCCACCACGAGCTCGCTCATGGCGGGCATGCGGCCCAGCAGCACGTACAGGGTGCCGCTGGTCAGGCTGAGGGCGGAGGAGGAGGAGGTGCCGGAGGAGGAGGAGAAGTCGTCTGTGTCCGACACCATCACGTCCGCCGGCTCCTCCAGGGTGGTGTTCTCCTGCTGCAACCAGCGAGCGCCCTGCAGGCCCAACGTGTAGTACTGCGGGGGGGGGGAGGGGCGGGGGAAGGAGGGGAAGGGCATCGGCATGCTTGGCTTTGATGACTTTTATTTGCGTGTAACGGACGGCCATCGCTTATTGTGTGACAACATACATTCCCAAGCAAAACACGCAGGTAGAAGCGGCAAGAGGCAGCATCAAAGTAATGGAGAGGTTAATCCCACTACTCCCTGCGGCTGAATCCGACCTCTGACGCGTCCCGCACCACACCACACCACCCTTACCGGGCTATCAACAGGCACGCTAATGCGAACGTTAAACGCCGCCACCAGGCCCGTGTTGATGATGCGCAACTGCTGCGTGCGCGACTCCAGCATGTCCTCCACGTAGCTGCAGCGACACGGGCGGGGGGGGGGCCAAGCGCGCCAGGCATACATAGCATACTGCTCAGTTGTATGTCCATCGGGTACGAGCGTGGGTACTTCAAGCTTAGCATGCAGGCTGCCCTTTCCGTCCCTCCACAAGCAACTGCACGTCTCCCACCCACCCGCCCACTCCCCGGCAGCACTCACAGCAGTGCCGGCTCCATGCGCACCACCGGCATGGGCACGAAGGTGAGGTACTCCACGTTGACCACGATGTCGATAACCTCCTGGAAGGTGGTGGGCACCACGGCGAAGGAGGCGCGCACGGCGCTGCGAGACAGGAAGATGCGCAGGCTGCGAGCCTTGTACGGTTGCTTGCCTGGGCAGCTTTGGAATGAACAGGATGTCGGGTCGCAGCTTCAATCTTATACTGTCGGGCACGCTCCCGTCAAACAGCCACGCAGGAGGGCGGTCATCAGCTATGTACTCAGGCAGTGCATCCCTCGCAGCTGCGTCCATGACCATGAAGCATCCCCCACTGCTACCTTTCGCGATCGCACGGGTGAGCAGTTGGACTGCCAGGTTATGTCTTTTTATATACATGGCCTGCATAAGCGAATGCCTGCAGCCCCCTAGGATATGGCCTCCGGAGTCGGATAGCCCGCATAGCGGGCAGGGAGCATGTTCATTGCCGTTCGCGTCGGATATAGCCGCGCTCCGCACCTGATGATTGTGCTTGCCTACTAGGGGCCTGTTGTATCTTTGTGCGAGCTTGGCATTCCAGAGGCACCCATATAGGTAGCACATTAGCCGTCTAATTTTGACATGCCGGTTACCGCTGGCTTGCTGTGTTCTCGTGCTTGATTTCCTGTCTATTTCCGGGAGGGCACTTTTAATGAGGTCAGTGTAGAGAGTGGGCCGGGCATAGCCTTCTCTAACGCTGTCGTCCATGATTCTGTCGATCCCAACGTTGAGGTCGTTGGTGTAGTACCCTGACTTTTTAGACACCAGCCAGTAGTATTTGCTCCTGGGATTGTTATCGCATTCTTCTTTTATCGTGGCTTCCTTCTTACCGCTCGCCACGCTTGTTGCCGCTTGGTCGGCCGCCTCATTGTAGGTTACACCGATGTGTGATTTTACTTTCAGGAGATATGTTTTAAGGCCTTTCTTAGCTCTGTGGGCGAGAATTTCGACGATACTTTCCACAATTGCTACATGCTTGCACCATCGAAGCCTATCTGGTTGGTGGAGGCCGTTGATAGCCTTTCTCACGAGGTATAGTGCTGCAGCAGAGTCTGTCCATATGGTAAGGTCCTCCTCTGCCGCGGGTGTGCCTTCACGCATTCGCAGCCCATGTAGCATGGCGCTGAGTTCGCACCTTGTTATCGTCTGGCACCCGTGGCAGCCCCCGTTTACATCTATGTAGGTGGTATTGCCTGTGGACGCGTCTACTGCTGCTGCTCCTAGGCGATTGAAGCTGCCATCCTTTTGCACACTGCCGTCTGTGTAAATGCCGTTGCAGGCGTCGTATCGCAGTGACACCTTTGCGGGGTAGTAGGATGTCAGCGTGGTGGAGTCGAGGTCTTCTGTGGCGACTGTTCGGCGAGGTGGGGATGGTGGGGATGTTGTCATCTGGTGCACTCTCCGTTTTACCCATTGGGGGGCCTTCCAGCCCGCTATGCGTTGCTCATGTTCTTCCTCCCCACTCGTGTTGATCGTGCGGGGGTGGGGAGCATGTCGTGGCTTCTCTAAGCTAAGCTCTCGTTGCAGGGCGGCGCTGTATCTCAGGCCCGCGGGGTTTCCTATCAGCAGGAAATCTAGTCCTCGTGCGTATGGGTTCCTGGCATGTGCGCTGCTTTCCCCCAGTGCTGCTTGGTCCGGTATTAAGCATGCCGCGGGGTGGGTGGGGGGCGCCTCCCCTACCCACTTCACATGCGGGTTGGACAGAAGCGTGTTGTACAAGGCTGTAGGTTGGCGGGGGAGAACGACGAGGGTCGCTGTGGGGGCGTCCAATCCGCGCGCCTCGTGCGCCCATGCAAGTGCCCAGTGTATAGCGTGCATGCATGCCTGCGTTGTTGCCTCTGGGAAGGCAATGGATATCCCAGTGAAAGGCTGGGAGTAGGCATCATGCGCTGCACCGAAGACCATGTCTTCTTCAAAGGAAGAGTAATAGACTTCTGTGCAGCTGGCGACGTTAAAGGGGGATGCGAAGCGTTCCACCCATGTTGCGGGGTGTGCGAATGCGGCCTTGATGCGCCCCATTGTTTCATCCGTTAGCCTCTTCTCATAAGCTCCGACAATTGGGTTCTGGTCCCCCACCATGCACCCGGCCTGAACGGCACATCCTGCCCAACCACACTCGCATGGCGCAACCTATCGAGCCCCACGCTTGGCCACATGATACTACATGTCTAAGGAGTCTATAGGTGTGACGGCGGGCTCAGGTGCCGCTCGCACGGTCGGATACGTGCCCCAAGCCCTGGGTTTGACTAGGTCCCCCACCATGCACCCGGCCTGAACGGCACATCCTGCCCAACCACACTCGCATGGCGCAACCAATCGAGCCCCACGCTTGGCCACATGATACTACATGTCTAAGGAGTCTATAGGTGTGACGGCGGGCTCAGGTGCCGCTCGCACGGTCGGATACGTGCCCCAAGCCCTGGGTTTGACTAGGTCCCCCACCATGCACCCGGCCTGAACGGCACATCCTGCCCAACCACACTCGCATGGCGCAACCTATCGAGCCCCACGCTTGGCCACATGATACTACATGTCTAAGGAGTCTATAGGTGTGACGGCGGGCTCAGGTGCCGCTCGCACGGTCGGATACGTGCCCCAAGCCCTGGGTTTGACTAGGTCCCCCACCATGCACCCGGCCTGAACGGCACATCCTGCCCAACCACACTCGCATGGCGCAACCTATCGAGCCCCACGCTTGGCCACATGATACTACATATGTAAGGAGTCTATAGGTGTGACGGCGGGCTCAGGTGCCGCTCGCACGGTCGGATACGTGCCCCAAGCCCTGGGTTTGACTAGGTCCCCCACCATGCACCCGGCCTGAACGGCACATCCTGCCCAACCACACTCGCATGGCGCAACCTATCGAGCCCCACGCTTGGCCACATGATACTACATGTCTAAGGAGTCTATAGGTGTGACGGCGGGCTCAGGTGCCACTCGCACGGTCGGATACGTGCCCCAAGCCCTGGGTTTGACTAGGTCCCCCACCATGCACCCGGCCTGAACGGCACATCCTGCCCAACCACACTCGCATGGCGCAACCTATCGAGCCCCACGCTTGGCCACATGATACTACATGTCTAAGGAGTCTATAGGTGTGACGGCGGGCTCAGGTGCCGCTCGCACGGTCGGATACGTGCCCCAAGCCCTGGGTTTGACTAGGTCCCCCACCATGCACCCGGCCTGAACGGCACATCCTGCCCAACCACACTCGCATGGCGCAACCTATCGAGCCCCACG